TTTGGGCCTTACCCTACTCCCCTTCGTGGAGTCGGAAAAACCCCGGCCATCCCTTCCAATGTGCCCGAAGCACGTTGTCTCTGGTAGGGATGACTGCGTGGGCCGCTTGCGCTTGCGGGTGGAGGGGTGTTTGGAAAGGCCGGGAAAGTCCAGCTGGCCAGGATTGCCGATGCCGATATCTAGCGGCCGATTCTCTGGTCCCTTAGCCTTGGGGCTTTATGGTAAGGGTTTCCAGAACCTAAATGATGGCATGACCTTCATCATCCTGAAAACTATTTAATTTATGTGTCGAACCGGTCCGCTAAAGAAATTGCCATTGCCCTAAACGGATTACAAAAAACTCATAAATGATCGCCCGTACCATAAAGCCATTTCCAAACCTCTTAACTTAACAACAGAAATAAAGAGAAAAATTTGTTAATTTCCTTTGCTCGTCGATTAGGATATCTTGGTACGTCGATTATACGAATATTACAGTCGAATGGTTTATTTTGTCTGTTGAAGATCGCCACGCAAAACTAAACTGAGATTTCTAGTTGTAGGTGTACGGAACCGTGTCCGAATACATACAAACATCGTAGAAAAATGACAAATAAAATCATCGCACCTGTGCCGCGATGGTTGCCTCGCAATGGGAAACGGGTGACCTAGATTCAACCCTAGAAAACGAGTCTCTCTACCTGTTGCACCTCGTTCCCCATTCACGAAAGACCGTACAGGGCGGTTCAGGATTACCGAAAAACAAGGTTGACATTTTCCAGGGAAAAATCAATCAAGCCGCTGTTTCGAAGAAAGTTCATTTGAAAAGTCGGAATTTTCGCTTGTCACTGACTTCGCCGCAGACCTGTCCATCCCATTTCCTACGCAATCATTTCGTTTCGAAGACATTTTTCAACGTTCGAAACGCTACGAGCATCTTCTATCTCGTTCGACGAAGAATCGGGCCCGACACCGTTTCTGCACGGATCAGAGGCGACCAGACACGAACCAGAACGGCTGCTGGACCATTTAGTCCTCGCTTTCGCTTTATCGATCTCGCTCGAGTTAAGGGACGACAGAATCGATAAGAATTCGGATTCGCGAGAACGAACCATTTTATTCGGTTCCTTCGACCCACCTGCTCGAAAAGCACGCTGCATCATCGAGGATTACAAAGGCACGAGTCTCATCGAATCACCGCTGACTGCTGATCCTGTCAAGGATGTCCGAGCGCGCCGCCAGAAGCTCACGGAAGTGGCAGTAATAAACGGGGTCGGGGGCGTAACGAATGAAAAACAAATACACAACAAATGATTAAAAACAAACAGCACCGGCTTCCACGTGCTAATATTTATCTAAAATCCGTGGTTCTCCAAAAGCGTTCCCCGGAAGTTACCTTTCTCGACGCCGTTGTCCTTATCCCTGGAAATCATCGGTTCTCTCGATAAACGCGATTAAAGCGTTATCGGTCGGAATTGCAGTCTTCGTCTTCCAGGTCGAATCGAGAAGTTGCTCACCGATCGATCAGAAGACTCGAAGTCTTCGTTTCGATCGCAGGAGCTCGGCGTTCGCGCGACGACGATTAGCCCCAAGGCCGTCGTAGAACCCTTACCTGGAAGATCGATACAGCTCGAAAAGCGCTGTATCGGTCCGCAAGGCCCCATCGTCTCCGTTCGAATCGGCGAAGCCAACGTTTAGCCAGCCTCGAGGCCGTCGTCTCCGTTCGAAACTCGACGCGGACGAAGAAATTGTTCGTCGATCGAAGGATGCCAGAATCTATGTTCGAGCGATGGTCAGGCAACGATCGGAACGTTTAAAGAAAAGAAAAAGGAAGAGAAGCGGTGGAGAAACGACGAGGATCGTTCGCGCGGCAACCATCGGCGAGGAGATCGTCATGGTGGTCGTTGTCATCGTCGTCGTCGGTGGATCCTGCGAAGGCGGCCGATGGTTCGAAAGGTGCCGCGGCAGGTCGGTTAGATTCCGTGCCGATGATGATTATTATTCGCCGGGGTAGTCATAAATAATAAAGGGGGGATTACGTAGGTCGGTAGCCGGTGGTGTAATTGAATCAAAATAATGTAGAGGTATCGTGTTGTACGCTCGGCCAATCATAACTCAGGTGAGGCTATCCCGTTTCTCTGTCTCGCGGGCCAGAGAGGATGCGGGGATGCGGCGAGGATGCCCCTATATAAAGGGTGTCATCTCTAACCCCGGACACACTCGTTCCAACCAGCAACAGGCCGCAAGCGTCGCCGACGCCGCCGCGACGTCGTACGCGCGATACAGCATCTGTCCTTCCTTTTTTCGCACCTCTTCTTTCCGTCGGAAGCCGCGAGAAGAATTTCAGATCCGGTCACGCTCCGGCAGTCGTCCACACGCACCCCCAACACTTACGACATGGTGAGTGCCACGCGGCGTCTTCTGTGTTCCTTTCTTTTTTCCTTTATTCTTTATTATAGTTTCTTTTTTCTCTGCAAAATTTCTCCGCAATTCTTACACCCCTTCTCCCTGCCTCTCGCAAATTTAATTTTCTATCAAATCTATTCTCGCACCATCTCGATGTTCGTTCGTTCACCATCGACGCCCAGCGAATCCTTCGAAAAATCTTGTCTTCTCGTACTCGCTGCGAATTTTCATTTCCCGTTCTATCTTAAAAATTCATCTGTTTTCTTATCGTTACCGGATAAACGTTCGCCTTTAACATTTAACCAGCGATTCCTTTTTCGCTTCGCGACTCCACGGCGTTAAAACGGCGTAGAAACAAACGCGTGTACAAACGACTCTTTGGCATTTCGAATTCCATTTGCTCGTTGTATTTTACGTTGTACTCACCCCCGGCCCAAAGTCGACGCGAGTGCTTCGCGAGATAGCGCGATTCCTCCATTTTTTTGTGTATTTTTTCTCGATACCTTTCGCATTCTACCATCTTTTAATTCCTTTTTGTTTTCTATCAATTCGGACGTTCGTTTGCTTTCGCCATTAAGTACACAGTCACCCGGAACGTTTACAATATGGTGACTGCGTCCGCGACGTATTTGTGCATTCGATTTTATCGCTGTTGCGATCGTTTGTACATCTTTCTTCTCCACCTTGTAAATTCTTTTTTCTTTTATTTTATATCGATTTGGAGTTTCGTTTGCTTTCATGATTGGGTACACAGAGACTACGAGTGTATGCATGCCGAGCGCGTTTCGCGAGATATCGAGTGTTTATTTACTCTGTCTTTTAATGCCTCGATTTTTCTATTTTCTAGTCGTCGCACGTTCCGTCGCGTATTCCGAATTGGTACAGTGACATCGAGTGCGAAGAACAGTGTGTGGTCTATTTCCCGAATTAATTTTTACGGGATTTACGTAAATTAACGGTCGATTTATCCTGGAATCTCTATCTTTCGAACTTCGACAAATTATTAAATTTTTATTAAAACTTCGATAATCGTTTTCCTCGAACGTCTCGTAGAAAAATACGGCGCAAGAACATGATCGTTACAGACGCGAATCGTTATACCGGCTTCGGATAATTGCTCTACAAAATATTTCGTTACAATCGCAAAGTCGAACATCGAATATTCCATAGATCGTTTCGCGATCGAGTGCTTTCGCATGCTTTTGGCCGCAGTATTTCACTCTCTTTCCGTATTTTCCACGACCGGAGCATCCATACAACGAACGTATAAATCAATTTAGTCGTCGCTACGACGAACATCGAGCAAAATTTCAGCCAGCTCGGCCCCTCGACTCCGTCGAAATCGTTCGAAACTAGGAATTTTCAGCGGCCGACGCGACGGTTCCGGCATTCGAACGGCCGAATTTCATTCGATAGCGTGTTCGATAAACGCGGAATCGTTTCCGTAGTCTAGCAATTCCTTTCGGCCTTTGTTGGAATTCGCGTGACCGCGTATTCCCATCCCGGCTCGAATTAATCGCGTTTCGTTTTCCGCAAGCAGTCCCCGCGGGCCGATCTGTCCGCGCGTTTCGTCTCGAAATATTTCGGCGAAATATTTAAAATTCTCGTCAAAACTTCCCGTGTCGTCGTCTGCTTCCTTTTTCGCAACTTCCTCCAAAGGAATTGCTATCGAGTCGCCAGGAAGGAAGGAAGCAGCCAGGGGCGGCGTCGCGACACAATTTGCCGAGTCAATTTTTCATCCTAATCGCGCGAACGGCATACGGCGCGCGACAGTACGACACGACCGCGGAATTTTACGTTAATACCGACACGAAAAAATGCTATCCCTCCGAGAGAGAAATAAATCGGTCTTCTTTGTTCTTTCGTAGTCTTTGCTGCTTCTGCGTCCCGCTTGTATTTATCTCTGTTGCGAGCAGTATCGCGTTCCATCCGTCAAATTCCTCTTCTTCCGCGACACTAGAAGATTCTTCTTCGTGTCCGTAATAACGTTAAAATCGTGCCAATTTTTCTGGATCAACCGCGAAGACGGTAACTCGCTTTTCGGGAGCGACGGAAAGGAGTGTGAAAGAGTGAGAGAGAGAGAGAGAGAGAGAGAGAAAGAGGGAGGACGAAGGCGTTCCGGCGTAAATAAATAATAATAACGAGCCGCGTCGCGTAGGTAGACCGTTCATAGTCTATTCTCTGGCCATAAACGCGTTTTTGCCAGGGGCCGGTCGTAAACGTGTGGCTTTTTAACGGAAACGTAGGTCGGGTAAGTTTGCAGGCGACGCCATTACGAAGGGTGACCTGCCGCGTCGGTTCATTAAAGTAACGCAAGGCAACGTATTAATCTTGCTCGGTATAACGGGGTATTACTAAACATCCTGTTAAGACAACTAATAACAGACCGATATTATTTATCGCGGGGCGGACCGTGTCCCTTGGCTGCAACCGATAATCCCGCCGCTTCTCGCATCCAGGTCCTTCGGTCGCCCAACCTTCGGCCATCGCCAAGAAAAACTTGTGCGTCACCGGTTCCGTGTGGGCTGCGCGATCGATCATTTTCTTTTATCGTATCCGATCTCATACCTTGCATTGTTACGCCGGATAAACCCAGTCTAGATTTGCGCGATCCAAGCGCGAGCCCTTTTTTCCGTTACGCCAAGGGCTTAGGTAACGCGAAGTTCGTCGAAAGGACCGATCTCGATCGCTTTATTCCACGATCCTCGATTATTTAATTGCCAGTCGATTATTTAACCAGATCGCGCGAAATGGAATTTGGTTGCATCGAACGATAACGATGTCAAAGAAGGAAGCGTTTGATTTCATTCGTGGCTCTTCGCATCGAGTATTTAATACTCGAAAACTAATCGAGAAGTCGTTGATCCCTTCTCGAGCCGTCGAGAAGAAAATCGCGGCGTTTCACAGAGGTACAACAGGTGTGTCTGCATTGTTCTCCTTCCGGGACGGCACAGAAAGACGGACGTCGTTTCGTTTCTAGATCAAACTCCGACACAACTTCCGAGTCCTGGATAGGTCTCTCTCTCTCTCTCTCACGATCCACTCTCGGCGGATAAACATCGAACGAAAAATAGGCCGAAGGAAACAGTCTCCGAACGAATCGGGGGAGAGAGGGTCATTGTTCGATTACGATACTTTGGATCTTGACAACTGCTCGGCCATTGTGTTCTCGGCTGAATGGAAGGCTTTCTGCGTACTAACGCAATAACGATGTCGCCGGTCGCGCGTCGGGTTACGTGAACGATTTCTTTATCGTTGTCGCACCTTCTCGAATCGGTCCAACGTCGTACACTCTTTCCGCTTCGAACATCATCGCTCGTTGCATCGCGCGATCGATTCCCTCGCGAGCATTTCGAGCCGATCTTTACGCAAGATCGCCGGCCTTTCGGAATCGCAAGGGACAGCAGCCGAATCGGAACGAATCGAACGCGGTGTATTTTATTGCCAACAGACCATGCTGTCGTCGCTGTACGTGTTGCCGTTTCTCTGCAACTGCTTGCTAGTCTCCTCCTCGATACTGACGCCGTTGAAGGCCGACGGGAATCTGAGGATCTTCAAGAACGTTCCCAGCGACTTCGAGTACGTGCTGAAGAGGCACAGCGTCGACAGCCGGCCGGAGGACGCCGACTCGAAGGAGCGACGGAGCAACAAGGGCTCGTCGTTCATCAGGTTCGGTCGCAGCGATCCCGACAACCACGGCGAGAACGTGCTCGGCGAGGAGAGCGACGGAAGCTCGCCGGTGAACAGATATCCCCGCTGGAAGTCGCCGGACATTGTGATCAGGTTCGGCAGGTCGGACTCGAAGACGGCCCCGAGCAGCGACAGGGACTACAAGCTTAGAAGGAACGACCTGAATTTCATCAGGTGAGTGGCCTCGCCGTATAAGAAACGAATGCGAAATCGCGTAGCTCTCGAATCGCGTAGCTTCGCGAGCGTGCGAGCGAATCGAGGCGTCGATAAATGCGCGCGACATCGGTCGGATGAATATCGTATGCATTGGAACGGAGACTGATCGGGCTGGTTCGACAACTGGAACTATGAACAGGCAAGTGAATCGAGGAGCCAATGGAGAGCCAAGTAGATTAGGCAGCCCCGCGGTACAATCGAACAACTAGATTACCGTGGTCTACGGTTAGCCGAACATATTAGGACGGTCTAGTAGCGGACCGGTAACGGTAGGTAACCTAGCATCGACGGTTTATTCGACAAATATATCGGTGCGGCGCGATCGTCGATTATCGTGCCAACAGGATCTACGGTTCGACGAAAAGATTTCGGCAAGAGGAATAATAATGCAGGGTCAACGCGAAGCCGTTCTCTGCTCGGAAAAGTAGGGCGGGGCAGCCTGTGGTCGGGCAAGTAGCTCTGGCCGGTGTGCGATCGGGCAAGTAGCTTTGGCCGGTGAACGATCGGGCAAGTAGCTCCGACCGGTGTGCGATCGGGCAAGTAGCTTCGACCGGTGCACGATCGGGCAAGTAGCTTCGGCCGGTATGCGATCGGGCAAGTAGCTCCGGCCGGTGTTGTACGATCGGGCAAGTAGCTTGCGCGAGCGCTGTCAGACGAGTAGCTCGACCGTCTACGCGGTCGGACGACGCGCGTAGCTCGAGACAGAATCGGTCTACAGGTTTTCGTCGTGGGGCGATCGCGCGAAACCGATAGCCGATCGGTCACCTAACCCTTCCGACTAGCTGCGAACGATCTTGTTCGACAGATTCGGCCGGAACTCGCAGACCTATCCCCTGGAGATCGACGTGACCACGATGTGCTCGGATCTGGTGGTGAACGAGGAGACGAAGAGCAGCCTGCAGCCGTTCGAGGCGAGGCTACTCCGCCTGTGCGACGCGCTCAGCAACTTCGACGCCGAGCACAGAAACGCGCTGGACTTTCTCGAGGAGCGTGCCGGCTCTAAGCACGAGTAAAGAGGGCCGTCGGCAACCGGAAACGATCCATCGCGAACATCGTCGGGGATTTGTCCGTGCGAACGGGACAACGCCACGTCCTCCCGACGCATCGTCGCGCTCGACCCTGCGAATTCTCACGGGCAACGTTATTCCATCGGCCGATCCGAAGATTCGGTTATCTCGGAACCATCGTCGCGTCGCGGTCGCCTCCATTTCCGCCTAATTCGATCTCGCCTCCGCGACGCGGCCCACGGACGCGGGCCATTCTCCTTTATTCATTCGATTAGAAACGCGATCTGCTTGCCGAGGTCAGCCTCATTTGCCTACCGATAGTGCTCCTCGCAATCTCATTTGCGCTCCCGTTGCCTCTGCGCCGGGAATCGCTTCCGCGACCTATTTATTCCGGTTTTTCTACGCGTCGTAGTTTCCGTCGACCGTCGAACGATTGCTCTTCGCCGAATAATCGTTCGGGCCGCGATTTGTACATACATCGGTGGCCGCGAAGAATCTTGGTTCGCCCACGAATGCCTAATCGATTGCCCGGAACAAGCACGCGGGATAATTCTTTGGAGATCCGTCGAATATTCGGATTATTTTCGTGGGTCGCGACGGCGCCGCGGCATCGCCGACGAATAACGTTGTTCCAAGGTATTTCATCCGGGTACCTCAATGTGCATCCACCTGCTCCGCCGCGTATTCAATGTACATATAAAGATTTAATCGTTGAACGGCTCCGACGCCGGCGACGATCTCGCGGACCGATTCGCTGCGACAAACGCGTCCGCGGAGGGATCGTTTTCGCCGTCGCTCCGGGAAACTGTGTCGTGATTGTCGAAACGGCGCGTTTGCCGTTGTTCCATTTCGCAATTGGCGGGTCCACGGGGAATCGCGGCCGAGTCTGTTTTTTTTTTCCGGCGACTCGCGTCGATCTCGTCGGCGAACGTCGAGAACAATGTTGCACGCTCGGCGTAACGTCGGGAACCTCCGTTCGAACGTTTCCGCTTTTATCCGTTCTCTCGAGTAATTCCGTGCAAAAATTTGCTCGTTCGTCGACCGGCGAGATCTCTCGATTATTCTGAAAAGACCAACAACGAGCTCGCCGCGTTCGCTTCCCCGAACGTTTGCGCGACGTGGAAAAATTGCGACGGACTCGGCCATCTTTCTCTCCGACACCCTCCAATTACGAATAGGAATTAGAATTACGGTAATGCGCATTGTCTGTAACCTTGAACGTCGTTCTTAAAGTGAATGTAAATTTAATACACGCGTATACATTAAAGGAAAAAAAGTGGCTGGAAACCTGGTTCTCTTCTCTCTGCACGCTTTACCCAACCAACCCCCCGCCGCCCGCAACACACCGACTTCCTTTCGGCCGATACAGATCAGAATCGATGTCTCTTAGACCACTCGGAGCCCTCCGAATTCGCGCGCAACAGCTGCGTAATCTTGTACGCGAGCGATCAACATTTTTCTTACGGACTCGTTTCGTTTCCCGGATTTTCGGGAGCAACGTTATATTTCTTTCGCGTACCGTTCTTCTTTCGTTGTTTCGTTCGTCGCATCGAAGCGGAATGTCGGTCGTTATCGTAGCTATTAGCTACGTCGGCTTGTGCCGCATCTCGTACATCTTAATTGGCTTCCGTTGGACTCGACACGCGTTACCATGAAAACGAAGTTTCCAGTCCCGGCGAGGCGTTGAAAACTGTCGAGAAGATTCGAAAAGTTCGGAAGGTTCTCGTCCTCCGGATAAAGACGGAAGAGACGAAGGCGCGGAAGCACGAAGGAACTTTAACTCCCTCGACGCCACCGCCGTCGTTCCTTCGGATATGGCCCGGCCCGGCCCGGCCCGGCCCGCCGCGATACACAAGCCAGCACTCCGCGGCCATCGAAAATTAAAAGAAACGAGGTCCCCTGTTACGTCCTCGTCTTGCCCCGGCCATAACCGTGCCATTTCTCTCAATCCTGTCCGAAACTATTCCGCGGTCCGAGCACGTACGAGGCAACCCCTCTAAATGCTGCCCCAAATAGGCGACCGACCGACGAACAAAAAATCGGGTTACAAGCTGTACGTGTTTACACACCCACGCGGATAAACGAAGAAGAACGATCTCGCTCGACCGTGGCCGGCCCTTTTTCGGAGGAAACGCTGGAAACGTACGAATATTGGCTTCTATCAACGCCGGTCCATCAAATTCGTTCGTCGAGCGACCGATTAAAGTTTCCCAGAAATCGTTGCCGTGCGAAAAAATATTTATTTCATTTCGACGCTAAAAAGAACCGCGGTCCGATCCGACGAAAGAGAGAACGTTCCGGCAAAATCCGATCGAAGCTCGTCTTTGCATTCCGACGCATTATTCGGTCGTGTTAGGTAACGCGCTGGCTGTTTACCTACGGCCAGTGTTTTCAGAATCTCGCGCTCGAGAAACGAAAGAAGAATAGCCGTCTCTCGTAAGAAAATATCCGAGATAATCGCGTCTTTCGGGGTCGTTCCAAATGCACGCATCCGTTTGGGATTTTCTTTGGGAACGCGCTCCGTCGATCGAGTCTCGTGCACGTGGATGCGCAATGTGATATCGGGCCGGGACTGGCCGCTTCTCTTTGGCACGATCCGATACGATCCACGTGTTTGTGCTTAATCCATGCCCCGGCTGACCGATCTACTAAGGTTTCCCTGAACTATCTAGAGCTGGCGAACGCACGGTTTTCTCTTTATTCCGTATCGTTCGCGCGGCCTAGCTCCAGCTTGACGACGATCGCCGACACCCTCTGCGACCTCGTCATCGCTGCCATGGGCCCCCGTTAGCCGACACCTGCTGCCAAGAAGGTATTCCAGACTCCGACGAACAGCTCGTTCCATTTTTACGTCGTTCGTCTCGGCCGCGTTAATTCGTCGCGAACAATCCCGATTACGGTAATGTCTCCTCTTCCCAAATTGTCCATTTCTGTGGACAATCCGAACGTCGATTGGAGAGACAATACTATATTCTGCTCGAACGATTCAGAACAAATCGAAGCGCTACAAAGCTCGACGAGCTCGTAATCGTTTAGCATTTAGCGTTTAGCTTTCTCGCGCGACGATCGCGAACGATTTAACGACGAACGCGATGATCCGTCCCTGTTCCCGCTGCCGCAAAAAAAGCGTACGTTTCGTTCGTCGGCGTCGAGCGACACGGCGATTTCGAATTTCGTCGCGGCCCCGTTTAATCGAGTTCGACGATTTTACGTAAACCGTGATCCGAGCTTCGGAAAGTACGTCACTGTACGCGACCGCGACGCGTTAACGCTTTGGGAAACGCGGTTTCCGGGCAAGCTACCGAACCGAGTGAAATTGTTGCGCAGCGGCTGGCCCGGACACCCACCGAACGAAATTCGAAGGTAATGCTCGGCTCGTCGGAAACCGATCGATATCGGAAACCGTGCACAAAGCACCGGAGAAAAAGCTTTCGCGCTTCGGACGTCGTCCGCGGAAACCAGAGCCGAAATCGCATCTATCTTCTTCCCGAAGGATTCTCGAAACGCGATCAGAGATTTCTAGCTCTCGAACGGACGTTTTCCAGCTTTCGTTCGGCTCTGTCGAACGAACCCGAGGGGTTCGCGGGTTGAATATTTTAAACGATCCGTTTAAACCGTTTTCTCGCGCGACAAAAGCTGCGCGCCCGGAGCTATTTTATCTCCTCGGACCGCGCGACATTTTTACCTTTGGCTAGCACGGCGAATCGACGGAGCGCTTATTTGTTCGCACGATTTTTAATTTTCCCGATAAAACGTATCTCCGGTTGCGATCGATGAAAGAATTGCCGCGACTCGGTTTATCCTCGAAGAACGCTGGCTTTGTCTTCGAGCCGGCGCATCGCGGCTGTTGTTCCTTCGTTGTTGTTATTCGATTAATCGCCGGACTTCCCGAACCGAAAGACGGAACAATGCTATTCCGTCGATCGCGGAAACAATGGTTCTGGGTCGCGCTGTCCCAGTTTCCGGCGCGCAGCGGTTAAAAACTGCATTCGCGACTTCTTCTCGCGAGTAGAAACGCCGGTCGAAATAATACCGGAGGATCAGCGGTCGTCCCACGCGCTCCGCCGCTTTGCCGCTCCGGTGCTCCGATGCTCGACGACCGGCGAGGATCACCCGGTTCCTGTATCCTGCATGCGTAGGTGTATCCGGGATCGATGAACCAAGCCAGCCCGGCATTGTCTTGGTCCCGCCGCTAGGATCCCGCCGGGAAGGCAGCATGAATCCGTCCGAGTCGCAGCAAAATCTGCTCGCGAACGAGGCGAGAGCGTCGTCGGAGCAGTCGATACCGCCGCCCGTGGACTACACTCTTGGCCCAGTTGAGAAGCACTTCCTGCTCAGCGCGGAACGAGGTGATTGTGCCACTGTCAAAAGGTAATCCGACCATTCCGACCAGCCACCGCGGTTGATAAATCGACGACGGAGTTCTCGCGCGATCCGCGAAGCTCGCGAAGCCCGCGAAACCCGCGGGCTCCCTTTCGCACCCTCCTCGAACTCTTCCTCCCCTCGATCCTCGGCCCCGTCCTCCTCTTTCCTCCACCGAACGCCGTCGAACTTTCTCCACGCTGCGACAAGCGTTCCTTTCGTCTTCGTCTAGCCCTCGTCGCTTCAATTTGTCTCTGGGAATTCCTCGGGAAAAAATGAAACAGAATTTGTAGAGTGCGAAACGTCTTCTCAGGATCGGCGATGCAACTATTTCCGAGGATCAGTTTCCGAGATGGTAGTCGAACGAAATTGTCGAACAGGTTGCTGGAGGAGAACAAGGACCACCCGGAGATCCTGAACATCAACTGCGTGGATCCTCTGAACAGATCGGCGCTGATCGCCGCGATCGAGAACGAGAACATCGAGCTGATCAGACTGCTTCTGGATCTGGGGATCCAAGTGAAGGTGACGCCGCTAGATTACCATATGTTTCTAGTAGCGTCTAGTAGCGCGAGCATTAAAAATCTCGGAGTATCGCGAAGCCACGGAGGATGGATTCCGCGCAGCTTTTATCTCGTCGACCGGAGACGCTCGCTCGGCGAATCGTTTCGTTAGCTTTCGCCGTCCTCGGCCTTCTCGCGGCACGGGCGATAAACAAAAGGACTGCTTTCGTGTATATTTTACGAACCGAGAGCCGCGGGCTGCGGCGAGAACGCTTTCCGTAGAATGCGGATACTCGATAAAGTGGATGCTCGCTCACCGCTGGGACCGCGCGCGTTTAAAAGCACCGCACACGCCGGACATAATTCCTCGGTCTCTTCCTTCAGGATTCGCTCTTACACGCCATAAAGGAGGAGTACGTGGAGGCTGTTGAGATCCTGCTGGAATGGGAGGAGAACAACCACTTGGCTGGGCAGCCTTACGTGAGTCCAACAGATTCGCCTTCGCTCTTGCGATTAGAACGTTTCCATTCGGAAATCCGAAAGCTGGTTTGATCGATTCTCGCAGGACATATCCTTCGAAAGCCGCGAATTCTCGCAGCGAATCGCTCGCTACGAAAATATACGAGTACACAGCAATGTCTCTCTAATCGACGCTCGGATTGTCCACAAAACTGGACAATTTCGGAAGAGGAGATACGATCGATCGAGTCTTACGGCTCGTTTTTATAGCGACAGATCGTCGACAATTATAAAAACGAGGTGCAAAACTCGAACAATCGTACCTCTTTTTTCCCAAGTTGTCCATTTTTCTTTCCAAGCTAAGCGTCCATTAGAGAGACATTACCGTAACCCGAGCGTCAATTAGAGAGACATTACTAGGCGTTCAGAGGCCTGCCGCTGTTTCAGAGCTGGGAAGCCGTCGACAGATCGTCGTCCAACTTCACCCCCGACATAACACCGTTGATCTTGGCCGCACACAAGAACAACTACGAGATTTTGAAGATTTTGCTGGACCGCGGGGCGACCCTGCCCAGCCCGCACGACGCCAGGTATCGCGAACGAGAGAATACGCCTTCCGAACATTTTCGTTCGTCGCGAGCTCTGCCGATCAAACGAATCCAATTGCACCGCCGTTGATAAATCCTTTACCGTCTCAATCGATTGGAATATCATTCGTCGTTGTCGCGGGGCCCAATAACGATCATCGTAACGTCGAGCGGCGCGTATCGCAGGAAGTAGACTAGCGTAAACGTTTGTCCGTAATGGTGTTGAGTCGCGAATCATAAATCGAAGTCGGCCGGTTATGCCGAGTTTTCTGGCTTCGTGTCAATACTCGGTCGACGCGTCTAACCCGGTTATTCGATTAGGGACGACTAATTATGTTATTCGAAAAGAGCGGCACGTGCTCGCGTCGGAACGTGCCACGCGCGGATCCTCGCGACCCAGGTTTAATCGAGGCTCGAGGAAATCGCGATCGCGCGTCCGAGGACCGATTTCGTCGATGAAAATGATCGAGACGCGCCTGCATCTGTTATCGTCAGATGCGGCTGCGACGAGTGCGTGTCATCCAGCGAGCAGGACTCCCTGAGGCACTCTCGGGCCCGCATAAACGCGTACCGGGCCCTCACGTCTCCGTCTCTGATCGCCCTGTCCTCGAAGGATCCTCTTCTGACGGCGTTCGAGCTTTCCTGGGAGCTCCGACGACTCAGCCAAATGGAACAGGAATTCCGTTTCGAGTACAACGTAAGCTCGCGCGAATCCGTCGCGCCGTACTCCGAGATTCCTTCGCGAGAATTCGAAGAAGAAAGCTCGAAAAGAGGGAAGCTCGGCCTCGGGAATCGCGCGCGGACTTGATCGAAGCGAGGAATCGTTTGTTCGCAGGAGATGCGAGAGCAGACGCAGACTTTCGCCACGTCGCTGGTCGATCACGCGCGCACGTCCCTGGAACTGGAGATAATGCTGAATTATAATCCTCACGGCGAGAACTGGGAGCCCGGGGAACGACAGACGCTGGAACGGCTCAAGCTCGCGATCAAGTACAAGCAGAAGCAGGTGAGACCGCGCGAGACGTTGACAGAGTCGCGCTGCTCCGGTCGGTACAGCAATGTCTCTCTCCTTAACTCTCCAGAAAAATGGACAATTTAGGGAGAGGAGATACGATTGTTCGATCCTCGCGGTTCACATTTATAGTCGCGAATTGTCGACGAATTGTCGTTTTTATAGAAAAACGAGCCGCGAGGCTCGAATAATCGTATCTCCTCTTCCCAAATCGTTCACTTTTGTGCGCAATCCGAGCGTCGATTAGGGAGTCATTACCGTGATCGAGAGATCTCTTCTTATCGGACTCGTTCGGGAACAACGAGACGTTCGATCCGGTCTCTCGGTATAATTTCGATGGTTGATCTGCACTCTAGTTCGTGGCCCATCCGAACGTTCAGCAATTGTTGGCCGCGATTTGGTACGACGGATTGCCGGGATTCAGGCGTAAAAGCATGATCGGACAGCTGATCGATGTTGGAAAACTGGGAGCCATGTTTCCGGTGTACAGCTCGATCTACATGGTCTCGCCGACCTCGCCGATGGGCCAGTTCATGAAGAAGCCGTTCGTCAAGTTCATCTGTCACTCGTCCTCCTACGCGTTCTTCCTCAGTAAGCTCGAGTTTCACGAATTCGCGTCGTCCTCGGGAAATCCGGCGACGGAGAGCCACCGGCGAATATATATTCGGACGAGGAAAAACCTTGATCGCGATCGACAAATTCCGTGGGCAAGGGCGATCGATCCCGTTCGATCGCAGCTTTTATCCGGTCGCCATGTCTCCTCGCGCGGAAAAGCTCGCGAAGTTCGAGCAGATTTTCGACACCCGTAGATACGGGACAACAATCGTTTCCGTGGAACTGCTCGCAGGATTTCCCCCGGAAATTCGTACCGGCGAACCGATTAACCGTCGAATAATCGTGTTATAACGTGCGACAAGATGCGAAACGGATTAACATTTTCTCCGACAGTGCTGCTCGGAATGGCATCGCAACGCATCGAGTACCTGGTAATCGAATTGTTCGGGAACGCGTGGATGCGCGAGATCCTGGCCGGATGGAAGAGACGGGAACGCGGTTGCATCCCTGGTTTCGTCGAGAGCGGTGTCGTCATCTACGTACTCAGTAAACAGCTCTGATTAAACACAGCTTCGACGGGAACTTTAATCGAGAGACAGGACGATTCTTCCCCCCTTTTTTTTTCTTCTAGTCCAATGCACAATTTTTCTCTGCTTTTTCTGCTAGCACGCGGATGTCGATGCACCTTTTGATCGCGACGCAAGACCCGAACAGCGCGGTCGCGCTGCTTGGGACTCGGACGGTTAAATCATTTCAACAAGTTCTAATCGACGTGCGCGCGTTTGTAGTTTCCTTTAATTTGATCGCTGTTCCATGTTTCGCCTGCACGCTTTACCCGACAACGCGTAAAGTCCTCGGCCCAGTTATTATTCGGGGCTGTTAACGCAGCCGAGAGAAGATCGATCGTATCGCGCGCAACTGCCTACCGTTTCCAGATCGTTGGAAAGACACGTGTAGGCACAACGAGCCTTGAAAATTTTAGGTTTAGTCTTGGGAGAAATGAGATCGTTGTGGTCGGACGGGTTGATCGAGTACGTATCGGATCTTTGGAACATCGTGGATTTCATTCAGAACGTGTTTTACGTGGTGTGGGTCGTGATGAGGCTCACGGCTTTCATCGTGGTGCAAGTGCGTATAGTCGTCTTTATAGTTTTCATAATTTTAAAACGAAACTTTGATTAAACAGCGGTTAAACGTGTTTTCTTGCTCAGAGGGAATATTGGAGCGGCATGGATCCTTGGTATCCGAGAGATCAATGGGACGCGTTCGATCCCATGCTGCTTTCGGAGGGAGCTTTCGCCGCCGGAATGATTTTCAGGTGATCGTATTACAGTAATGTCTCCCTTACCGATGCTCAGATTGTCCAGAAAAAGTGGACAATTTGGGAAGAGGAGACACGATTATCCGAGCCTCGCGGCTCGTTTTTATAATTGTTGACGATTTATAACTATAAAAATAAATCGAAAAGGCTCGAATAATCGTATCTCCTCTTCCCAAATTGTCCATTTTTGTGGACAATCTAAGCGTCAAGTTAGGGAGACATTACTGTATTTCGAAACCGACGGAATCGCGTTTAAAACGTTCAAATGAATAAATATACGAATGCGTTGTCCTCAGCTTTTTGAAGCTCGTCCATATATTCAGCGTGAATCCTCACCTCGGGCCACTCCAAATTTCCCTGGGGAGGATGATAATAGACATTATCAAGTTCTTCTTCATCTACACGCTGGTGCTGATCGCGTTCGGCTGCGGTGAGCATCGTTATCTATTATTTACTCGTCGGTGTTTATTCGACCACCGGACGCCCGTTCGAAATCGATCGATCGCTTTCGAAGATGCTTGAAAGCTCGATCTCTTCAGGAATGAATCAACTGATGTGGTACTACGCGGACCTGGAGAAGATGAAGTGTTATCACATGAAGGACTTCCCGGATCTGCCGGATTTCGACAATCAGGAGAAGGCTTGCTCGATTTGGAGACGTTTCGCCAAGTACGTCTTCCGATGTGCAACGCGAAGCTTTTATATCGTTTCTTCGATCAATTTAACCAACGAATCGCGTTATCGTTAATAATTCCAGCTTGTTCGAGACTTCGCAGTCGCTGTTCTGGGCCAGCTTCGGCATGATAGACCTGATGTCCTTCGATCTGACAGGCATCAAGAGCTTCACGAGATTCTGGGCGCTGCTGATGTTCGGCTCCTACTCGGTGATCAACGTAATCGTCTTGTTGAACATGCTGATCGCTATGATGTCGAATTCCTATCAAATCATCTCGGTACGCCAATATCCCTCGACTCGAGATCGATCTTTAGATTAGATCGAACACTGCGCGACCGTGGCAAGACTACGGTAATGTCTCCCTAATTGACGCTCGAATTGTCCACTAAATTGGACAATTTGGGAAGAGGTGATACGATTATTCGAGCCTTGCAGCCCGTTTTTATAATCGTTGAGAATCGATGACCATAAAAACGACCCTAAAAGCTCGAACATTCGTATCTCCTCTTCCCAAATTGTCCAATTTAGTGGACAATTCGAGCGTCAATTAGGGAGACATTACTGTAACCCTGATTAATCCGACCGATGCTGACACCGGCTGCATAACTCCGGCGATGCGGTCAAATTAATTCGCACCGGTCGCGTTAAATTCCTTCGAGATTCTATTTTTAATATTGTGTTCGAGAGATTGCAAACAATTTTGGAAGATCGATTATTCACGTAGATTAGATTAGATCGCATCTCCGAGATTGAAAATCGAAAATCTTTCCGCAACAAGTTCGAGAAACAAGTTGAAATGAACGCGCGACTTACGAAATACTTAGGAACGAGCCGACACGGAATGGAAGTTCGCCAGGAGCCACCTTTGGATGAGCTACTTCGAAGACGGAGACACGGTGCCTCCTCCTTTCAACATGGTGCCGACAGCGAAATCGTTCAACAAGTTGTTCTCGTGCGGAAAATCCGGTGGGAAGACAACGTCTCTGATCGTACGTACATTCTCGTTTATACTTGAAAAATACTTGCGACGAAAGCGACGATAATATCGGAGACGCTCTGGACCGAAGATCGATTAAAATCGACCGGAGATCAACGTCTCGCGCGCTGCAAATTTACGGGATAGAGGCGCCGATAGAGATCGTATCAGCTCGGGGATTAATAATTTGGAAAAAAAGGTACATACATAGTACGCAACATAGTTTCGCTCGATTCGCGCGAGTTTCGTTCTATCTCTCTCCCTCTCGCGAGGTGTCGGCAACGATAAAAGCGAGCGGCGAGGCTCGAAGAAATCAATTCCCGCGTGCTACTCTCGACACTTTAGAATTCGGCGCCGGCGACAGATAGGGAGATTTTTCGTAATAATTCGTTGAACCGGCGGCGACGTTTCTTTCGACGGTCGACAGAAGAAGTCGAGAGAGAAGGCGATGGCGAGACACGAATCGGTGATGAGGCTGCTGGTCCGACGCTACGTGACCGCCGAACAAAGGAAAAGGGACGAGTTCGGCATCACGGAGGACGACGTTATGGAAATCCGGCAGGACATTTCTACGCTGAGATACGAGCTGATCGACATCCTGCGGCAGAACGGAATGAGGACGCCGTATCTCGACAAGCAGGAGGCGCGTAAGTTCGGCCTTTCGAAGCGCGACGACTCGATTTCGGCTCGCCATTCCCAAATTTAACCTTGCCATTCTCTCAGTGTCCGGCAAGAAGGGTCGAGTGATGGAGCGCCGTCTGCAGACGGACTTCCAGATCGGTATAGTCGAGGGTATAGTGAACGCGGTGATCGCCAGCGAGAAGGAGCCGAGGGACGTGTTCAGTCAAATCGCGAAGGCGATCGGTCGCAAGTCGAGCAGCGGCAAGAAGAAGGACTGGAACGCCATGGTGCGGAAGAACACCATCGCCAACGACCCGATCGGCTCCACGACCGAGGCCAGCATGAAGGCGTCGCGTCGAAGCATTCGCCGGCTTCAGGCCGTGAACCCTGATCTGGCTTCGCTGGACCCGAACCGTCTGATCGATTACAATCCGAACTTGTCGGAGGTCACGCCGACCACCAGGATCGCCTACGCGAAGTTCATGATGCGCAGAGTCAGGATCGACGACGAAGGAGGTAAGTTGACTGTTCGATGAAAATGTCGACGTCGGTCGGTAATTCGATAACGCGAATTGTAGGATCGATTGCGGAGAGGACGAGCGAAACCCCCGAGGGCACCGGAAACCCCAAGGTCAGCATCCGCGAGGGCGAACCGGATCCTCCCCGCCTGACGCCTATGCTTCGGAAGAGCGTGCTCAAGACCATCAGCACGAGCAGCGTGGACAAAGACAAGGACAAGGACAGGGCCATGGACAAGACGCCGTCTTCGGAGGGTAAACCGGAGGTCAGAGTCCCGTCGCCGATCCCCGAAGACCCCCAAGAGGACGCCGCCGCGAGCAAATCGCCGGAAGGTGAGCATCCAGCCGCCACCGCGAAGAAACCTGCCCCGAGTCAGCCTAAGAAAGAGGCCGACAAGAAGAAGCCGGAGGAGAAGAAATCGGAGGACAAAAAGCCGGAGGAGAAGAAGCCGGAGGAGAAGAAGGCGGAGGAGAAGAAACCGGAGGACAAAAAGCCGGAGGAGAAGAGGTCGGAGGAGAAGAAGCCGGAGGAGAAGAAGCCGGAGGAGCAGAAGCCGGAGGAAAAGAAGCCGGAGGAGAAGAAGCCGGAGGACAAGAAGTCGGAGGAGAAGAAGCCGGAGGACAAGAAGTCGGAGGAAAAGAAGCCGGAGGACAAGAAGCCGGAGGACAAAAAGCCGGACGACAAGAAGCCGGACGATAAAAAGCCCGACGACGAAGAGAAGAAGAAGAAAAAAGAAGAGGAGGAAAAGAAGAAAAAAGAAGACGAGGCGAAGAAGAAGGAAGCTGGCGGAGCGGCGAAAGCCGCGCCCCAAGAAGACAACGTACCGGTCGCCACCACGAAACTGAGGGGAAAGTCGAAAGCCACCGGCCAGATTATGGGAGGATGGATCTGAATGAATTTCGACAGGGTTTTCTTCGTTGGCTGACTCGTCTGTACCGAGACAAATTACATACTTACAAGGCGGAATCTCTCTTATTCGTATCGGACGACGCGCGCTGTTGCTCAAAAATTTTGGAATCGCTGTAAAGATCTAGACCGTTAAGGAGGAAAAAGTCGAACGATCGATCGCGCTGTTTTATTGTTTCCAATAATTCGAACGTTTACAAACTCTTTGCTTGCTCTCACTTTATCGAAGTATAGATAACAATGTGTTCTATGCTACACTTTTTTAACGCGGCAGTGTGCACCAATCGTTAACGAGAGAAAACATAATTTATTCCGATCGAGAAGCGTCTCGATTCGTGTTGTTCATTTTTTGCATAGATATCCGCTCGGAACAAGGAAGATAACGTTAGTTTAAGATCGATTGTTCTCCAGATTATATATCCGATAGTTTCTCAAGGATGATATCGATTCACGATTCGTTGAAAAATCATTGACATATTTTTATCTCGAATTATCAGCGGATGACGGACGCGTCGTACGCGCGTCCTCTTTTTCGTCCCCTGTTTCTTCCTCGTTTACGCACGCTTGGACTGCAAACGATTACTGCTAATTCGCGCCAATTCGCGGCAAACGTTTTCAATTTCTAACGTCAGTTTCAACGAACTTGGTCTTATCGTATATGTAATTGACAACGCGGATCGCTCGACGCAAATCGATATTCTAATTAATGTTATAAAAGTGTTAACGTATCGTCGTAGAATCTCTAGATGATTGTCATGTAATCGTAATCGTAATCGTAATCGTAATCGTAATCGTAATCGTACTCGTAATCGAAATTAGAAAATGAAGACAAGTACAAGCGAAGCCATCGATTAACTCGCGCCGATCATCGTTAGAAATCGCGTGTACATTTAGCACGCTGCCAATGCATCGCTCGCGAAATACATGTCCGTCGCAGGACCGCCTAAGACGACGACCCTCTTTTTTTAAGAAAGAAATACCAACTTGTACGTATACATACATATATATATATACACATTATAACGAATTCTTATTCTATTCTTACTCTACAGTTTGTAACTAGATCTGTACGTTTGCCGGTAGTAAAAAGGGAAACGTGAATAAAAATTCAATAAATTAACCGTTGCGTAAACGAACCGTTCGAAACGTCACGATCCACAGCTTCCGCATAGTCTTCGTAAAAGGCTGTTGGACAGATCGTTTAATCGTACAATTTCTTTACCTAATTAATTATTTTTTAATTCATTCGTCGATACGTACCTTCTTCCTTTAGTCTTGGTTTTATTGGTATTCGCGTTTTTGTTCTTTCTGTTCGCCCTTTTGTCCTCCTACGAAAAAACAAATTGCCATTGTTAGGAGGTTCGTCGGTTGGAACTTCGTTTATGATTTATCAGTTCGAATCGTCGACGTACGTCCACCAGTTCTCCGACGAGGAAGTCCTTCAGCATGCTTTTTGCCTCCGAAGAATGACCAAAATCCTCGAAGCCCGATGTCGCGTCTTGGCCCGCGTACTCGTCGATCAATTCGAAACCGCCGGGATGCTGAAATCAATTTCAATTTTGTCCACTTCAAGCTTCGCTTCGAATTGTAAATTTTGGGCCTCGCGTTGCCGTTTCAATGCGAATTTCGATAAAGTCCATTGTGCGAGCAAAATTTACGGGATACGAACGATAATTAAAATAATTAGCAACTCGATTCTCTCTTCGGCTTCGGCGAACAGAAAATAATCGAAGCCGCAACATTGCGCAAAGATACAATTTGGAATGATCACTCGACGCTTTCGATCGCTCGTTTCACGCACCTCTTTCTTGTACTTCGTGACATCGTACACCATATCGTGGACCACGATCCATGTGTCCGCACCGTCTTTGCCGTTTCTTCGGGCAACGTCGTTCAAATGATACCGCGTCGATTCAACCATTTCGATTCGTCTCAACACTTGCGAATTCGAACGCTGAGTAACTTTGAAACTCGAGAAGATCGATCGAGCGATCGCGACCGATGTGCCTCCTATTTCGTGGTTCTGACGGAACTGATCGACCAGCGACTATTCGATCTCTTTGGGAACAAAGAGCAAAAATCCTAACGGAGATCACGGCCAACGAGAACGATAACGAAATCCGTGATACGTGTCACATATGTAGATAAACGCAGATAATGTGTGTCACGTATTCGATTAAAAAGATCAGTCCTGGAATTTCTGGAGGAAAGTGTCGCCGTTCGTTCGTAATTGCAGCGCGCTGCTCGAGGGAATCCCCCCTGGATCTTCGCGGAATTAACGTTGTTACGAAACAACGGTCTTTCTCATGGACGAGGAAAAACGCTGACACGCTACGAACAAAGAGGCGCGCGATTAAATAGCGAACGATTTAACCTACGAGAGAGAAACGATTAGATCAAGGTTTTCAGATTGTTATTATAAATTTTGTAAAAATTTGCTGCTGCTCTCGACGAATTACTCGAGAACCTATCCAATTGTCGCGACTCGTTTAGATACGGCAACGTCGATAAACCACCCTATTAGCGATCTTTTAAGTAGCTTTTAGTTGATCGGTTTAAATTCAGACTCGAATTCATATCCATCGCTCGCAATTTGTGCACAGAGCGCAACTACAAGTCGCCGGCAAAGCATTTTCAGAGGCGATAGAAAAGGGTATTACATTAGAGATAACGTAACAAATTTGGTATGCTACGTCAACGTGTATGAATATAATGAAAAATAATAATGATAATGAAAAATTCGGAGGGACAGTATGTTTTCGAAAAATTCAATAGTTTTTCCTTTAAACAGATAAGAACGGAGCCTTGTGTACGCTATCGGTGATTCGGTAACGGAAAACGCATCATTCGCACATCCGATAAAAATTAATGATCTGAACGATGAGTGGTGGCTTCTTTAGTGGACGCAAAGTAATTCCTCGATCAAATAAACGGTATGTAAAATATTATATCGATCTCACTGACTTTCTCCAAAAGTTTCCTTTAAGTTTTTCATAAAAATAAATGAAAGATTATGAAACATTGATAACAGTAAATAACAATCATTTCTTATGCATTATTAAGCACTAATTAGAGACGCTAGTGAATCGTGTTGGATACTTATTTGCGAAAAATCATGCGTGTAGGAAATGAAGCGAAGCAAATATTCTTTATTCGTACAATAAAAAGCTAAATACGAAATTCCATGTGTTATATATGTTATATTTAAATACTTTATACGTTTTATTAATCGATATTATGCAGAATCGGTTTATTTGTTGTTAAAAATTAAAAGAACGAATTTAAAAAACACCGCCATTTGGGACGAGTGGCGCCTCTCGCGGCAAGTTTTCGAAGCTCCTTTCGGCGTTCGTTCAGCGCCAATTAGTCCGGTGACAAAACGCTCAAACTGTTAGCCAAAATTTTGGCTAGTAGTTTCAGCGTTTTGTCACCGAACTAATTGGCGCTGAACGAACGCCGAAAGGAGCTTCGTGATTTCGCCGCAAGAGGCGCCACTCGCCCCAAATGGCGGTCTTTTTTAAATTCGTTCTTTTAATTTTTAACAACAAATAAACCGATTCTGCATAATATCGATCAATAAAACGTATAAAATATTTAAATATAACTAATATAAGACATGGAATTTTTCATATTCAGCTTTTTATTGTATGAATAATACAATAATACGGTCTCGAACGGCACGCACTTCTATTCTTTATATATTTGTTTATTAAAAATTCATTTTCTATTGCTAAAGTTGTCGCCCGTGGAACGTGGTGCAATTTGGATAGACGAAAAGAGCAATTCTTTGGTAGGTCATACACAGCACGTTTTACGCATTATTTTAGAAATTCCGTATTATTAATAGTCTCCAGCGTCTCCAAAAGTTTTTTGGATAGTGTGCAATTATGGGCAATTGAAGAGCATTTTTTCAGCTATATTTTATTAATATTGGTTAATTCGGTGAGTCAACTTTAAGCGGTTCAATCGACCAACTTATATACAAAAGATCCCAATGAGACATCTAACGAGAAACTGTTCAACATGGTGGTAGCCCTCTATAAACAGATGTTTAATACTCATTCATGTAGTCAACGTGTTGCAGCCAAAATGGCAGCTCTTACGAAAGCGATAGAAATTTCAAAAAGTGTAAATAGTGTGGCAAAATTGTTAACAAATTTATATTTAACTCCAATTGGTAGCTCACTAAGTGCTCCGACATACACTCGCAGGTTCGTTGCGTACTGTTATATTAATAATTGTATCATCAAGTCGAATCATTGGAAGGTGTAGAATTTACTGCATACTTATTCATTTATCGATTGACATGCAGTCAAAGTTAATCTAACAAAATCTATTAAGATTTTCCTAGAGTTTGCTGCCATTAGCTGTATTTAAGCAACATTTGCACTTCGTTAGTGTTGCATTTGCGAAAAACTGCATAGCTTAACCTTTCATGTTGTTTCAATCTTAGATTCATTGAGTCTGGAATAAAATGATTTCGAACATTTTAGCACACCTACCTTTCGATACGCGTTCATTCATACCACGTCTAAGCAAAATGATTTAATGGAATTTTTTGATGACGAGAAAAATTGGGGAAAGAATCGTGTTCTGGTGGGACGTTCTTGGAGGCAAGAAGAATTAAGATTGAAGAGCAACGAGGATCTGCATAAGTTGTGGTAAATTATTGTAAAACGTAATGACAGATAAAATATTAATTGCATGTATATTTAAACTATTAGGTACGTATTATTAAAAGAACGAAATATGTTATTAACGATGGAAGAAGTCTACAAAAAGAAATACGAGTATTTCCCTAATCCTGAAAGAATTGATAAAGTTGAGGACAGTATGTCTAACTTAGAAACAGTAGTCCGTGAACGGAATAGGGCATACCATATGCTTGAAACTGGAGTCAATGGAGAACGACCGGCAAAATTGCAATATAATGCACTAGGTACAGTATGTTGTTCGTTATTATTAATATTATGAAACATTTTATTTCACGATGGATTCTATTTCACAGGCCTTCGGTTCTTCTATCGTATGAGGCAACATGTAATACCAAAGTTTATGAACACCAAATGGCATAAAACACACCACTTCGGTTTTGGCGGATATGCTGTGCGAAAATTCCTACGACTTTATAGAGAGAAACTTTGGATTCGTAAACGTAAATTGCGAGAGTTCGTATCATTCTATATTTCATTATTCAACTTAAGTACTCCGATTTAATTAAAAATAATATGAAAAATCATTGAAATTGTAGTCGTCAAACGAATCGAGTGGCGACTCTCTTACGTATGTTCCCAAACATGGATATAGAGGCTGCAAAAGAAGAGTACCCATTAGCGAATATAGAGAAAGCAAGAAGATCAAAAAAAGCAACTGATCATTTCATACCCAAATAATTGCATTTCTCTTTTAAAACTGTAATTATATTCATCTTTAATATAAGTATTTAGATTTAACATAGGTCAAAGTATTTCTTCTATTGTATAAAATGTACTGTATAGCTCCAGAAGAAATGTTATTCAATTCCATATTGATTGTATCTGTATACCTTTGAACTACCACTGTCGAAATTTTGTGTTTAAATATTTTATAATTAAAAGAAAAATGGGAAATACAGAAGTCGTATGTTATGTCATATGTAATAAGAAATAGAATTCATCGACATGTTATTATAAAATAGGTAAGAAAAAGGCAATCTCCTTTATTCTGTCGACTAGTCATAATTTTATTTTTATTCGTTTTGTTGCAACTTTGAAGGTCGAGTACGGCGGTGTCAACGTTGTGCAAAAATTCCACGACCACAATATTTAAGACATAGGTATGCTTACACATAGCACGTAGAAAGTATAACATTTGAATTTAATTTTTTAACGCTTCAAGAACTAATACAGTAAACTAATTATGCTTCTCACAATTTTTCCTATTTTCATCGTGTAATATTCCATGTTAGAATTACATAAATTAGAGAGAGTCTTTTGTTAATTTAACGTTTCATCGTTCAAATGCTTCATCGCAATAATACACGATTACACGAAACGATGCATACAGTGTTACAGTTTTATTCACAGTGATTTACAAACTATGTACTACATCGAATCGTGTAGTTCTAATAACGCAAAGTACGACCTTACAAAAAGAAGCATACGAATCCATTTGAAAAACACAAATTAATTCACACATTGAACGAAATCTCTTTGGTGCATAAAATTGCATGTATTTCTTTCGGTTGGAAAACGTTTAAATCGATTTTGAGGAAAACGACAAATTTCATTTACTAAAATGAAACTATCTTGCGCTAACAATTCTCGATACACTTACTTCGACAATATTTTCAATTTCAACGGTATACAAAGAAATAAAGTATAGAATCATCGATATTTTACATAGCAACTTATTCAATAAAAGCACCTTAAGGTTGATATGATGTAAAATAATTACATCTCGCGATTATATGATTTCGTATCTGTACAATTGAAAACAAACTAATATATGTATGCTGTATAGCTATAGATTATTCTAACTAAGGCTCAAAACTTTCAAGCGACAGATCACGAGCGCATAGAAAGTGAAAGGGATTAAAAATAATATTGGAAAGCTACGTCATAATAATTACTATTCTCGTCGTTATCGATATTACTATAAGGAATGTTAACTATACGTCATACAATTATTTCGAAAGCAATTTATAGAATATTTTGTTCTTGTCCAAGCTGCTCTACACCTTACTGCCATTTCGTTAACATTTGTTTCTTTAGAATAAATCACTTGATATCAATAGTGCATATTCAGATACGAATTAGTTCTTACAATAAATTTAATCCTGCATCAAAGATAGAATATCAAGGTGATTTACGTTATTAAAAAGATATTGCACCCTTTTATTAAATTAGCACATCGATATTATATATCGTTAAATATCCTGTAGTCGTATGATTTCGCGCGTTCACCACTCCTTGGAGGAACATGATCATCGATCTCAAGAGTAGTTAAACATTTTATACGTCGACGCTTAGTTAATTACTTCAGCCGTTGCTATCCGTTTCATCGTATTATTATGTACTGATATTTACTTACCTGGAGCGCCAACATTTATGTTTCATCTGTTTCTATTACTGTACGAGTATACGACGATGCCATAAACTATTGTCTATCGATACACCTTAACAATATTTATTCGCTCTCCGAAGACAGTAAATGTCGCCATGCAAGCTGCAGCTCTTTACCAGCGTCCGAGCAACGTCTATGAAGCTTGTCTTCCGGTGGAAGTGTTGCCATAGGAAATTCACCCTGAAACATATATAGTTTAACCAATTCAGAGCAACTGCGATATCGTATAGCACACTACGATCTATAAAATTACAACATACCAGACTCGCATCGGCCCACAGTGTCTCTAAAATTTTCCTGAAAGTGCACAATTCTGCGTTGTTTGTGAAGTATATCACCCAATCGCCGCTGCTCTCATGAACTTCTCGGCACGAGAACTCCTATATAAAGAATATTTACATCAGAATCTAAATAAATATCACAAATTTGCCCTCCCCCCCCCTACACACACACACACATACACCTACATACCAGTATGCACCAGGATTGTTGCGTTACAGGTACTCTGAAGGCCGTCAGATCTTCGACAGAGGCACAGGAAAGTGTTTGTCCACGTTGTTTACCAGAAAATACTTCTTTCATGGTAACCAAGTGCTTGGTGGTCGTGATCAGACTACACGGCAGCGGTTCCCTTTTCTCGGATGCGTCGAACAATCCCGAAGCACTTTGAACGAAACTTTGCAACCATTCGGAAGCGACGTACTCATCCGGGGCGGCGAATTGGAAGGCTTTATTCGGCTTCAAAAGAATTTCGAAGGTGTGCGGTCGATGTGAATTGGGAATTCTCCTGCACCCTTGACAGAGACCGCCCTTCAATGGAATTGCTCGTATTGGAAGCCGTAGATTCGCGTCCGTGAACATGTAAACAACGCCGCCTTTCAAGACAAAGTAGCCAGCTTCCCAGGGATTTGTCGGTGCATTAGGATGAAGTTGTTGATAAGTGTGCGGTCTGTACATGAGGTCACCCTCTTTGGTCGGTCCGCAGGGTGTACTGGGAGGCGACATGTACTCATCCTCCATATAAATTAGATTGTAATGTTCAATCTTCTCGTCCTAAAATATTCAATTGTGCATTTTAAAAATGGACCACAGTTAATAACGAACTACATCTATTTTAAATTTCACGCACTGGGTGTACAGCAGTGTCACTGAGTATTGACTGTCTCAAGGTATGCATGTCCTCGTAACTCAATTCTTTCACCGCCGGAAGTCGAGGCTTCGTCGGAGACCTCCTCATCGCCATTTCCAAGTAGGCGATCAAATCCGATGTGGTTTGAGAACTCCCAGTAGAGAATAGATACTGCATCTCATAATCCGCATTGGATAACAATATCGTTTGTGCATTTGGTCCAATCTGGAAAGTCATTTGTCTATTTTAGAAAAAAAAAGAAAAATTACCAACGAACAGTACAACTTAAGCGAACTTACGATAATTACGTCTAACTCATTATAAGGAATAACGAATTGATTGCTGTAAGTGTTGTCTGGCTTCGTGCCGGTTAAATACAAGGTTTTGTCGGTCAGTAAAGCGATCATCGGTTTACTGTCGTCATTCGTCATGTACGAGCTCCGAACCTTGTACACCTTGTACAGCTCTTCCGTTTTGTCCCTATAGATGTACTTCTTGAAGAGCTCTCGCATCTTCAAGCTGACTTTTTCACCGCTGACCTCTTGCTTCTCCGCGGTCACGTTCTCCTGTATCTCTCGGTCGAGATTATCGTTGAAGTCCTTGAAAGAATCGTAACTAGTCTTTACACCTTTGACGTACAGCGGATTCGTCTTCGGGGACTTCTTATTCCTCTTGATCTCGAACTTCCTCTCCGTGATGGACTTCAGGAATCTGTTCAGCAACGAGGTTTTCGAGGGCGCCTGTCTCAGAGGCGGCGGCGCCAATTTATTACTACTTTCTCCGGTTAATATCGAGGTCATGTTACGTTTTTTCAACGGCGAAGCTAAGTGTCTGCTATTCCTACGCTCTTCTAAATCGGACATGGCGATGCTATCTACACTGGTCCAGTCGCTGGAACCGGGTTGCTTCTTTGAATTCGAAGAATAAGGCATTTGAACCTTTGCCGGAGGATCTTCAACTATGTTCCCATAGGCTTTCTCCACTATGTATGCCTCTTGCGCTTCGTTGTCCTCCAATTCGATCTCCATTTTCGGTAGCAATGATTTTCCTGGGTCTTCTTGACCTTCTGGCACGCCCCGCTCCGAAATTGATAAACCGCAAGCGCATTTACAATGGCTCTGGCATAACGATTCCGCGCACGTCTTTGGCGTCGCCTTCTTTTCGCTGTCGCTGTCGAAAACACTCGACGACGAGGAGTAGGAGTAATAATCGGAGTGTGCGTTTCTGGTGCTCGCAGTTTTCTGAACGTAAGGTGAATCACCGTGAGCACACCAACTGTACCTTCCCTTCTGGGCAGTCTTCTTCTGAACCGAGTTAGGCGTCAAGAAACTCATGGAGAAGTCAGCATAGTTCTCGTCGTCATCCAGTTTCATGGTCTTCAAGATATCCTCATGAAAGCTAACGCGCTTTTTACTTTCCCCACGTTTCTTCTTGCGTTGTCTGCGCTGCACCAGAGCTTCCGAGCTAGAAGACGATAAGATGCTGGCATCCGTCATGTTGATCGTATTCAAAATACCATAAGGCGCTTCCATGTTCTCGCAATCGGAGATGGTCATGCTAAGCTCCAATAGATTTGTGTCATTATTGATCACGTACGAATTCCGTGAATCAACGTTCCGTTTAAAGCTGTAACTACCGTCGCTATAGTATGTGCTTCTCTTGTTTAACTCTTTCACACCATTATCGAGTTTGTTATTTACTTTATCTAGCTTGGATTCGTCCAGGCTCTTGCTATAAAAACTATAATCTTTCAAAGTTTCCAAGCTGGAACAATTAAGCTCATTGTCATCGAGTTTCCTAGTTAAGTTCTGATTCGCTATGTCGCTTTTCGTCACCGTCGCTGGTTGAAACTTAGAGACCATCCCGGGCGACTGCGTTGGCGTTTTCCCATCCTCACTGGAATCACTGGAACTGAAGTTTTTATTGTCCTCCATGCAACCATTCATAGTTGCTTTGTACCTGTTATTTCTGTACTTTGGGATCTCTTCCAAATTAAAGTCTTCCTGAAAACGTAAATAAATATGATCATTTGTAACAAACATATCTCAACATTTTGTGGATGAATTTGAGAAATTGACCTCTTTGTAGCTGCTAGCATCGGTCTCGTTCGCGAGATCCATGTCGCTATCAAAAGCGACCCCACTATCGCCAGGAGAAGCTAAGCTTGAAGATACACTGGACGATCTAAGATGTAATGATAAGATGGTTCCGGAAGGGATCACACTCATAGGCCTCTGGGGCATGTAGTTGCAAGTGTCTAGGAATGTTACATCCTAAATAGAAAGCAATTGCTAAGTTAGAATGGAAATACTTAATGAAAAGTATAAAACATAAACGATTTGATCTCACTGAAGCAAATATATAGAGATCAAGAACTTTCCATGAACAAATAAAGAAGGTGATATAAGATGAATAAATGAAAAATAGGTGTACACGAGCGATAACTTATTGCTCCTTAAATTCATATAAACAGATTGAACTGAACATGCAATGTTTGCTAAGTGGCAGACGTTATTTATTATTGAGATAATTGTAACCAGGGGGTGATACCGCTATCAACACAAAGGAAATAAAGTAAGAAAAAAGTCTACAAAAACAAACAAACAGAATGCTGACGGCCACACGTCGATATCGTCATCTAGCTTTCAGCAATATGATTAAACATTTGAGATGCGATAAAAGAAAAGAAATTGAATAATAAACAAGGTTTAAATTGTGAAATTTTGTAACATAGGTTTGTGTTACATACCAATTGCAATGTGAAGGATACATTCTCTAGACCTGCAAGAAGATTAACTAGCTGGTTGGTCTTATCAGCATCCCGAACAAGTGCATGTGGGAAGTACTGCTTTTTCAATGTTTTCGTATCTCGTAACAAACAGGCTAAGTAACTTTCAAAGCTGCCTTCGCTAAGTGTGTGGTAAAGCCATGCTCGACCTATAAAAACCCCATAACTTTTACCAATCGATTCAGAAGTATATCGAAGGAATATGCTAGTAGAGCATGCTTGAACAAATTTCCTACTTCTTCTGCAGATTATGCAAACCTTTGCCAATGGAAGTTAATACACCTTGGAGAGCGTGTATTACAACAACAGTGTCTTGATGGCTAAGTTCACGAGCAGTTCCCCAATATCCATGCCGTTCTATACGTAGTCCATGACGCAGGGCTCGATCTAGCCAATAGACCAACCAAGAATCTCCATCCAAAACTACCGTTCTATATATACTCTGGGCATATACCTATTTAAGACAAAGAAATCATTTTTAATTATTATTATAAGAGTTCTTTAATGTTTTAAGATATTAAAAACTCTATTCTATGTTCTTCATAGATTCCTGAGTGCCATGGTATTAAACACGGTCTTACCAAAAAGCACCCAAAACTTTCTCATTCTTTGGTCAGACCATTCAAGAACAATATCTTCATTTCAAAGCCAAAGTAACATCGGACTACTTGCAGTTCCTATCTACCGCTATCTTTCTCAAATAAGCATCCATGACACTACTAGTCAGATGACCCGAGAGTAGTACTTGTTGTTGCATGGGAACAGCTGTTTAACCTTATGTATCTCTTTTGCAGACCTAACAGCTAACTAAGCCCTAAGGACCTATCATAAATACTTTATAGGCTGAATAGCACTCCCACTTCAAATACACGGGCACCAAAAATACGATTTCCATACGAATTTGAAGAAAACAATACAAACAAATAATATGCCGCGAAAACGATTATCGTACTCGATGAGATAGCAATAATACCGTCGATGATTGATCACAGTTGCGAAAAAAAGTGCAGCGGTCGTGAAATGTCATGACACGGATTCATCGATCTGCATGGATCCCGGAGAGCAGAATTCGAGACGGTTGTGTGACAGGTGCAGAAACGGATAAGTAGAGAGAGAGAGAGAGAGAGAGAGAGATGCACGGATGCATCGTAGCAGAAAACCGCGACGCAGATCACCACGGAGAACCAGAAATCGAGATGACGTTAGGAGCACATGTAGTACACCCCGCTTTCAAAAACACAAGAAAGACAATAAAACGCGTCGAGCTGTGTTGCACTACCACACGAAGGCGCTCGTGTTCGTGTGTGTCCGTGCAGCTTCGATTTCAGCTGTTCCGTCATGGTTAAGTGTTTTGTGAAACTCGTTCCATATTTTTTCTTTTGTTTCCGGAATCTATAACAAGGAGAAATGGAAAGCAGAATTTTGTTCGAGGCAGAACGGTGAGTCACGCTTGACGAGAAATTTTTGGGTGGGCATTGCCGAGATCGTTCGATTTAGGCTGTAGCTTTAAATCCGTAGATGCATACAGTCGCGTGCGATGTACATACATATATAGATAACGTATGGCCTTGATACGTCGTCCTATGCCTCGAGCAGACGGCCACTTACCAATTTGACAGCTTTCGTCAGTTCCTGCAGTATTCTTCCCTTGGACAGTACCTTGTCGGTACAAAGGTCCATGTCTTCCGGACTCGGCATCGCAATCTCTCTAATCTTACATGGTTCTTATCGCACGATAATACGAATCTCCAGAGGAAATCTCGCGAAATGTCCGAAGACAGGGGAAAAGACCGAATACCAAATTGTACCGAATCGCGGCTCCGTCACAACGTCGTCGGTGGAGTCGCACTCAGTCGCACTGGCACATTCGCCGGGTGGACTCATTGATTTTAGTTACGCGCAGGCGGCGCGCCAATATCAAACTCCCCTTTTTTAAACGGTCTCCCCCTTTCTGTCGCTATTATTCGCTCGACACGCTTGTCGCCCTCACATTAAGTGGACACTGCCTTCCTTTCCTATCCCGATAAGGAAACCGTTAAACAAACAAGCTTTTCTACCGCCGAATTACGAACCACTAACAGCGCTTCATTTTTCTTACGAGATACTTATATCAATTCATTTTAATTTGTGAAAAGACATTGGCGAGTGTTCAAAGAAGTACAAGATTTTCAGATGTAATCCTTGAAAATCCTATCAATCGCTGCATTTGTTTATTCATAGAATAATAGATTGAAAGGAAGTTGTAAAAGTTCGGCTTCATTGTGCACGCGATCGATTCGTTTAAGTGAATCGTACAATGCGATACTATTTCATTTCTTAGCCTTATTTAAATTTGCAAGCCTTACACACGATCCTGATACTGTAGAGAAAAATGAGAATGTATGTGATTTTGTTCTTTCTTTTGTCATTACTGTCAACGATGCAGCATGACGACAATATATTTCCGGTTCGACATGCATATATGTATACGCAACTATTATGCGATGCGGCTATTTACGCAACGTGAAGAAAGTTTTACGAAATAGACATCTGATTGAATAATACGCGTTCACTTTAAAGGGAGATTAATTTCCTACGTACTATGAGATTTCATTTATACTGAGCTCATGAAATGAAGTTTTTATTCCGACATACGTCACTACGTTACCAATCGAAGAAATTATAAATCCCATGCAATTGCAAAACATTTAATCTTTTTTAATGATTCAATCACGAACGATGTAATTCAGAGAACTTTATAACTTTAAACTTTCATATATAAAATATTATACATAACTTTAAGTATTGATTATATTAGCGAAAAGTGAAATCNGCAGAATTCGAGACGGTTGTGTGACAGGTGCAGAAACGGATAAGTAGAGAGAGAGAGAGAGAGAGAGAGAGATGCACGGATGCATCGTAGCAGAAAACCGCGACGCAGATCACCACGGAGAACCAGAAATCGAGATGACGTTAGGAGCACATGTAGTACACCCCGCTTTCAAAAACACAAGAAAGACAATAAAACGCGTCGAGCTGTGTTGCACTACCACACGAAGGCGCTCGTGTTCGTGTGTGTCCGTGCAGCTTCGATTTCAGCTGTTCCGTCATGGTTAAGTGTTTTGTGAAACTCGTTCCATATTTTTTCTTTTGTTTCCGGAATCTATAACAAGGAGAAATGGAAAGCAGAATTTTGTTCGAGGCAGAACGGTGAGTCACGCTTGACGAGAAATTTTTGGGTGGGCATTGCCGAGATCGTTCGATTTAGGCTGTAGCTTTAAATCCGTAGATGCATACAGTCGCGTGCGATGTACATACATATATAGATAACGTATGGCCTTGATACGTCGTCCTATGCCTCGAGCAGACGGCCACTTACCAATTTGACAGCTTTCGTCAGTTCCTGCAGTATTCTTCCCTTGGACAGTACCTTGTCGGTACAAAGGTCCATGTCTTCCGGACTCGGCATCGCAATCTCTCTAATCTTACATGGTTCTTATCGCACGATAATACGAATCTCCAGAGGAAATCTCGCGAAATGTCCGAAGACAGGGGAAAAGACCGAATACCAAATTGTACCGAATCGCGGCTCCGTCACAACGTCGTCGGTGGAGTCGCACTCAGTCGCACTGGCACATTCGCCGGGTGGACTCATTGATTTTAGTTACGCGCAGGCGGCGCGCCAATATCAAACTCCCCTTTTTTAAACGGTCTCCCCCTTTCTGTCGCTATTATTCGCTCGACACGCTTGTCGCCCTCACATTAAGTGGACACTGCCTTCCTTTCCTATCCCGATAAGGAAACCGTTAAACAAACAAGCTTTTCTACCGCCGAATTACGAACCACTAACAGCGCTTCATTTTTCTTACGAGATACTTATATCAATTCATTTTAATTTGTGAAAAGACATTGGCGAGTGTTCAAAGAAGTACAAGATTTTCAGATGTAATCCTTGAAAATCCTATCAATCGCTGCATTTGTTTATTCATAGAATAATAGATTGAAAGGAAGTTGTAAAAGTTCGGCTTCATTGTGCACGCGATCGATTCGTTTAAGTGAATCGTACAATGCGATACTATTTCATTTCTTAGCCTTATTTAAATTTGCAAGCCTTACACACGATCCTGATACTGTAGAGAAAAATGAGAATGTATGTGATTTTGTTCTTTCTTTTGTCATTACTGTCAACGATGCAGCATGACGACAATATATTTCCGGTTCGACATGCATATATGTATACGCAACTATTATGCGATGCGGCTATTTACGCAACGTGAAGAAAGTTTTACGAAATAGACATCTGATTGAATAATACGCGTTCACTTTAAAGGGAGATTAATTTCCTACGTACTATGAGATTTCATTTATACTGAGCTCATGAAATGAAGTTTTTATTCCGACATACGTCACTACGTTACCAATCGAAGAAATTATAAATCCCATGCAATTGCAAAACATTTAATCTTTTTTAATGATTCAATCACGAACGATGTAATTCAGAGAACTTTATAACTTTAAACTTTCATATATAAAATATTATACATAACTTTAAGTATTGATTATATTAGCGAAAAGTGAAATCATTCTGTTGTTGTAACTTACCTACCATACTATGTATACGGTGGTATCCAACAAAGTGGCAGATAACTGCAGTGATTTATTGGGAGAAACGGAATAAAACAATTTTAATGGATCAATCCAATCTGTCATGAAAGGTCAGAAGTGCGTAGTTATCATTTATGTATTTATCGTTGCGTGAAAAGTACGAGGAACCGTATAATGTGTTATACGTATGTATAATAACCTTTTGCCTTAGTCTTCTGCTGTCAAATTATATTATTTTTACATTCGGCTCTCGTATTTATGATTTTTATGCGAGTCTAAATTTAAAGTATTCAATATTTCATTGGTTCTCATTTGAAAGATGAGGCTTTAACTTTCATATGATACAAACATTGACTTATCTCGAAGGCACCTGTTAATCTTATCTCAGAATTTTAAACAAGACATGCAGGCCTGCGAGGTGAGAAATAATGTCATAGATAGACGAAAACGACAATAGATCTAACACCTCATGAATTTTTGTGGTCAAAAATTAACTGCATTACCGACATAGAAATTGAACATTGATTCGAATTAGCGCATCCTATTCTCGTGGATAACAATCGATTCAAAATTGATTTTCTGAAGCAGTATTGGAACAGAAGTACGTAAGTGTAAATATGAATGAATATATCTTGTCTATGTTATAGAATTATGATTTGCCTACACTAAAACTTTAGACTGTTATTGCAAAGTTATATTTTAGCGGGCACGTGTAGTCACATGCGCACAAATTAGACAAAGTATACATTACATTACATAGACTCGTGCGCGTAATACGCGATCAAAAATTTTTAGTCCGCCATTGGCAACCATTGACTTTGAAGCTTGAAGGTTTATGGAGGTCCGAGACAGAGTCCGAGATCCCCACACCTAAAGCAAAGACCATTGCATTTCCTTTTTGTTCTTCTCTTTTTTACTCTATTTTCCCTTTCCTTCTGTCTTCATACTATTTAAAATGCTATATGATTTATATTGGCTTTTAAAGACATTAAGGAGCGAAAATATTCTTGATACATAGATATTTTATTCTAGTTTATCTATAATATGCTAATACTGAATTTCTGGAATACTCATTTCCCCACTTTGTAATTTATTTACATTGTTACGACTGTACTTTGAGGAATACTTTTCCCCTAATGATTATTTCTCTTAAACAGACTTGTTCTTTAACAGACCTAACATTACTGTACATGTTTCATGCAATTTCAATTCTTACGGAATGTCATGCAAGATTCTATAGACGCGAATAATATGAAAATATGAAGTGTAAATATAGTATTTTTTTTCGTTACATTACTTAATTATTATTTTCTTTTATCGCAAACTTGAAATTTTGTGTGTGTATAGTAACCTTAAATTTTCCACAAGAAAATTTAATATCATCGATAATTGTGACAGTAAACAATTCGTGTAGTTTGTTTGTTACCCTGACTGATAATATATTTTCAAGACGTATTATGCATTTTATTTATATATTTTTATTTTTGTACGTAACAAAATATATATTTTTTTAACTTTGATACTTCATTATTTATAACTCTATTGCTAGTATTCGTAAACATAATTATATGTCACTCATAATATTTACAGTTGAACCACTATAATGTCAGAACCTGGACTGTCAGTCGAGGAAGAACTATTTTTATCAGATATTTTTGATGAAGTAAATAATGTTACAAGTAATCATGACGTTTCTAATAATTGTAAGAGATTCACATATATAATAATCGCATGTACACATATATTTTTTTTCAATTTATTATTTAATCATGTTTTACTTCATGAAGCAAGTTCGATGTCTATCGATGATGATGAACCAGAATCTTCAGATGACAGACCAGACTGGAAAGGTGTGAGCATGGATGAGATTTATAGAGGTTTAGGCGTATACGGTTGTAAGGAGCTCCCATCCATTTCGCTTTCTTCATCTCATACAGTATTAATATCGGTAAGATTTGAATAAGAGAGATTTAAGTGAAAAGTTCTTTTTATTATATCTAGATTGTAATTAGACAACTTTATAAAACAGTTACCATTGTCTGCACATGGAGCACCAAAACCTTATCCTTCTCACCAAGTGGATAAATGGTGTCAGGATTTCGTAAGAATGCCACATTCAAAATATAATTTATATCCAGTAGAGCAGGTATACACTAATAAATACCATTGCATATTATTTATAATATTACAGGTGATATAATGTCTGTCTTAATATTTTATCGTAGGATGGAACCCGACGTTGCCGTAACAGATGGGAATTAATCCAAGAATCTCTACTTCAAAGTTTTGTGTCGTCACAGCAATTGGAAACAGCAATACTTTCTTACAATCATACATATGCAGAACGTTGGAATTTTGCAGCATTGCATCATTTTTTTTCAGAGGTAGCAATTTAATCTATTCTATTTCTATTTTAAGGATATTTATTACATACTATTTTTTCTTTATAGACTGTCGATGAGGATGAAATGAACATTTTCTTTGATGTTTTAATGCCAAAGATGGTTCAATTAGCTCTGCATCTTCCTGTTTTGGTAACAGGAGCTGTGCCCCTCTTAAAACGTCATACCAATGCAACAATTACTCTTAGTCAATTACAAATAGCCTGCCTACTGGCTAATGCATTTTTTTGTACATTCCCGAGACGAAATTCAACGAGTCCGCAGTCTGAATATGGCACATATCCATATATTAATTTTAATAGGTACCTATTTTATCATTAATAAATCATCCATATGTAGTTACACGGATTTCACTTTAAAGTATACGTTTATTTAGGTTGTTTTCGGCATGTAGAAGGGACAAGTGGAACAGATGCGCATCAGTAATGGAAAAACTGAAATGCATATTTCACTATTTTAGGAGAGTAACAGCAAAAGGTGAGTGCATTTTGTATTTTCCTTCCAGCTAAATTTCGACAATTAATATTAGTCTAATTTGATTACAATGGAAAATAGAATTTGAACTTTACCATAATACATATTGTCATGGTACAGCTCCAGAAGGTGTGGTAACAATACAACGGCGGTATATTCCAAAATCAGATTGTCCAAAATGGGACGAACAAGTACAGAAGTTGCCACCGTTACACGTTACAAGCAAAGGAACGATAGAAATGGAAGGAGCTGGTCTCTTGCAAGTGGACTTTGCTAACAAGTATTCCTCGTTTCTATAATTAATGATATGTTGAATAAGTCGCTTTAATACATGATATCTAAAGAAATTGAAATCCTCAGATACGTAGGTGGCGGTGTACTTGGCTTTGGATGCGTACAAGAGGAAATACGATTTGTAATTTGTCCAGAATTACTAATAACTATGCTTGTTACGGAAGAATTAGACGACACTGAAGCCTTAGTTGTTTGCGGCATTGAAAGATATAGTAAATATGATGGCTATAGTAACACCTTTAAATGGACGGGAGATTTCGTCGATGAAACACCCGTGGATAGTTGTAAAAGGCGATTAACATCTGTTGTTGCCATTGACGCTCTTCATTTCAAGCAAGCTTCGTCGCAATTCAGTATAGGCAATATAAGAAGAGAACTTAATAAGGTTGCAAATGCGCTGATTAATTGTAGTTACAACAATAGTCGTATTATATATAGTAATATCAATTTGTATAGGCGTACGCGGGATTCGTCGGATGTGAAAGTAAAAGAACTAATTTGCCGGCAATAGCAACCGGCAATTGGGGATGCGGTGCTTACCGAGGGAACCCAAAGTTGAAAGTACTCTTGCAGCTTATAGCTGCAGCAGTAGCAGGTCGGTCCGTGGTCTATTTCACTTTTGGTGATACAAGTTTGCGAGACGACATAGCCGAGATGTATTCACACTTGACAAAGCAGGAGGCAAATATAGGTACATTAACTCGAATTCCATAAAAATCTTAAAATATTTTACGTTTATAGACGAAATTAAATTTTTATGATATTCTTCCAGCTCACATATTTAGTTTACTGTTACAATATCAAGAGTTTGCCACAGTTCGTCGCATGGATTTTTATAAATTTTTATATAGCGGAGGTAAAACGAGACCCCTGACACATTACTTGAATAAATCTTTGCAGGCCAATAAAAATTCTACTGTAAAAGAACTTATTTTCAAAAGAAGCAAAAGTGTTAGTATAGACGATAGAAAATGTTTTCGTTCGGACTTTAAGGGTCCAGAAACAGAGGAGGAAAGAATACAGAGATGGTTGACGGATTGCGAAGAAGGTACAAGTAAGAGGAAAACGAACACCATAATTGAGGAAAACGCACAAGGCACGGATGGAGCAGAAGAAGAACTAAGTCAAGATAGCGATAGTATAGGGAAGAAGGAAGAACATATTCAAGATAAGACTAGTACCGAGAAAAAGAGGAAACCGTCTTTATTAAAAATGTTAGAAGATACAGTACACTCTAGAACGATTCCCGTTCAGAAACGAATGTCAGCTCTTGAGTTTTTTGATTCACAGGAATTTATTTCTCATCAAACGAGCGATGATTGCGGTCCGTTAACAAAAGTTGATAGCAAACCGATGGTGAAATCGTCTAGAACGCATAGCACAAGCGAATCTGCTCACCCTTCAACTGAAACTTGTACAGCAATACCCAATAAACGAGATTCGCTGTGCAAAAAATCGGGACAGCGGAAAATTTCTGATTTCTTCCAACGAACGTCTTGAAAATTATAAAACAGTGTAGGCAAAGCACATTAATTGAACATTTGTTCATAAAACATTCTTTGCACACGACAATGTTGTGCTGAAGAAAAATGAACGAACTAATTGTAAATAATTATTTCATTTCGCGAAATCTGGATTACAAAAGTGTTGAAATTATAAATGCGAATGTATGGAAAAATAAACTACAGTATTCTCATTTAGATAACATTTAGAATATTTTATTAACAACGTATATAGTTTAAGCAACAGGTAACTTATAATCATTTCCTCTATTTTTGAGAGTCAAATCATACTAATTGACGATACGTTCATAGAAATTTATATCGCTCCGTCCAAGAATTATCATAATAGAACCAATGAACTAGAGATAAACTACATATTTATAAGGCCTAGTTACCATTCTATTTATTACCTTGACCCGCGATTAACAATTACGTTTAAAAAGCTTCATTCAATTATGGTTGTATATCAGTTAAATTACAAATTTAATCATCGATTGCAGTCGACAATTATCATTAAATATTGCTCGACTCTGATGCATGTTAATAAAAGTTTAATTCAAAAGGCGAATAGATCTGTGATTACTGGCGGTCACGTGATGATTATCGACGTATCGTGTCAGCCGTGGACCGAAGAAATCGGTCGAATACACGAAGATGGCTGCTGCCACTGAATTATTAAATACTCTCGCCGAAACAGCGATTTTTCGAAAGAAAATGTAGAATTATCCGGGTTGCGACGCGTTTCAGGTAATAATTAATCTGTTCTCAGTGAGTTTAGTTAATGTCCGCGATCTGTTTGACTGGTGTTGCTCGCGAGAATCCGTGGGCGGTTACGAGGAGACGGTTCCAACGTCAGCTCACTCTAACTTGACATTTTGACAGCCGACAGACGTAAATATTGAGCCGAACCATCGTCGAAAGACAGTGTCACCGATTGGAGAGGCGAGAATTCTCGTGACGTCTCGTGACACGAACACGAACAGATTGATTCGGTCGTGTTCAATGAACCAAATAACTTGGTATTCTCGACGAGTCGTCTCCCAGCACGACGCGTGCCATTTTCAAATGTTACACGTTTGCTCGATATGTTAACATCTCGAGTCTCGAGTGACAGCACGATCGCCGATCTAATGTGTCGGAAGACCGTTCGTTAAAGTTTTGTTGCTTTTCGCAGCAATCATCTCCTTGACGAAATCCACCGATCGTTTTCTAAAAGATATCTGTTACATAGTGGTGTACGATACCGAGTATTTCGATCATTTTGAATCGTACACTTGTGACAACATACATTTTCGTTTCTCTCTACCTGTACATCGCCTCGATGCGTTTCTTCGCGAATTATCAGTTTCCCGTGTTGTTTACAATTCGTCTCGACCGTACAAAATCAGTGCGATATTATTGAACAAGCAATTCATAGTGTTATGGATTCCCGTTCTATGCATCTTACGCGCGTGTTTATATAATTTGTAATGTCGGAAATGATCCTGAATCGCTGTAATTTAACGTATTCTATCATGAGTTCAGCACTTGGCAAATATTTCTTGAATACCACATAAAAGGTATTTCAAATTGTTGTTCCTTACCGAACTTCACAAATCTTGTCAGTGCATTGAAAATGTAGATTTAACTTTGTGAAAAAAGTAAAATGTAACAATTGTAATTTATGCAATATCCATCATGATGGATAATGTAAGTTCCGAATGTATCAATACCATATGTTTCATTTAACCAAGTTCAAGGACTGCTTTATGTATATCATAACTAATTTATATTACTCACTTTCTTTTAGCAAATTCTAAGTATGAACATAATGCGTAAATTACGGGCGGCTACCAGTGTTGGAGGCATGAGTTCCAGCAGTACAAGTGGTTTAGACGACTGTGTGGGGACCACAAATCCCCAGCACACTGCTCTAGGTCTCATGCATCTTAAGAAACTTTTTTCCGAGTATACCCATCCTGCACATCCCCTCTCAGATGCTGAACGTGATGACAAGCTGTACAATATGTTGCCATTATTTTGCAAAGTAAGCATACGCTATAATATATGCTTGCATATGCTATAAATGCTTAAAAATCCATAGTCTATAAAAGAGTAATTAATTGTCCAAAGTTAATTAAAATCAATTAATTTTCAGGTATTTGGATCTAGTCCTGCAGGAGACATGAGTGAGAAGTTTTGGGATATCTTGGCATTTACGCAGCAAGTGTCTAGATTAATGGTATCTGAAATCAGGACAAGGGCAAGCAATCAGAGTACAGAGACAGCAAGTTGTGCCATTGTAAAATTTTTAGAAATTGAGAATAGCGAAGAATCAAGTAATGGTTGGATGTTGTTGTCTGCATTAAATTTACTTGCAGCTGGTGATACTTCTCTAATACAGGTATTGGCAATGTCTGTATACATTGTTTATCGCTTCATCGATCTAAGCTTTACTAACATAATTATCTTATCAGGCAATGACTACCGCTTCTGTGCCCTCAACACTGGTGAAATGCCTGTATTTATTTTTTGATTTACCCGAAATGATAGATGACGAAGCTGATCTTACAGATGCAAATAGCGAATTTACTCCAAAGCAACGTAGGATACTATTACAAAAAATATTTGTGCAAGTAAATACTCTAATACCTATTTTCAATAATATTTTAACATCTCTGTGAACGCGCGCTTTGTTTGAGATATAAATCCGTTTTAAATTACAGTTATTGGTGAGATTATGCAGTCATCCTTACCCAGCGGAAGAACTAGCTCGCAAAGATGATCTTACCTTATTATTCTCAGCAATAACTAGTTGGTGCCCTCACTATAATGTGATGTGGCGTAAAAGCGCAGCAGAAGTATTAATGACTTTGTCTCGTCATGGACTTACCCAAAATGTAGTGAGTTACATTCATAGTAAGTATTAATTAAAGTTCGACTCATCGATATAATCACCTTGACGTTTTATTTACTGATATCGTTTCATTCTTCACAGAGAAAGGGTGTATAGCACATTGTGTTGATAATATGCAACGTGTACCTGAGCTGGCACCATTGGAAGTAGTAGAAATGTTTGTCACAGTATTTTGTTTTTTAAAAGACTCTAGCGAAGTCTCGCAGACTCTCCTAGATGATTTTCGCGCTTGTCAAGGATATATCTTCCTATCAGAATTTTTATTAAAGTGAGAAACGTACACCATTTATTGTTTTAAAATTCCGTTTGATTTATATTTGACAAGCGTATATTTCTTTACAGACATGCTCCATCGAGATTGGAGCAAGACAGTAGAGCAGAAGCACAAGATGCTATACGAAACTTGGTTCTGATGTTGGCATCTTTAACCATGTGTGGACATACTGAATTGAAACCTAGTCAAGCTAGTATGGGATCTTTATTTCAAATGCTTGGCTTCACCTTACCACAACCTAGTAACAGAGGTATCAGTTTTATACCGTAAAATAGTTGCTATATTCTCTAGTACTTTTCATTAAATAAATTTCATTTTAATCGTAGGCGGAAGTGTTCGAAATATCCAAGCATTTCAAGTATTACAATCAGTCTTTGTGAAGTCTAACTCATCTCTTTTATGTTGCACGATTCTTGACGCAATATCTAGCGTGTATCACAGTGATAATGCCAATTATTTTATACTCGAAGGGCAGAACACATTGTCTCAATTTGCAGAAAAGATTCATTTAAAAAACCGGGAAATACAGGAGAAGTTCTTTCAGCTATTGGAATTTATAGTGTTTCAACTTAATTTCGTGCCTTGTAAAGAACTTATATCTTTATCTATACTACTCAAAACAAATAATTCAACTAGCTGCAGTATATTATGTATGGAAACCCTGCTTAACATATTGAGGTAATGTACATAGTATCTCTCATTGAAATTGAAACACTAACTTCTTGCTAACCGATGTTCGTTTATTCTTGTAGGCACAACAGTATATTTAAGGATGTGTACCGAGAAGTAGGTATGTTAGAAGTATTTGTTACGTGTCTTCACCGCTATGCAACATTACTTAAAGACAAACAAGCTGCATACAATCAAGGATCAGGTACAACCAACAACCATTTTTATAATCACCCGAAAACATCTTATAATGTAAACTGAATAATATTATTTTTATAGAATACAAAATATGCCCAGAGGATGAACGATTGGGTGCCTTAGTAATGGAAGCCTTGACGACATTATTAGCAGCCAATGTTCAAAATGCTAATGTCTTCAGAGAATGTGGTGGTGCACGTTGTGCTCACAATCTTGTACCATACATGGACTGTCGGTACCAAGCACTTGGTATTGTTAGGGAATTGATACTTAGCGCAGGGGGTGATGATGACATGGCTACATTATTGGGTGTTATGCATTCAGCACCTTCTAATGCTTTAATTTTGAAGACACACATACTGAAAGTTCGTATCTGGATTTATTTATAAAATGTTGTATTTACTTATTTATCAAATATTGTATTCTTGCAGTCTTTATTGGCGTGTTTACGGGAATCTCACCGAACCAGGACCGTTTTCCGTAAAGTGGGAGGTTTCGTCTATGTAATGTCTGTTTTAGTGTCTCTGGAGGCTCAGTTGGGCACGCAAAGGGTGGAGGGCACCGAGCCCTGTAATGATATAATAAAAAGAACACCGCAGGAAGAAGCACAATTGTTAACGCTCTTGCACGTTGTATTTCACACAATAAGTACAGCTATGAGATTCGAGCCGGCAAATGCGAAATTTTTTCATCACGAGGTAAATATCTTTCAATTAGCAATGTCGCTGACGAACCAATTGCCCTAATCATCGTTCCACAGATATGCCAGTCGAGTTTATGTGATACTTTGCGGCTTCTCGGTTGTTTCTCCACGCAAACGAAGCTTATGGAGATTGACCTGATACCGACTACAAATTATCATAATATGTTGTTAACGTTATTCACTGGAAGCGTGTTGGAACCTGTGTTTCCAGATCCCATGCCGAAGACATTAGCATACGCGTGTTTATTGCTACGACTTTTGTACGATGTAGCACTGGACTCGTTCGACAAGCCAAATTTGGCAGGCTTAGGCATGAGGTCGCCAAGTCATAAACAAAATAGCGTTGAGGTAATTCATAATTTTGAAATATGATACAATTACATTTACGAAACAAAAATCATATATACTGTATCTTTCAGCAACAAAAATCGTTTGACTCTCCTGGAAGCGGAAAGAGGAGCGTCTTAAACTCATTAAACCTAAATCCTCCTACTCCAGAGCCAATAGTAGTTCATCCCGGTATAGTTGTTGGGATGTTGCACTTGCTTCCATCGATTTCGGAGGCGTCGAATACTCAAATGGCTTTAGCTTTGCAATTGTACGTGGCTGAAATCATTAAAAGCTTGGTACGCTCGGAGAGGAATCAACAGATAATGTGCGACGCTGGAATGGCGGGCGAATTATTGTCTGTAGGCAGAATTGCTTTGCAGGATGAGACACATCCTTTACATCAACCGCTACAATACATCATAGAAAGATTAGCAGCACAATCTCTAGAACCACGAGATTTGAGGTACAGATAGAATTAAATTTATTATTTGAATCAATAACGTGCACCTACGTGTAACACACCTGTAATTTCTTGTACATGTCGCTTTTACTTTCAGAGAGTTCTTGCGATTAGGCGATCCATTGTGTTGCAACTCACTCGATGAGATTGAACCAAATAAACCTAGGGGAGGTCCTGTACCGCTGACACGTATCAAGACTTTAGTATCAATGACAACGCCAAAGGACTTTCGAGCACATGGTTCATGCACTCTGCCACCTTTCGTAGAACTCGATATGAGCGCAGAAGGATTTGCTTGTTTGTACTTACCAAGCGTTGCACCGCAGAGTACAACCCCACCTACGGTGGTGGCTGCTGATAGCAGTGTACTCGGCGGAATTGGTTCAGGTAAATGTCTACTATCTATGGCACAGTTGTGTAGAATTACGATAACAAATGAATTAATTAAATGTATAATTTTCAGGGGACAGACTATTTCCTCCGCAGACCGGGCTCACTTACAGTACCTGGATATGCGTTGATAAATTCAGCGATCCTAGAACCGACCCCCATTGCGTACGATTATTGACGTTAGTTCGAATTCCGCAATCAGCAAGAGATCTGATTTGTCTGACTGCAGTCCTTAGTGCTAGAGATAAAGCTATTATTGTATCAACACAGGAAACACCAATGTCGCAAAGTAAGCTCCATTGATGCAATAGATAGTATAAGAAATGTAGATAATTAAAATCATATTGTTGCTCGCTTAGACGTAGGCGAATGGGAACCAGAAGGCACCGGTGAGTGCGGGGCAAGAGTTTGGTGTCCTGATTTGCTCCATGAAGGACAATGGCATCATATAGCCATAGTACTGAACCGTGCTGTATTAAAAAACTCGAGCTTTTCGTTATATCTGGATGGTCAACATATTCACAGTCAAAAGCTTCATTACATCACGCAAGTTCCTGGAGGAGGAGTAGCTAATTTGACTGTAGCATCACCGGTTTATGGATACATAGGTACACCGCCTTGTTGGCGACGATATTCCCGATTAGCCTGGAAGCAAGGGCCGTGTCACTTGGTGGAAGAGGTCTTTAATTCACAGAGCATAGCAACGCTGTTTAAATTGGGACCGCATTATATGGGCAGTCTACAATCTCCGCAATTATCAGGTATTCAAACAATATGTCAAATTTACACGATTAAGATTAGACATATGTACCGATAATTGAAGCAAAATATGCTATCTTCATTGTAGCACAAGAACCTTTGACGCCTCTCGTTGCGGAAGAGAAAGTTGTGTTTGGATTGAATGCTAAAGCGATGTCGCAATTAACGTTAGCTAAAATTAGAAAAGTCTACAGTCGGGCCGATAATAAATCAATTGCTAAACAGGTATGCTTTATTTTCTATCGATAATGAGTGAACGATCAGTAGTTTCTCTTTTAGAACATTTTTATTTACTGATCGAACTGTTTTTCGATAGCTTGGGATGTCGTCACACGAAAATGCTACGCCAATTAGAGTCCTTCATAATTCTTCAGGACACCTTAGTGGTCCAGCAAGGGCGCTAGGAGGCGTGGTTGTTGGTTACCTTGGCGTTCGAGTTTTTAGTCCTCGACCTGTGGCTACAATGATCGACAATGTCGGAGGATGTTCCGTATTGCTAGGTGACCTTGTTGCTAGTTTGACGATGCTCCGTTTCAACGATACTAAGTACTCGTTTAAGAGTAATACTAATTAATTATTTATACCGGCAGGTCTAATAGCCATGGCTCAAGACGTCGAATCCCTGTACGCTGCCGTTAAAGCATTAGTTTGCGTTGTAAGATCGAATCAGGCAGCTCAGCAGGAAATGGATCGTCGAAGAGGCTATCAAACTTTGGCAATGCTGCTACGGAGAAAATGCCCTCTTTTAAACAGTCATATTTTACACTTGACATTCAGTCTTGTAGGCACGGTTGACAGTGGCAGGGAGACGAGCGCGATACCGAATGTTACAGCATTTCAAGATCTCCTTTGTGATTTACAAGTACGGTTCATTCCATGGGGTTCATCACAATATTTTTTAGAAGACTTTTAAAATAACTTTTAATGTTTAGGTTTGGCACGAAGCACCAGGAGAACTATTAAGATCGCTCTTAGAACATTTGTATGAATTGATAGCAGAGTCGAGCGAGAAGAGGACAAATTTACGTTTGATGAGGGATTTGCAATTAGTGCATAAATTGTTGCACATCTTAAGCGACGTCAAACAAAGTACCACGCGACAGATTTTGCTCGCGTTACTTAGCATTTTATTGAGTCAGCCTAGACAAGCTGATTTGCTTTGGTAATCTTTATACGTTTACAAATTTTATTATTTATAAGCACACACATTCATGAAAATATTCGTTTCTGCAGGTTTGGTCAATTCATTGTGGCTACATTACCCCAGAGTTCGGAGAAGCATTTAATTCTTCGAGAAAGCGAAGGTAATAAAGAAGGAGAGGGAGAGCATATACTTCTGCGAAACCGTTGCTTGCAGCTCTTACATTCTTTGTTGTTTAATGGACCCAAAGTGAATGTAAAGTGAGTGTCAGAGATACAATTTTAAACCATTTTAAACCTAAATAACTTCTACATATAAATCAAAAATCTTCTTGCAGTATGTGTGAAGAACTATCTAAAGTATTAGGCCTAGATTGGATATTACTGTTTCTTCAATCTGGTCTTCACAGTACAACAGTGATATGGGGATTGCGAATATTGGTAGCCGTCTGTTCAGTGCAACCAATATTACAGAAATTTAAAGAAGGAACCAGCAATGGTGGTTGGCTACGACACACGGACCATAATAAAATGGCACTCGCACTTGGTATATTTATTAAAACGGAATAATTTTACTTAACAGTGATATCATTGTTGTTCATATCCTCAATGCTGTTTCAGGTTGTCATCAGCAAATGTCGGGTGGTGAGACTAAACCATCTAGTCTTCATGTACCAGGATTTCAACATTTAGGATGGCTATTGCCACAGCATGTGGACCTCGTACCAGAATTATATTTCCTCTTTATCGCCCTCATGATGGGACAACCTGTTAAATTATTGCCTACCGATTCAAAAGTCATTTTAAAAGTTCGGTATTTTCGCAGAATATATTTTTATTTGACTAATGTTTGAATGAACCGCAAATGTAACGAGCTGTTATATTTTATGTGACAGCTTGACTTGGATAACGTGTGGAACTTCTTGTTCGGTGTACCAGCAAATCACACGCTATCATCTTTTGCGAGTAGAATTAATCTCTGCCCTGAAGCTGTAGTCACTCTGCTGGCCATGGTGCGAACAATGCTTAATAACTACTCAATTAAGTGAGTATTTTATTCATTAAATTTTTTTACAGGATTCTTAATTCACTCGTGATACAATGATACTTGCTTTGCAGTCCTGAATCTCTGCCTGACTGGTTAAGTGACTATCCAGTGACAATAATACAGTTCCTGTTCTTCCTGTATCACAACTTCACAGACTTCATGCAAGTGTTCATGTCGGCGGAAGTGCTGGGCGCGTTGGCTGGCGCATTGTTCCCAAAACCTACGAGTTCTAGCCAAGATAGTAGCGGAGCTAGTACTCCGGCAGACGAGGTAAAGTTTATAGATTAGTAGCAATTTTAAAGGTAAACATATTACAACGCAATTTTGTTATTACAGCAAGAACCAGTATTAGTGAGATCTCCGTCAAAGGACGTCGGTTTAACAAATCACCCAGCAAAGAAATTCGTCATGGACTTCTTGAGGGTCATTGTGGTAGACTCCCTTTCTCTACCAGTCACTGCAAAGTCTCCGCCAGCCATCGATTTGGTTTTGGAAGCGTGGCCAGAGCATGCGTCCACTGGTCAACAGACGCGTTATCAAACGGAAGTTCTGTCTATCCTAATGGAACACCTGTTGGCTGCGGACGTTCTGATTGGAGAGCAAGCAGCGTTACCAGTAGTTCCAGGGGGTTCAGTCAATAATATCACTAACAATGTGTGCTATGTCGCCGCCAGAATAGTAGACAAACTATGGCAAGGTGAATTTCAGTAATTTTATTAATTATTTTAAAAATGTTCTTATCCGCAAGCTTCTTAGTGAATGACTTCTTATTTGTATCTTCGATATAGGTGCTCTGACGAAAGATCCCCACGAGGTATTCGATTTTATTGTGAAATTAATTGGACAAGCTAAGAGGCGGCCTGGTGCCGTTAACATGGAAGGTTTGCATCATTGTTTGAACAGAACGATTCTGTTCCTGTTATCCCGATCAACGGACTCAATTGCTGATCAAATGGCTGTGTTGGAAGCGTTGCACAAACTCACAACGCATAGGTAGAACAGGTGTTCACAAGCATATCTTATTTTAAATTACAAAAATTCACTGTAATCGTATTCTTACAGACTGTTGGTCTTTGGCGCTGGTAATCACGAATTGGAATTTATTGGTTGCTTGACTTACTGTCTTTTACAACTTACGGCTGACGTAAAGATCATGCTAGACACAAACTTCAAGACCACGTGGCATTTGAATCCGCAAGTTGAAGCCAGCGACGACAGACTAACGTCGCATCAGGGACACAACTTGATGGCTGTCGCTGCGATGAGAGTTTGGGAAGAGTTATACGTATGTAAGAAACCTGCCATAGAAGAAGTTTTTAAAATAACACTTCCAGCGCCTGTAGGACACGAGCGTGTACCGGAACTGTCTCTGGTAAGGGATCAGCTGAACGAAGCTGCCACCAGGCTTTGGATGAATTACGTTGTTATGGAAAGGAAAGCTTCGTACAGGGTGCCTTGGGAACTGCACAATCAGATACAGTCGGTGAGTGTTCGCTTCATGGTTGTAACATTATTAACGAGGACAAGGAAACGTAACAAATAATTATGTTACCTTCTAGAAAATTCAAAAGGTCACTGGAGGCTTAACGAGACTGGCAAGCAGAACGAAAGTGAGGAAAGAGGAGTCTGTGCGTGTTAGATTGCGTTTGCACCAAAATACTGTCGCGCAATGGACAGAGCAACACGTTGCACTAGTACGCGAATTGGCTGCGGCGAAGAGATTGCAATATATACAAACCAATCAGCATACTCAAAGATATGTCTACCAAGTAAGTAGTTCGATGAAAAAATATTTCAGCAGATAAATTAATTTTGTTAATTAATTGATTATAGGAATGGCTGCAAACGGAGACTGAATTAACTAGGGAACGCGGTCTATGGGGTCCACCTACAGCCACTAGGCTGGATAAATGGATGTTAGACATGACTGAGGGCCCATGCAGAATGCGGAAGAAGATGATGAAGAACGAGCTGTTTTACATACATTATCCTTACCGACCTGAATTAGAGCATCCCGATAACGTAAGTTATGTCTGTCACGAAATGGTCGAAATCAATGGACTCTGTTCCATGCGTGTTCTACTTGTAGAAACAATTGAAGTACAAAGTTGCGACGAGCACGGACAGCAAAGAGTATTACTTGAAACAACTTGGCAATTCTTCGGGTATGTTTGAACGTGAACGAGATCCTGTTATCGATGACACCCCGTTGAACGTTAATGAGGCTTCCACGGAAAGCGAACCTCCCATGGTGCCCTGCACATTAGAACGTCACGCCAGTGAACCCGACGAAGTGACAGAAGATAACGAACAGGAGGAGGAAAATAATCAGACTGTTCCAGACAATCAAACTTTGATACGACTATTAGAGGAACACGAAAAGGTGCGATCCCCGTAGACGTTGTTAAGATTACTGAACATTTCAGAGATTAATTGCCTTGTGTTTTCAGATAAGTCACATGTTCAGGTGCGCTAGGATTCAAGGTTTAGACACAACGGAAGGTCTATTACTGTTTGGAAAAGAACACTTCTATGTGATTGACGGATTTACACTATTGAAATCCAGAGAAATTAGAGACATCGAGAGTTTGCCAGAAGCTTATGAACCTATCTTGCCCTCACCTGGGTCTCCTAGAAGGTCTAGAGCGATGAGGCAGTGCTCGAAGTTCAATTATGAAGATATTAGGTAACAAATCCTTTTTCCTGTAGAAAGGATACTTATATATAATTTCTATAAAACGAGGACGACAGATTTACTTATTGCATTGTTACAGGGAGGTACATAAAAGAAGATACTTGTTGCAACCGATGGCACTAGAAGTGTTTAGCGGGGACGGTAGGAACTATTTGTTAGCTTTCCCACTTAAAGTGAGGAATAAGGTCTATCAGAGATTTATGACATTCGCAACAGCAATAGCTGATAGTGCACAGCAATCAGTGGCTGGTCAAAGGAGAACTGCTAACGTGGAACAGGCTACAGGCCTACTTTCAAATCTAATCGGTGAAACCTCGGTTACCCAACGATGGGTGGTGAGTATTATAAATTTATAATGTATTTTTTTTCAAGAAAGTATTTTATATATGTACGAGTGGTATTTACGAAAAGTATATTTACACTTTCAGAGGGGTGAAATATCGAATTTCCAATACTTGATGCATCTGAACACTTTGGCTGGTCGCAGTTATAACGATTTGATGCAGTATCCAATATTTCCATGGATATTGGCCGACTATGATAGCGAAGAATTGGACTTGACTGATCCAGTGACGTTTAGGGACTTCGGTAAACCCATGGGCGCGCAGAGCCCAGAACGATTACTGCAGTTCAAGAAAAGGTACATTAAATTTACGATGATTCTTACTGAATAGGAAAATTAAATTTCAGTTTACATTTTATTAGATATAAAGAATGGGATGATCCGCACGGTGAAACTCCGCCTTATCATTATGGAACACATTACTCTTCCGCCATGATAGTATGTTCCTATTTGGTGAGGATGGAACCTTTTACACAACATTTTCTCAGGCTACAGGTACGTAAAACTAACCACTGAACATACACTTTTTATTATAAATGATAGATTGAAGTATAATATATAATAATATATTTTTGTAGGGTGGACATTTTGATTTGGCAGACAGAATGTTTAATAGCATAAAGGAGGCTTGGCTATCCGCTTCTAAACATAACATGGCGGATGTAAAAGAGCTTATACCAGAATTCTTCTATCTCCCAGAATTTCTTGTTAATTCGAATCATTTTGACTTAGGTAAGTGTAGCGTTCTATTATGTTCTTCATGAAACCAATAAAACTAAGACTTGAAATGATTTCCTCAGGTTCTAAACAAAGTGGTGTACAATTGGGAGATATTGTACTTCCACCATGGGCTAAGCAGGATCCCCGGGAATTCATACGTGTGCATCGACTTGCACTGGAATGCGATTATGTGTCACAACATTTGCATCAATGGATCGATTTAATATTTGGTTGCAAACAAAATGGTCCCGCTGCGGTTGAAGCAGTGAACGTGTTCCATCACTTATTCTACGAAGGCAACGTTGACATTTACAAGTAAAATTTCATCATTGTTAGACGACAATTCTTTAACAGTAATTTCATTTTGGCAAACCTACTCTTAATACATATATTCTAGTATCGATGATCCCCTGAAAAAGAACGCAACAATTGGATTCATCAACAATTTTGGTCAGATACCGAAGCAATTGTTCAAAAAACCGCATCCGGCTAAAAAGATGACTCAGCGAACCAGTGTCATTGATCCTGGACCAATTACTCCAGGCTTAAGTATCACCACATCCGATAAATTGTTCTTCCACAACCTTGACAATTTGAAACCATCGTTGCAGCCTATCAAAGGTTTGCGCTTACATCTTCACGATTTGTTTCCTAGTTAGGTCACACGTTTGTATGTCGTTTATTTATTAGAATTGAAAGGCCCTGTCGGCCAAATACTCCACGTGGACAAAGCAGTGTTGGCTGTCGAACAAAACAAGACGCTGATTCCGCCGTCGTACAACAAATACGTTGCATGGGGTTTTGCAGATCACTCGCTCAGAATAGGGAATTATGATAGCGACAAAGCGATGTTCGTTTGCGAGGCCATGATGCAGAGCAGCGGGGAGATAGTTGCTTGTGTTTGTCCGTCTTCCAAACTGATAGTAACCGCTGGCACAAGCTCCGTAAGTGCATTATTATGATTAAATTCAGCCTTTATAGATCAGACTTTCATGGCTTCCATATTTTAACAGGTTGTAACCGTTTGGGAGTATACCAAGAGGCAACTGTCCATTAAACAGTGTCTCTATGGTCACACCGACGCTGTCACGTGTTTGTCATCCAGCCCAGCTTACAACGTGATAGTATCGGGATCTCGAGACGGTACGGCGATTATATGGGACTTGTCTCGGTGCTTGTTTGTCCGTCAATTAAGAGGACACGCGGGTCCCGTGGCTGCGGTAGCTATAAACGAATTAACAGTAAGTTCAATGTGATCGATGCCATTAGTAATCTAGCGGTATCTTTCATATTTATGGTTTCTAACGAAATGTTCTGTTTCTAGGGAGACATAGCAACTTGTGCAGCCACATGGCTACACGTGTGGAGCATAAACGGCGAGGAATTAGCTAGTGTGAACACATGTGTTGGCAGAGCTGATAGAATGCAACAAATTTTATGCGTAGCTTTTAGCCAGACACATGAATGGGACTCGCAGAATGTTATAATGACAGGTTCGACAGACGGTGTAGCTCGTGTAAGAATTTTACTATTCATTCGAATAAAATGACACGGAATAAAATCATTATAAACGATTAACGGAGACAAATCGTTTGCACAGATGTGGTCAATGGATTACGTGCAAGTGCCTGCAGAGGAGGATAAGCCAGAGGAAGTCACTGCTACCAAAGAAAAGAACACAAAGTCCAGCAAGGCTGAGAATCAAAGTGAAAGTACCAAGAAACGAGTACACGAACTGGTTAAGCAAATGAGTATATCTCAGGAAGGTTCAGGTAAATAATTGTGGAAATATAATATAGGTGTCATTCTGTATGTTACGCTTCTTTATTCGGTCTTGCAGGTATGCTCGCGAAAAGTGGATCAGAAAGTAGTCTCTCAGAGGCAGAAACATCGAAAGAAGCTTTGAGATTGCACGAGGAGAAGGAAGAATGCTCGGACAACGAGTCGAGCAATGGTTCTAGCAACAAACCATCGCCACAGAATAACAGCACACATACTGTCGTTCTCCGAAGAAAAAGTCGCGGAAATCCTATGTTTAGAAAGAGCGAGGGTGGAGGTCGTGCAGACAGTGAGGGTACACAAACTAGGTAATAAATTCTGGTCAACTCGTGTGACTCTGAATCGAGAATATGATGTTTAAACGATTCATTTCGTAGCGAATTATCTAGCACTACTGGAGGGGATTCTGAGGGCGCCCTGCGAGCCAGTAAAAGCGATACAAGCTTGACGGACAGCTTTGTGATGGTCACAGAAGCTGACACTAAGCCTAAGAGGATTAATCCACAGAACGTCTTAAGAGATGGTTTCAAGTGGCAGCGGCAATTAGTGTTTAGAAGTAAATTAACAATGCACACTGCATATGATCGGAAGGACAACGCAGAACCGGCGTCTATAACGGCCCTCGCAGTTTCGAGGTAAATTATTATTCTAAAACATACTCTTTCAAGATTTTCTATTCAACAAGATTTACCTAATGCCTATCTCTTAATCCCTAGAACTAAGATAAAGTACAGAAACAGAGAAAAATGTTTATAGCTCGTTCAGTCGACGCTGGGTCTTTATTTACAATATGAATTGTCGGTAGAAGGATTGAATAGTTTATGGTAAATGAAATTTCAGAGATCACAGAACAGTGTACGTAGGAGACACAAGAGGAAGGGTGTTTTCGTGGAGCGTGTGCGAGCAACCGGGTCGCACAGTTGCCGATCACTGGCTAAAGGATGAAGGCGCCGACTCTTGCGTTGGTTGCGGAGTTAGATTTAATCTGTACGAGAGAAGACACCACTGTCGCAATTGTGGACAAGTGTTTTGTTCAAAGTGAGTCGTTTATGTGAATCATACTACTGATAATAATCTAATTTGCTGGTCCATTCAAAGACCGATTTCAACGAATTCTGCCACTGTTTCAGATGCAGCCGATTCGAATCGAAAATCTCGAGGCTAGGAATACTGAAGCCTGTTAGAGTGTGTCAGGGTTGTTATTCGTCACTGCGCTCCCAGCTGTCCGCCGAGAGCAGCACCTAATTTAGCGGTATATTCTACGGTTTCGTTTAAGTGACCGGATCGAGGGTGGGTACAACTCGAATGTACATAATCACGGGTATCCTCTCCATGTCTTTACCTGAACCTTTTCCCCAAGGTAAACCTGAACATGCATTTCGTTCCGTTCTCGCGTGATATATCTTGGGCTCTCTTGCATTTCGACCAACACAGGAAGAAACTCTGATCGCTGCATTTCAGTTTACGACGTCCGGTCCCCTTATTTTTTTCTCTACGGTGATTATTTCTCTTTGTTGGTGAACCACTTGGTACATCCCTGTCGATCCTACGAAATCACGTCCCTCTGCGTACTTCTGACTTATGATAGAAACCGTCACACACAATAATCTAGCATAATTCCTATGGAAAATCGGCCTGCTTTGCTTCATCGACAGGTTTGTGGTAGTTGTCTACCCCAAAAATTTACCAAACATTGGGGAACCAAGTTAGAACAGTGCAAACGTGTTCTCTGTGTGTCTCTAAATTTCGATAATTTTCTGGCGTTTCTCTGCGTTGCGTGTATCTTGGTGTTCTATATGTCTGAGAGCAATGTGTACAGTCTTTTTGTATGTTGCATACTCGATACACCTATATATTATTAATTTTTAAACAAAAATTGATAAAAGCTTCTGTGCACGTGAACGTGTGCGCAGCGAAATTTATTTAAGATGCAATCTGTGATTACTTTCTTTCCTATTTTAACAAATTTATGATGAATAAATTTGCGTTGGTCATTGACAATTATACATACATATAGAGAAGAATGTTAATAGTATTAGACAATTGATTTCCCTATCAGAACGATTACGGCGGTTCTCGTATCTGACTGTATTAGACGGTTAATTGTTAATATTTATTTTAAATTATAGTAGAATAATATACAAAATGTCAATATTGTTAATGGAAAAATATAAGATTGAATATTTATCAGATTTACCAACCAAAGAAGAAATACATATATGTATACATATATGTATGTATATGTGTGTGTACACATGAAAAATATACCGTGTATTATTTATACTGCTCTTTTTATATTACGTTTTACTTGGAATAGCTGTTCGATAAAACGTTTGTTTCTTTCTTTACGGTAACGTGTCGTGTACATAATGCAATAATAATACGCGGTGTAATTGATTCTAAGGAATATCGAAGGTATATAATTTATTATTGCATCGTGAAATGGACAAGTCTTTTATTTTTCCATTTTGTAGAATCGGCGGAATTTCAACGGTTTAGAAATGAAAAGGAAAAGAAAGAGCCAAGCATATAATATGGATTACGATTCCTGAAGGGAGGGACATGCAATTGCAGTGCACCGCGTTGTGATCCGCTGCCTATGCAGGTGTAAAACTCGTAACTTTATAATAGACAATACCTTTAATTACGTAAAAGTGTTATGGCATAACTGTAAGTTGGTTAAAACGAAACCATAGACTCTAAAACCAGCAGTAAAATACAGTAAGCAATGTAATAAATGTGGAATACACTCATTTGTTCACAGAGTTGATATATGCATATACAAGATGTTCAACAACATGTGATAGACACTTCAGAAGGTGGTTCTACAAACTGAAATAAAATTTCAGCCTCGTTCTCAAATTGTTATCGTGTAGATTAATAATTTGAGTACAAAGACTCATGACTTATCTTTGCATGTAGAATCACCGTTTAAAATTACCTATGCTGAAACACCTTGTATACCTGTGTATGTATATATCGTGAACGTGTCTGTAAAATTAATTGTGAAGGCAGAAGTAAAATTAAAACAAAAATATGCGCGTTCTTGGAACAAGTATTTTATAACATTTTGAAACGACAAAGAATGCAATCCATTTCCTCAGAAGAAAATTGATTTGAAACGATTAGAATCGATCCATGAAATCTACTGAACTAATCGTACAAGGAAATTTGTATAAATATGAAGATTGCGGTATCGAAAGATTACAGAAAAGAGAAAGAGAGAGAGAGAGAGAGTAAAAAAGAAACAGATAGAGAAAGCATTGTCTCCCTATACGAATAACAAGTTCTACCGTTTGTATTCTATCGATACACTTCCATTTTTCTAAAGGCACAAATTTTATAAAGATCGAGGAATAGCGCTGACAAAAAGAAATCGAGCACGAGGTGAACGAAGTTCAGACACGCTGCGGAGTGTTGTTTCAACGTGGTACTTTAATGTTAACTAGTATCGCCGTTGCTAGTCAAATAAAGAAAGAGAAAGATAATTTGTTCATACATCTCTTTCTATTGTTTCCAATTGTTAGTACAATGTCTTATCATCTCATCTGAGTTAAAATTAAATTGCGACAGTCTTTATTTAGACAGCTGAATTCCTATGAGATGGACCGATAAATATCTTCAACTGTGTGAGAAACAATGCGTACAATTGAAAATGAAAGTGAGTGGTGTATGAATACTTGTTTCTCTCATTGTGTATAATCAGCACAATATCTAGTATGCATTCTTTCTATAAGAATGCGTTTGATACGAAGCTCAGAGAAAATAGAAAAGTGCTGGAGACGTTACTCGCATAGAGGTCCCCAAGTGTAACTCATACTTTTTGATTAGCCTTTACACAATAGTAAAGCTCCAAATACTGAAGCTAATGGTACTCGTTTTGGGGGACGCACGGTTAATATTTTTTGAAATATGTGACATCAAAGTTACGTAACCGATATTACATACATATAGAATGTAACGACGTTTTTCCTCCAGCAGCCTGTGCCGAACATTTACATTAAATATCTTAAAGATCATTAACTGCCTGACCTCAAAAGCAGGTACCATTAGCTTCAGTATTTAAAGCTCTACTATTGTGCAAAGGCTGGTGGAAACGTCAGAGTTACACTTGGGGATTTCTCCTTGTGAGTGAGGTTCAAGAAAATATTGAGAAAAATCTCTAAATTATGCAAGACGCATAAAATTAAAAAGAGTTACCACGTATCTTATGCAAATAATATCTGTGTGTCATTATTACATGCCAGTTCTAATAAAACATTGCCAATTATCTTTACTTTTGTACTTCTACTTATACACAAACAAAACAAAGCTTATAATTAATTGTATGATGGAATTGGAGAGCTTGCGCTTGATTCTGATCAAAAAATATAGATCTTAATTTATCGCGATTAACAAAGGCAACGCGAACAATGTAAAATTATTTGAGGGATAGGACGAACCTAATTCAAAGGAGAATGCATTATTTTTTTAAAAGAATTACAGTTGCAGATAATTATACGTAAATTTGGAACCAAGTAATTATTTTACCGTGTAGAGAACTAAGTATAATTTCTAGTCACGTGAATGTCCGGGATTTTTTAATTGTTTACTTTGATGCATTGGAACAAAAGTTTTCAGTTAATAGTTTCCAACAGTATTATTTGTAATCATATTGAAATGCGCTGGTGTCTGTGTACCACATGTATTATAAAATAGAACTTTACATACATTTTATTGTGTATTTTATTACGATGCATTTTACAAACTAGAAGAGTGATGCTCTCTATTAAAAAAACATGTATTAAATAACGAAAGAATTTTTCAATTTATTTATCAATATAAAAATAGATTTACTACATTCCTAATATAATATAATTTTTTATATATACTTGACTTATTTTTTAACGATATTACAAAACTGTTAAATGTTAGTTTACATAATTCTTTCTTACAAAAAGCAGAGATCAGATGACAAAAGCCTTTCTAAAAAATTAGTATAAGATCAACACAACTGCTGTTGCTCAGTGGCCAGCACAACACCTTTTCTTGCCTCCTTACAATCGAAGCTTTAAGATTTGCAAGTACAGAGCCTGAAGAAGATGAAATTGATCCTTAATCAGTGTGTATTCTGCTGGAAGTTCAATCATCGTAACATCTCAATTTCCAGGTTCTAATATCAGCAGTTCTGACTTACATTGCTGGGAACAGCTTAGGAATAATAGAAGATATACATCATGGGATTGGAAATTTTGAACAAGGCCAATTGGGATTGAAAAGTCCATTCCTAGCAATGATTCTTGTCTTTGTAGTCGAAAGAGTTCAAGGACATGGATCTTGAAATTCTGAATGGATTAGAACACAGGCACCAACATGTTGAGCTGCTATAACTTAGAATAAATTAATTGACAATGTCGTCGAGAAGTTGTTATACTAGAATGGACTCCTGGATATTACAGAAGGCAAGAGAAACAGGCAGATCGAATTGATTAGTTTGTTTACATAGTTGTAACGATTACAAGACTTCCCAAGAGACTGTCAGAAAATACTGTTGCATTAAGGGTACATCAGATTGTATTTTCTTAATGTCCTCTTAAGTGCTACGAATGAGAAGGCCACTGCTAATTTTGTGACACTGTGTATTAGTATTCGTATCCTGTTAGTGTTTGATCCTGGATTGTATATACATATAGGAGTGTACAAAAAAAGCAGAAGACATTGAAGAGTATTAATTATCCGTAGAGATGTATAATAGATAGAGATTAGGAAAAACGATCCGAGGGAATGTTCGAATAAACAATGTTGAATCCGGGTATGTATGAGTTTGAACGCGTGTGGTTCCATGCATATGCGAGTATACGTTTCCCACCCGACAGAGGAATTACATATATGTATACATACATACTAGTCATCATCGTATATGTACACTGTATGTAAGTAGCTCTATTGTATTGTTAGTCGCTAGTCAAAAAACATTGTATAGTAAATTCTGATTGGTACAATTATATTAAACTGGTCAAAGTTGTAACAAGCTTGTTTTTATAATGAATCTTACCCGACTATATGTTACTGTACAAAAAATAAAATTTATTACCTACTTGTTACTCATACAAAAAATGCCACAAAAATTTGAAGTGCATATTTCAAGGACGCTGCTCACACTTTTAGCAAGCCTAATGCTTTTCGAATTTTTCCCAATCGACTTCAGCTTGATCGAACTCTGTGAAAAATTATAAGTGCTATTTAATGAACGACCTAAATTAAAGTTGAAAGTAATTTACCTTTGGGAATTATTGAAGTGATATGGTAGGTCAGTGTTTGTGTTTCCATTTGCCGGCGTCATAGGGGCGTCCCTTGAGTCTGCACTTCCCCCGAAATGATCGTCCACAAACCTCCCACTCTTACTGAAAACCGAACACCGAAGTGGTAAGAATGCGCCATGTAGTAAAAAGTTGACCTACGCGTCGCGTTACGTAATTACAGTAATCTCTCAATTCAAGAACCGGAAGGGAATGAATTCAGGGAATGCACCGAATTGCCTGTACTCTGATTGTCTGACAATTCCCTGCTGAACAGTGCTGCCCTCATAGCCAATGACAAAGGGAGGAAATAACGAGTGAGCAAGATACTCTTTTATTCCGCTTCAGCTTGCTGGCAATTCAGGGGGTAGTGCGGACAAGAGGGACACCATTATGACGCCGGTGGCCCAATGGTGACCAGGGCCCGAGCCTCCTCAACAAGTGTTCAATCAGTCTGATGTCCAATGTGGTCCAATGTCCCTGAGGGCAGGATGCGGGGGACAATGAGCATCTTGATGAAGGATATTGCTTTGCAAACGTAATGTGGAACCTATGTTACAAAAAAGCTACATAGATCTATAAGGAGATCTTACGCAGGAAGTAGCTACCAGGAACTACCATCCCTATGCCTTCTCGCCTGTACACGCCGAATGACGAATATCAGGATCAATCGAGATCGGACCAGGAACAGGTAACCCCACCACTGACTTCGATGAATGTTGATAGCCGTGATCGATGATGATCGATAATTTCTATTATTTCTAATTATCTAATTTTTGCAACAATTTATTTTGCAAGGAAGCTATCAAAGACAACTTTATCATTTAGATTTTTTCATAACCAAATAATAAAGCGTGTCGTAATACAAATGAGATATACAAAATACTTGATTCTCATTAAGAAGTTTAAATTTCTGAAATATCTGAAATATAGAGTCGGTAAGTAGAGTCGGTAATAGACAGTGGCGTTGTCTACGACACGAGAAGCGAAACCCAAATTTAAGATAAAGATTCACCGCAAAGTGATTTCGCAGACTAAATTGATGAATAATACTAAGGTAAAGGCCTCGGGAATCTTGCAACGATCTCTCTCTATGGGTCCTCTCACAAATTAAAAGAAATAATTAGTAATCGAAACAAGAGGAAACGCCTACACGCCTGACTGTAGACAACCGTCGATACGATAGAGCTCGCAGGTAGCGGTTCGAAGGAGTAGCTACCCCGAAAAATCTAATCAGGATATCGCAGCTTCCCTACGATCTGGTAACTTTCTTGTTCCAATTACAATTAGATCGAGCATTTCGACTTTGTTTCTTTCAGGGACGGCGTGTCTGAGGCGGCGACGATTAGATAAGCGGCCGGTCCATAGTGCGGCCGAGATGCAGAGAGCATAAGAGACCAAGAGGCTCGAGGACCTGCCTCAGTTAAAGCTGTGTGTCCAAACCGGCGAATACGTTTGGCGAATCGCAGCCGAATTTCGGCGAGCATTTTACCCGCGAGTGTCCCGTGCACGTGGCCCTCGATACCGCAGAAACTCTACGTGCAATCATCGAACAAAACCGATCCACAAAATTTTCGAGATTTCTGCAAGCTCGTCCAAGATATGAATTCAGCTTCGAAGAAAAGATTGTGCGACCAGGCGGACTCCGGCCGATTCTAATTTATCGCGGACAGAGAAGCACGATTTCACCAGCAGACCAGCAAACTGGAAACTGAGCGATGCCAGCCTGCACGAGCGAGAACATCTCGAGGGTCTGGTCCTCGAGTCCGCCGATCTCAAGGAGCAGCAGCGTGTCTCCTCCCATACCTAGCTCTCCATTGTCGACATCGCCGCCATCGGTGTCTCCGCTATCCACGTTCAAGAGATCAGCATCCGCTTCTTCCACCTTCTCGAACGTTTTCAACGTATCCAGTTTACCGCAGATTTATAAATCGCCGTCGACGACCCTTACGTCCAAGCGTCATCACGACGATGAGCAGCAGCAGCAGCAGCAGCAGCAACAGCAACAGGAAACTTCGTCGATCCATGAAGCGCAGCCAGCTGTACAGGGTCAGAACCACAACCGAAACGAGCCGTTGCTGCGAAGGCTGCTGAACGCGTACTTTGGCGCGCTTCTGGCAATTTTTCGTGGAGCGATCAGCGTGGTCAGCTACGCGTTTTGGGCGCCGACGCTGTGGGCCTCGGTCTGGGTGCACATAATTTGGACGATCTTTCAGCTGCCGTTGACCGCGGTCAAGTGGTTCATCACGATTCTGCACACACCGGCGTCGGAGAGGTTGCGCAGCAAACGCTGTGTCCTGATCAGCGGTGGCAGCACGGTGCAGACGGTCCACCTTGCCCGGAACTTCTACAAGGCCGGAGCTCGAGTGGTGGTCTGCGAGCTAGAGGGTCTGTTCGGGCTTGCGAAATACTCGACCGCGTGCTCCAAGTTCTACGCGATCCCGAAACCGGGGCCGGGGAGCGCGATCGAATACGTGAGGGCCCTGAAGGACATCGTGCAAAGGGAGAAGGTCACCTACTACATCCCGGTCAGCGCCAGCAACGCGGCATACTACGACGCCCTGGCTAAGCCGCACCTGGAGCAGATCGGCTGCGAATGCTTCGTGCCGTGCGCCAGCGAAGTCGCTACCCTCGACGATCCTCTGGAGCTGCTGCGAAGGTGTCGTGCCTCGGGCCTGGTCACGCCTCAGCATTCGGTTCTCCGCCGCTCGGAGGACGTGTCGAGGCTCTACGAGCAAAACGCGTTCGCTACCGGAAGGTACCTGATGCTGGCCGCGGGTCCGGCCGGCATGAGAGACAGGGCCAAGACGGTGCTCCCGCCGACCGTTCGCGAGTTCCGGCATCAGCAGCACGAGATTACCGAGAACAAGCCGTGGGTGGTGATCCGCGATCCCACCGGCAACCACTACATCACCTGCACCACGGTCAAGGAGTCGAGGATCGTGGCGAACGTGACGTGCCTGATCGACGAGGAACGAGGACTGATCCTCGAGGAGCGACCGGAAGTCGCGCAGTGGCTGGACAAGTTGTTCGGCGGCTCGTTCAACGGACGCATCAACGGACACCTGAGCTTCCGGCTGGCCGTAACCGAAGAAGGAGACCTGGTCCCCATAGGATGCCGGGTGGGCATCAGTCTGCCGTACATCTGTCACACCGGGATGCATCCTCGGCTGGTCTGGAAGCCCTGCAGACACTTCTCCAGACAGAACTCTGGCGCCGTCCTGGACACGACGGACAAGCATCTCTCACTCGACGCCGTGGCCAGTGGACTCAAGCCTACCGGAGAGATAGCTTCTCATCTGTTGGGCACCGTGTTGGACAGACGAGAGGCTCTGTTCACTTACTGGGACCCGTTACCCTACTGCGCCTACTATCATCTCCAGCTGCCCTTCAGACGACTGGCTGGCATGATCAGGGCGCAGCCGGGCCAACATAACCCGCCGTTGGGAGTGGTGCAGTAAACCTTCGGCTCCGAAGCTGGAGGAAGGTCGTATCTCGAAGAAGCGGGGCAACTCTCAGCGGTCAAGTTCAATCCCGCCGATGCAAAGTAACGCTGGAGAACACGCGTTCGTCGCGTGCCACGTCGCTTCTCGAGTCTCAACTATCAACCGTGTTGATTCCGGTGCGGAGATCGCGCTCGTCCCTATCTTTGCGGACAGATTCGGAGAGACCGAGCCCATGCGGCGCAACGAGCCGAGCACCGCCTGGGTCGAAATCGTGTAGGAGAGTGTGGGAACCGTACGATTTCGTCCCTCTTTCCGGTTCGCGGGATCGACTTTGAACCCGCTGGAGAAACCTCGGACACGCCGAGAGCGATTTTGCGTCGCGATAATATTGAAACCGTTATCGTCGCGACGCTCTGGACGCGGCAGGCTGTAAATAACATCGACACCGGACTTTTCGATTTTGGCGAGTCGCGCGGCCTTGCAGGACACTTCTATTCATAGTATTTTCTATTTTGTAAGACGACAGACAATAAGGTTCCGTGTACGTACGCTTGCAGACATCATCGAGTTGCCAAGTCAATAAAATATTCTCCTCTTTTTCTACGTTGCTTGCATTATCTACAATCTCGCTCGCAGGATGTTTTAGGTGGCAAGGACCAGGACTCGATCAGGATCCGATCAGGACTCGGAGAGCACGCGAACGAGCCTAACCGGCGGCTCGATTACGACACAATAAGCGATATAGGTACGTGCATATTATGGAAGGCTGACCCGGGGGCAGTACGCTTCACGCTTCACGGACTTTGAGTGGCCGGGGTCGCCGGTTCGAAACACGTTATCGCTAGTTTGTTTTCTTTCTTTTCTATAAGACGCCTCGCCTCTTCCTTCTCGGCGAACCGCTATCGTCGTCGCCGTCGCCGTCGCCGTCGCAGTTGCGGTCGCTGTCGCCGTCCGTTCTCAGCCGATGGACCAACGCATCCGCCGATCTCTCCTTCTCCTCGAGACACGAAAGACCTCCAAGGTGTGTCTGGCTCGTTCAAGGGCCAGAAGAGCATCTCGAAGACAATAACGATCGAAATGGTTGTTGCCTCGTGCACTATTCTAACTAAAAATAAGCGAAAAAGGCACGAGTTTCTACGCGATCGAACGCGATGGAAAGAAAACCGCGAAGACGCGAAGCCCGGATCGTAAATATCGGTGATAGGGTGAACGATGGATGAAACACGATAGATGAGTCGCTTTAGCTGTACGAGGAGGCTTCGAGCCACAGCAGCACGCAGAGATTCGAAGACGCCGAAGCGTGTAACGCAATCTTAGCATGCGATAATATTGAAATGCAGTTCCTTGGCGACCGGCGCGCCGCGCCACGCCGGCGAAATAAATCGATACGCAGGCCACTTTGTTCCCTCTTTTTTTCTTTTCGATTCCGTTGCATTTCATCCATCGAAAGCACCAAAGCACCCGAGACACCGTCGATTTCTCCGCATTCGTCGGGACTGAGACTGGGACTCGGAACCGGCCTTTTGGCGAAAGGAACGAATTAATAAGTGGCGCATGAACGCGACGAGGAAACGTCCGTCTTTGCCGGTTAACTTGGTAATTGAATTCGTTTCCGTGACGTCCCGATTCGGGCGAGGATGCAAATGGAATTGAGAGATAACCGACCCGCCGCTATTCGCGTTGTTCTACGCTTTACACGAAAAGGCACGGGCTAACGGCACGATACGATAGCGTCGCGTCCAGCGAACAGTGGAGCTTCGCGAGCGTAGACTTTAAGTTTCAGATCGGCGCTTCAACGATTTTCGAGGCCTCGAGAATTCTGCGAGTCCCAAAATGCTATCGCTCCAGGCTTCTAGCCCGCAGTTCCGTACCGGTTTCTTCGTCGACGATCGACACCGACCTCCGTTATCCGAGGACAAGCTACGCTCGCGATTAGCCCTGTTCGCGCGACGCGACCGTACGCGGTACGTCCGCGTCCCCGTCAATTTGTACACTCCTCCGGCGACGAAATATCTCGAAAGTATTCGTCACGCGAGGCCGATTTCTCGGAATTCCATGGTACCGATAAACCTTTGTTTACGATCCGCGAGGCCACCGTTTTAAAAATCATGTCGAAAGAAAGTTACGGCAACATTGGCCAATCACCGCTGATACTCTCCGCGTTTAAAAATCGTGGTCTCGTCGACGCTGTCGGTGCTGCTCGAACTGAAAAAGCTGTCGATCGTCGACCGTCGACCGTCGACCGTCGACGTCGAGAGAAACGTTTTCGTGTTGCGGTTAGGCTCGAGCCGCGGTAAAGGGAGCCGTAAAGGCCCTTAACCGGATCCGTCGGCGAGTAACAAGAAGGAAAGTCATTTTCTTGGACGGTCTGTGCCACGTGGTTCCAGGCACGGCACTGTGAGAACAGATTCACCTGACTGGCGTACCAATGGTCGAGCTCGCGCGCACACAACTCCTTACGGCTTACACCTTCGCCGGCAATTTGCAGACTTTGACGGAGAATCTGCCACGATGCTCGACGCATCGACGGTCGACGGTCGACGGACGCACGGCATCATCCTTACGCGTTAACTACGTCTCGATTAACTGCAATCCGTTATCGCCTTCTTTTTACGCTCCACCGATAGCGTCGCGTCGAACCGCGTCGAGCCGCAACCAAAACAGTTACATCATTCTCTGATGTAAGCCGTCGTTGGATAGTATCGCTTACATTCGTGTAACTCGACGGCAAAAAGTCTGGGAGACGCGACGACCGAGCTACCGAATTCATCTTCGCGAGACTAATCTTGTTATCGTCGTTGTTTCGTCCGCTTTTGGAAGAGCGACAACGAACGACCCGGCAGCGGTATCGTTTCGCGTTGACGCAGTTCGCGCGAAGATACGTATTTACAAAATCGTCGCGCGATACCGGAGAGAGATGACTGCAGGCTTTCAAAAGCGATAGATCGAACGGCAGACGTCGAGGTTGTTTTGACAAGTGCAACGATATCTCGCGAGAAAATTCTCCGCATTCCTCTTACGTCCGTTCGTCGCGAGGCTATTCTACTCGAACCGCGCGACGCCATTGATACGCGCCATGCGCGCTCGACGCCATTAGGACGCGTGTCTTTACCCCAAGAAATTGTAAATAAGTCTTTGATCGAACTCTGCGCGGCTCGAAAATCCGCTCGAAATTCGGCTCGAAGCTGCGAGGTATTCCCCGAGAAGATAAAAGTCGTTCGAGAACCGAGCGAGTCGAGGAAAAAGATGCGGGAAGGTTCGCAGGGTTTAATCTTTCGTTGTCGACGCAGAACGGAGAGAACGAGTCGCACGATACCAGCCAGTTCGTAGGTATCTAATCTCCTCGACGCCGAAGAACCGTTCAGCGGGGCGCAACGAGAGTAAATATTGTACCAGAAGGGGGAACTTTCGGTGTATCGATGGTCGGCTATTAATACTGGCCGGTTGCTGGTGCTACACGCAGCATCGGCCTCCTTCGATAGCAATAAACGGTGTTTTCCATCGGTCCGAGGCGAATCCGACTCGAATAAACGGTCGACGTACCGAGGTGTCATCGTCGGCGATCGATCGGTACCGGTGGCCGTCGACGCGCTCGCACCGTTTCTCCGGCTCTCCGTTCGTCCGTTCATGATTCGGGATCTCCAGTGGGAAGTTCTAGTCGACCGGTGAAAGGAGAATGATCCTGATCGCAGTGTTTCTCGCGTTCAACGTTCTCGTCGCGACTGCCGAGAGGATCGACCAGTGCCGTTCGAGAACGAACGAACAGCTTATCTGGCAGTACAACGTCAGGAGATCGTACAGGATCGGCGGATACCAAGTGCGTGCGATTCGCCCTCGATAGATCACCTATTCTTATCTCTATCGTATTTTTTTTGTTTGCCGGAAAGTTACGGCTCGCGGTTCCCGGCGCGGCGCGCGCCGCCAATTTCTCAAGATTCCCTCGAATTGCCTGTATTAACTCGGCCAACGTACGTTTCAGGAAGTGGTGGCGGATTACGGACCAACCGGCGCAACCATCACCTGCATAGGAGTCGATTCTCTCTCGGAGGAAGACAACGACGGCATGTGGGTGACTTCCGGCGGAATCGGCCACAACTTCATCCGCATCAAGTTCAGATCCAAATACTCCAGGGGTCTTCATTATCGAGTCCACGTTTACGGGAAGCCGCACTGAACGGCGAACGATCGATCGGCGAACCGTATGAATCAATAAATCGTAAACGTTGACTGCGATCCCGTCTCTTCCCTGTTATCAGCTAGTTACGAATCAAACTCGCGACAATCGTGGAAATAAGTTGGTCATCGGACGAGAACTCTCCGATCGTAAATCGCGAGGCTGAGATGTCGTGACCGAAACGATTCGGTTGAAACGCGAGTTTCCGGTATAGCCCGGAAGATCGAGAAACCATTAGCCGAGGGAGGTACCAGCCTTGGATACTCCCTCCGGCGACAAGTTCGACGAATAACTAATCGGAGACATATTTTTTCTCTGCGTGCACGAAACGATCGTCGCGAGACCGATTCCGAGCCATGCGACCGACGGCTCGCGGCTCGAATAATCGCGTGGACGAGAGTTCAGGAAAATTTGTCAACCGATACTGGGTCGTCGTCCCTTGGACAGCCTCGTTTTCTTATCGCGGTTATTCTTTCGTTCTGCGCGAGCATCGCGGGACGCTCGAATTACTCGAACCGTTCCACACAATCCGAGTCCGGAAACAAATTCCTCCAAGTAGTTTCAACTTCTTAATTAGCTCGAGGATTTTATAGGTTTGCGACGCTCGATTCCTCGATCTCCGACGACCCTGTTCGCTCGAAACGAGAGACCTCCGCGGATCTCTCCCCATATCCGTCCGCGAATCCCTCCGCGGATCCATCGGATCAAAGGCAAGGGAGGCTCGAAAATACGGCTTTGCGTTTGCGTGGCAAGCCCGCGATCGCGCGCGAGCTGGATCGCGGCACGAGCGCCGACGCCGACGCCGAGGCCGACGCCGAGGCCGACGCCGACGCCGACGCTTCAGTGAAGGCCAGCCGCCCGTCCGCGTCGAACGCAGCCGAATCTCGTTGTCCGTCGACAGGCCCCGAGGAAACCGTATCGCCGCCGACCATCTTTATCAACCTTCCGTTTCTCGTCATCTCTGCCACCTTCCGGACGTCGTCGCTCACCGTCAACGCGTTCTCGCTACGATCCTCCAGCATGTCCCGGGTGAGCTGCGATACTCGTCGCTTTCTTTTTCGTCGTTTCTCTTTCTACAAAATTATAAGCGATTCGTTGCGAACCTCGCGTTTTGGAACGCGACACGGTACAAGGGCTAACCGTGTTAGCGCGTCGTTTAAACTTGAAAAAAAAGCGATCTCCCTCTAAAATATGTTGCACGATTCGATCTCGATCGCCCGCATTTAAGAGGGTCTCTCTAACTTCGTCCGATCGCAGAAGCATAAAAATCTCTACCCTTCGGCGATAGCGTTCGCCGTGCGATCTCCGGAACGAGGGAACAACAAACGCCGGAGAAACGAGATAATTAGCGCCGTTAACTAGTTTCGCACCGACGCGAAGCGGCGTGGATTGATCGACTCCTTCCATTAACTCCGAACAACCGGGGTGTGCACCGTTGCACACCGACGAGACGCGACGCGCCCGCGACTCGCCACGTGGAATCGAGCAAACGAACCCGACACCGACGCACTCGGGTTACCGCCGAGCCACCGATAACGATCCTCGATCCACGCTTCCGTACCGCCGAACGCCTGCGATGACTATCATCGTCCAACTCCAACTAGAAGCAATTGCGAAGTTTCGCGAGACCACGAAGAGCACCTTTCGCGCGCGTTCCATCGATTTCGAGACTCGTCGAACGGCTCGTTGCCGCCTCTATCTTCGATCTTTTATCATCGAACCGCTTCGAAGTTGCGCCCGCTTTAGCTCGTTCGCGGTACTCGAGCGTTCTTCGTCGCAGCATCGAAGACTCGCGGCAGTTTTTTCTTTTTCTAGACGAACGGTTACTGCGTTTTCGGTTCGCGCTTCGCCCGAATCGATTTTTCACGCGGGCGAACCAGCCTCGGGGGTTGAAAATCGTGTTTCCGGTACACGCGTGAATAAATGATGACTATCTTCGACAGCGGCGGCCACTGTCCGGTTTCGCAGAGACGTGACGCACGCTCGGGGAGCTCGTGTAAAACGGGGTTTCGTGGTCGGGGTTGCTGTCACGTGTCGAGAACTCCCAGCCACGAGCCACGAGCCACGGGCCACGGGCCACGGACCACGGCCACTGCCACTGCCACGGCTACCCCACGTGCCGACTCGTCGAGAAGCGTTTCTTATAACGGCGCCCTCGATCGCCCTACAGCTCGACCTGTTCGCTGCTGTCGCGAGCTCGACGGTCGACGAAATTAGATCTCTGGCGTTTCGTTCGCTGCACCGAAGGGACGTAGGAAAAGCTACGGCGAAGCGAACGCGAGGTGCTCCTCGACTTCCTCGCTTGCCGCGCGGAGACGCTCTCCTTCCCCGCGATTTCGCGATTTTCATCGGCTATCCTCTCGCGAGCAAAAACCGAAAAAGGACTTCTACACGCGATAAGCTACACATACGTCGCCTTCGCGATCGGTCGATAACGCTTCGCACACCGTCGCGCTGTTGCACCGCAAAGCCGCACGATTTCCCGCGTTAAATTGCGGAAAATATTTTCGAGCCAACCGGAGAAAGCGCCGAATCGAGAAGATTCGGCGCCGCGAAGATGGCTAGGAAACGTCGGTCGCTCGACCCTCGACTCTTCTTCCGCCAACACCATTTTGCTCGGCGAGCGAAAAGAAGGAAAAAAGGTTCGGCTGGCAGACGTCGAACGGCGAACGACGAATGGCGAATCACGCGCTGTCGCGGTTCGAGGTTCAAGGTTGGATGTCCGAGGTTCTTCGCAATCGTTTGTTCGCGATGCGTGGATCGTATCGCTCGGCACGCGAACCGGACGAACGACGAACGTTCGCCGCGGTAATTTCCCCGGCTCCGCGAGGCGTTCGCTTCGTCGCGACCAGCTGTCCTCGTCGATGAACGAACCACCGATAGCGGTGATACATCGATTCCCCGTCAAGACGACGATAATTGTCGCGAACAAGCGGTAAACGGTGATCGAGCCAATTTACCCGGACAATCGTCCACGACTTCCGAATTAAATCGTACGACCGAATACGCGTGAAAAGATTGGAAAAATCGACGATCGACGATTTGCGTCGATACGATCCGGTACCGCCAGCGAAATCGCGCGCAACTCCGTGGACGGGACGACGGGGACCGATAATCGGGCGCCTTTGATAAACGACTCGGTCGAGTCGAGACCGATTCGCGAGTACAGCCTTCTATCTACGCGAGAATAGAAACTGAACATTGACCGTCATTAATTTCTGCGAAGGCGTCGCGTCGTTCGTTTTTCCCCGTCTCCGCCTTCTTATCTCTTGTTAACCGGACGTAGCGGCGTTTAGCCATTTTTTCCTAGAATTTTGTCGAACCACAGATTGCCGGTTCGACCGCGGCCACGCGCGTCCGACGAGCGATTCGGAACACGTTCGATCGACTTTCCAAGGGAGGAGCGATAAGCGAATCGGAGCTTCCGCGTCCGGATCCGCGCGGACCGGACGATCGTTCGGCGAGGCGACGAGCGAACAAGCCGAGCGAGCGTAGCGTCCGAAATGTACAGTAATGTCTCCCTTACCGACGCTCGGATTGTCCACAGAAATGGACAATTTGGGAAGAGAGGATACGATTATTCGAGCCTCGCAGCTCGTTTTTATAGCTGTTGACAATTCGTAACTATAACAAATGAACCGCGAGTATCGGATAATTGTATCTTCTCTACCTAAATTGTCCGTTTTTGTAGACAATCGGAGCGTCGATTAGTACGTATTCGATCGAACTGTATTCGATCGTACGAGGTGGAAGATAACTCGGGAGGCTCGCGGGTCGCTGGCCGCGCGCGGGTCGCAAATTGATTTCGAGTCGCGCGGGAGTTCAACGACGGCGGGAGACTATAAATCGATTCGGTATTCGAAGCGTTTAATCGGATCTGGTTACGGCATGGTCAAGGACGAGCGGAGGCGTCCCTTTACGGAACTATGTGACCGTGAATTCCGCGTAGCCCGAATTCCCTCACGCTACACCCTTTCGTTGCACTTATCGGCGGCGAGTGCGATCGATATCGCAACGCGGAACAGAACGGGCGAAATTCTTCGATATCCCGCTATTCCCGTATTCGCGAACTCGTAAACCGAACTGCTCGCGACACGCTGCTGCGAGTCGCGAGCTCGCCGAGAAATGGGCCCGGGTTTGCGCCTGCCTCGATCTCGATCTCGATCTCGATCTCGATGGTCCTGGAATCGAGAGGCCCGAGGAGGCTGCGGCGGCAACTTTCGCTCTCGTTCCCGCGAGTCCTAGGACCTTGTTCTCATCACCGAAATATTCCGAATTGTTCTAAAATTTCCTAACCGAAACCGAGACCGTAGAAGACCGTGGAAGCGGGAAACCGGGCCGGAGGAAACGCGCGAACCGGATTCAACCGCTCGTCTCTTCTATCTGAGCGAGTTTTTTGCAGACGATCGTCCGGCGGGTCATTGAGATTTCACCTCCACCCTCTCCGCCTTCTCCCACTTTTCTCACGTTATCCCGGTCCGGTGATAACGGGGCAACCGCTGGAACACAGGCTGCAGAGCCGTGCAACCACGCTCGGTTTTTCCTTCTCCTTTTGTTCTTCTTTTTTCAGCCTACGGGCAAAAGTCGCGCTTCGAGCGATCCCAGAGTGTTTCCGTTCTATCGTTGTTATCATCATCGTTATCATTATTATTATTATTATTATTATTATTAGCGACTTTTCCGAATCGATTTTCCTCGATTCGTCTTTTGAAACAGTCTGTACGCTCGCGCGTGGTGTCCGCGGTCTAACTAGGACCGGATAAACGTTCGTCTCGGCCACGATAGCTCCGGCAAAGTTTGTCGAACGCAACGGGGTTCATTAGACCCCCCGGGGGCCGTTCGGAATCGTAATTGGAAAGATTGATTTACGGAAAGAAAGTTTCGGAAAGCGTTCGGGGGTTCGACGAATTCCGTCGTCGCGGAGTTCCCTGATGTCGGGCAATTAACCGGCACACCGTTAGTTTCCGAACTCGATATCGGTGCTCCGCCGTCGCGCCGCGCCGCGCCGCGCCGAGGGACACGTGATCGAAAACGGGCGTGAATTTACGAACGAGAAAAGTTTCCGGCACCGTTCCGACCGGCTAATTGTTATTACTATCGGAGCGGAGGATCGACTATGGCTCTGCGGCCGAGAGCACGCGGTTTATCTCGTCGCGATTGTTAGTCCAGCTGCGGGATTCTCAGGGGGTTGCTCGAACGTTGCCGTTTCGCTCGTTCGTTGAACTCTCCCCGGGCCATTTTGCGTGGCTCGTCGATGCTCGTGGCTGTTCGCGGACACTCGCGGACTCGCGGATGATCGTGGCGAACCTCGCCGCAACGCCCCGATCCGATTAAAAACCGCGAGAAAAAAAAATTGCTGGGACAACACAGCGCGATAACGCGTCGCAGGGATCTCTGCGTTCTCTCGTCGCGGACGAAGTTGCTTCGAGGACTCCGGACTTCCGGCTCTTCCGGTTCGTCGAAGCTGCGAGCTTCCGGTCACCGAGGGCCGCTTAACGATTTTGCGGCGACCAGACGGAACGCCTCGTCGCGTCGCGTCGCGCCGCGCCGCGCCGCGTTTAAAGTTGTGCGCACGAAGTCGTAGAAAAGTTAGGACAGTGTATTCGAAGGGTGATATCCTCGCGAGAATCCGGGTTCACCATATACATATCGATTGGTGCCATTCGGTGCCTGGCAGTGGGTCGTGCTTCTTCTACTTCCATTCGCCCAGACACCGGATACGACAAACCTCTGCCTCTGCCAGCCGAAAGAGGAACATCGAGGGAGGAACGCTGGGCTCGCCGCGCCGCGCCGCGCCGCGTCTCGCGATTCGCGAGCGAATCGTTTCCATCGACAATTAGGATATCCTCGTACCCTAACTCGGGGTAATTGCTACCTAGAGTCCAGCCACGATCACCGGGACCTGCGAAGACCCGACAAAGTTCCAACCCGTTGGAAAGCTTAGGGCCGGATCAATTTTTTACAGCGTACAGATCTAGCGCCCAAAATTTGCGAACGATTTTCAGACCTATGAAAATAGGATTCGGGAAGGTAGCTGATTCCAAGTTCTGTTACTCGGAGATCCCTCGCGCGTTGGTCGGAGAGTCTACGGTGCAGATTTTCATTTTTTAAAGAGAGCTCGGAGTTAATTAAGTATAACGAATTGGTAACATCGCGACCCGATAGATAACGATACTTTTACGACTTTTATTGCTCTCGCCGGCGCGGCGCGGCGCGGCGGAGATTAGGCTGACCTAGCGGAACAGCGACTGGTTTGAAATATGTCAGCTTAACGTCGGTTTATTCATTATCGTGCTATTCTTTTCTTTTTCCTGTTTATCAATCGAGCGAGATAATTCCTCGAGAGAAGAAGATTCCGTTGGCAATGAGACGCGCAAAGACTATCTTTCCCCTTGTGTTAACGAGTTCGTCTCGCCGAACACGCCGAGAACGAATGACTCGTTCTTTTTCTTCATCGAATGAATTCTGTGTTGCAGCCGTTGTCTAAAGGTATTCCGCAGATTTCGACGAGAGGACAGATGGAAAGGCGGCGGCCACCGTTTCTTAGAGGGCCTAACAAGACGAAAGAGGTATTTTCGGTACTTGAAATATTCTTTGAGCCATCGTTGTTAGAAACGATTCCCAAATTTCGTTCTACTCCTTTCTGTTTTGCTTTATTTTATTCTATAAAGTGCAGATACTAAAAAGTCGTCTCATAAACCTAAATCGAACCACTGGATTGCGCACGCAACGTACAACGCAATATTCGACGCGAATCGTTTACTCTTGATGATTTAAATGTAGCGCCGTTTGTGATAAGTGGCGCCTCTTGCGGCAAAATCTCGAAGCTCCTTTCGGGGTCTGTACAGCGCCAATTAGTCCGGTGGCAAAACGCTCAAACTGTTAGCCAAAATCAGCTGTCGATAATTTTGGCTAGCAGCTTCAGCGTTTTGCCACCGGACTAATTGGCGCTGTACGGACCCCGAAAGGAGCTTCGAAAACTCGCCGCGAGAGGCGCTGCTCCTCTCAAATGGCGGCACTTTTGAATTTCGAGAGTATTTTTAATAGCCAGCAAACTGTTTTTTCGCAACGTAGACGCGGATGTTGACGAAGAAGTTTCAAATTTTCAACTTGTTCTTTCTAGACGAAGCTTTTTGCTATAGCGCAACGTTAATCGTAGTTTATTACATTCGCGGAAGGACTCGCAGTCTAGCGATTAGGCTGTGNTCTGTACAGCGCCAATTAGTCCGGTGGCAAAACGCTCAAACTGTTAGCCAAAATCAGCTGTCGATAATTTTGGCTAGCAGCTTCAGCGTTTTGCCACCGGACTAATTGGCGCTGTACGGACCCCGAAAGGAGCTTCGAGATTTCGCCGCAAGAGTCACTACTGTCGCGTGTGTGGGTAAAACAGTACCCATCGCACAGTAAATAGTAAATAGGAATTTTGTGCACATTGTTCTAAGAAATGCATTTACAGCTGGAAAATGAATGGGAATTTACTAACAGTATCGATAAAAAAATATTATTTATATTAACGGATCGATTTCCTTTAGTTGCAATCTTAATTTTAAATAGTTTTTAACCTCGTAACGATGAGCTTGTGCGTCCTCGATATAGACAATTTATCGAAAGGTATACAATTTCTAATTATCGTAATATCTTTTGTTACACGGTACACAGGACAGCCCGAAGTTCAGAATTTTTAGAAAGATTTTGCATACAAATAACCTTGTTGTCAACGATGAAATTTTTTCTCACCCACTCTGTATATTGCTTTTAGCTACATTGCCTAATCAAGTTTATGTCCCTTTAAGACGGACAAGAATACAACTAGTAAAATGGATTCGTCACGGAGCACCACCAGCGGTATAGGGGAACGTAGGGAAGACGACGATCTATCTCCGGATGCATTGGTCAGACAAAATTGTGAATTGCGCCATCGTCTCGAAGAGGAAGCTGTTAATTACAAAAGACGGCTGGATACGTATAGACAAAATCAGCAGCATCAGGCAGCCCTTGTTTCTCGTTTACAAGCCAAAGTAATGCACGCGTTCTTCTAGACATCGGTGAACGGGTATACGGATCTAACGAATCGTATTTGTAGGTTTTACAATACAAACAAAGATGTTCGGAGCTGGAAAACCAGGTGGCAGAGACCGGCGCGTACGATTCTAATAAACTGTCCAGTTCTATACCAGTAATAACCACTCCGTTAGACGCAGCGCACCAAACGTTAAGGGATATGCGCGAAGAACAAATTCATGATTTAGACACTGCCTTAAAAAAGCTTGCGGATGAACGTAAACGGTAGTATTTAATCGCTACGGGCGTAAAGAAAGAAGTAGATTATATGTATTAAGATTACCGTTCTTTCTTAGATGCGAAAAATTGTTACAACTAAATACAACGCTCAAAGATCAATTGGAAGAATCGCATCAGACAAACGAGGCCCTCACTAACGACCTACAAAAATTGAGCAACGACTGGGACATACTAAGGGAAGAACTGGCTATTAAAGAAGACGAATGGAAAGAAGAGGAGCAAGCATTTAATGAATATTACACTTCAGAACACAATAGATTATTAAATCTGTGGCGCGACGTTGTCTCCGTGAAACGATTATTTGCAGAGATAAAATCTAATACGGAAAGAGACCTATTAAAAATGAAAAATGGTATCAATTCTACTTTTAACGACGTTTCATCGGCTTGCGCCAACACAGGATTTGCTCTGAAGATGCAAGCAGCCGTGCAGCCAATGGTAAACCAAGTCTTTGATAAGTTCGCGGTCTAACGAACTGTATTATTTTCGTAATTTTCAGATATCGCAACAAGTTCATCAAGCACAGGAACAGGTAGCGACGGATTTAAAAATTGAATTATCAACGCTTAAACAACAGTATGACATAACTCAAAACGAAAATCGCATGAAAGAAGAGAGAATTAACCAGCTTATTCGTGACGTTCACACTTTGGTAAATCATTATAATAGAATATTGTTTACGTAAGTCGTAAATATAGTGCGATGGTATTGACTTTGTTTTGCGATACAGGAAGAGAGATGCGGGGAAGCAGAAGCGGAGATACAACGTAACGTGCGTGCCCAGGACGACGTTGAAATTCTGCAATCCGCGTTGAGAGAAATAGCGCACGCCGTGATTCAAGATGCAGAAGCACGTGAGATTGAAAGCACTCAAGGACCGTCTCACCTACATTTGACACCTAGCGTTCCAATTCCTCAGAAATCACCGAAAAGAGGTACAAGAAGCAACACCATCCCAGCTTTCGCTGAAAGTACGATCAGTGCTGTGCAAGCAGCGCTGCATAAATATCAGTTGACTATACACGAGCTTCAGGTGTGAAGATTTTATATTGTATACTTTGAGATCGATCGATGCAGCATGGAAGTCGTTCTCCGAACAGCTGACAATATTCTATAATAATCTGTCCTACTGCTTGCTACAGGTGAAATTGCAAAGCAATAAAGAACAATTGGTGACAACCCGAAGGCAGTGCGAGAACGCGGAAGAAAATATCAAAACGTTGGAGAAACGTGTGCAAGAGTTGATTACCGAGCTGGACACGGCTCGATCACAGTGTTCGCAGCTTAATCAAGAGAAGGACATGTTGCAGAAGGGTCTTGACACCGTAAGAGTGGAAAAGAACGCACTGGACAAGAGTAGGATCGAAATTAACAGCATGGTATGACTATTAACTATCGCACAAAGCGTGCAGAAATTTTGTAAACGGTGTACCAAACCATAGTATGCTCTGCTCTTTTTAGATGGAGAATTTAAACAACGATTACGAGAAGCTTCAGAAATCTAACAATAAATTACAAAAGCTCTGTGATAATCTCGAAGATGAAAAGCTGTATCTGCAAAGCGAATTGAACAGAGTTTCCAAAGAAGCAGAGTTAAGGTTAGCTAAACATTGTGTTTTGTATTCCTGCCAGTTAATGCAACTTTTAATTGATTCGTCAGAGAAATAAATCTCCATTCGGAGGAAGACAGATGTAGCAAAATGAGAGAGGAATTGTTGACCTTGCGAGAAGAGTTGAACAAAGCTTATTTAACTAAGGACATGTTGGAACAGCAAAAATTAGAGACCGACAGTTTAATTTCGCAAATCGAAAAGAATAAAGGTAATTTTCTTTTATCGATTGCTGCTTATAATTCAATCCGTGTAACTGGATTATTATTCAGGCGACTTGGAACTGGAATTAGAACGCGTGATATTGGAAAAATCGGACGTGCAAGAGGTCCTGATGAAGATGGAAACGGTTTGTAGTAATCACGAGCAAGAGAAACAGCGATTACAGGAGGAGCTGAAGAAGGTATAGAAGAGGATGATACCAATGGGGTGTAAGGTTACTGTATTAATTTCAAACTTCAGGTGACGGATGAGAAAACAAAATTAGCAAATCAGTGTACAGATCAACAAGGTGATCTAGGTTCCCTGAGGAAGGAGTTACTGCAGGCGGAGCAAATCAGGCTAGATTTGGAATCGGAAAAAGCTACGTTAAATGAGAAAGTGAAATTTTTGGAAATCGAGAAGGAAAAAACTGAAATAGAACTGGCGCAGGTCACGCGAGAGCGTGGAGATTTGAGTAATCAATTATCGGTTCTAGCGAGAAAAAAAGAAACTTTGAACGAAGAATTGATGAGACTCAGGCAGAGATTGGAGCAAGCAAATGAGATGAATGGGAGGATTAATCGAAACTTGGAGGATTTGATAAAAGACAATGAGGAGAAACAGGTAGCTGCAAGTAATTATTGCGCAATGTATTATAATATAGATAACCATCCGATGTATTTGTATCGTGGCAGGTGCTTCTGGAGACCAATGAGAAAGAAGTGCAACGATTGCAAGAGCAACTTGCATCGATGCGCGGTGAGAAGGAAACACTGGAAGGGGTCCTATTCGACACACAAACTAATCTAGAGAGTATGCACGCAAAGAAGACGCAGTTGGAGAAGGAACAAAAAGAGTTACTGGTTAATAAAGAGAGCTTGAAAGGGCAAGTAGAACGGCTAATAAAGGATTTGGAAAACAACGAGAAGCGGGCACAAGAAATGAAGCAGAGCTTGACGCAGCAAAGCGGGGATCAAGAGGCTGAATTCCATCACATTATCTCCAATTTGAAAAAACATAGCGAAGATAATATTAAAAAGTTGAACGACGAGAAAGTAAGAAATTCGCGCATGTCTCTGATTAATGGAAAGCAAAATTGACTGAATTTATTTTTTCACAGGAACAAGTAAGGCTTAGTCTCGAGAAGCGACTTCAGCAGTCCCTGCTGCAACTTAGCGGTGAAAAGGACAACGAGATCAATCAGTTGCAGCAGAGGATCGACGAGATGCAGCAACAGATGGAAAACTTGTGTCAGACGCACGAGGAGGTTCTTCTGAGGGCGGAGAATGACAAACAGCAGGCTCTATTAATGGGTACAAATATACTTATAACATTATAAATTTGTAAACATTTATTTCGATTTATCGATATCGTTCTATGCATTTTCTCAGCTCATCACGATCAACAAGCACTACTGGACAAGCTCGAGAGTGTTTTACGAGAAATGGAGGAAGAAAAGAACAACGTGGAGAGAATAAAGAGGGAAGCAGCTGCACGCGCTGAACAAGAACGCAACAGTACTAAGCAATTGCGCGATGACTTGAATCGTCTTAAGACAAAATTGGACGAGACCAAATTAAAATCTGACGAAGAGAGGATAAAGCTTGATCTGAAGATCGAAGAGCTGTGGAAAGAACGGGAATCGGCACAGAGGGAGTCGGAAGAATTGCAAGTTCAATTGCATATGACGGAGGACAAGGTCGACAGTCTACAAAATCAGTTGCAGGAGACAGTGAGAAAACTTAAAGATGGTAATTTTTTTTTTATAAATATCCTTTACGCTCGATCGGTTGTTGATTCTACAGCAACGATTGTATATTTGCAGCTGAAACTCTGAATGAAAGCCTGCGGAAAGAGTTAGTGGATATTAGAAGGCAATTAGCTGACTCTACGTACGAAAAGGAGAAGTACCATAACAGTAACAAAGAGTTACGGGAGCACGTGAAACGCATCGAAAGTGAAAAGAGGGAACAGAGTAGGACGTTGGAAGAATCGTACCAAAAGATTGCAGGTGCATTGTAGCGACAGATGTAGATGACTGCTGCAGTGTGTGGGTAGCGTTTTATTAATAAATATTTTATATGTAATGTCTGTAAAGCTCTGGAGGACATGAAAGTAGCTATAGACGCAGAGAGATCACGTATTCAGACACAATTGCGTGACATGGAACGGGAGACTTCGCAGTTGCAGAAACAATTACGGTTCACACAGGACGAATTGCAAAAGTCTCACGATAGTAATGCCCAAGCACAGAGCGACGAGAAAGAGTTGCAAGCTCGACTGGCGAACGAGACAGAGGAAAGAGAACGTTTGCAGCTGCAACTGCATCAAGTGAAGAAACAGGTATCTCTATCGAGTACTGTAAAAGAAATTAATTGTGAAATATATGTGTGTTCGTCCGTTGACTGTTTTTGGTTAGTTGATAGATGTGGACAACAGTTTGGAAGCCACGCGACAAGAGCTTGGGAGACTGCGTTCACGCGCCGATGAGGAAGATGAGAGATGGAGGACGAGGGAACAGGAGTTACTGGTTAGACTGGAGGACTGTCGATGCCGTGAGAGAAAGCTCGAAGATCAAAAACATAATTTGGAAGTTTGCTTGGCTGATGCTTCCCAACAAATTCAAGAACTAAAAGTAAAATATCGAAATTAACGGTTGAATATTTCTGAAGAGTTAATGGTAAGTTTGGAAAATAGATTTAGTACTGTTTTTGTTGCATATGCTACTTAGGCACGTCTCGGAGGATCCGAAGGACGAGTCAGAGCTCTGGACGCTCAGCTATCGCAACTTGAAATCGCAAAGAAAGAAGCTGAACAGAAATTGAGCAGCGTTGGTTCTACCTTACGACGTATCGTCGGTATTCAAATGGATGGAAATGTTAACATGCCGTTCAAATTGATGAGTCCTTCGAGAAGATGGAGTCCAGCGAGAGGTGAGCAATCGATCGATCAACATCGACGATTAGATAACAATTTGGCTTATGATTTAGCTCAAGAGCACACCGATTCCGGCAGAGACGTGATAATCGATGTTGATCCTGAAGCAGTTAGAAAAGGCGTGCGTTCCTTCATGCAACAAGTGGCGCAAATTGAACGCGAAAGAGTAACTGTTGCATTTTTTTCATAAATTTTCTACACGTTCCTTTCAATTAATCCCAATTTTGTTCAAACTGTAGGACGATTACAAAACAGAGTTGTGCAACTTGAAGAAACAGCTGACAGAAACTCAAGAGGTACAGAACAAGTCAGACACTCAAATAAATACGCTGTTGGCTAACATCAGAATGCTGCAGGATGAGAAGAACTCTTTGGAGATGAAACTGTCTCAGAAACAGGGCAGTTACGACATGCAGGTATGTTTTTTCTATAGAATTCTGCTAGCAATTTTTAAGTCGTTACCGAAGAGTATGTTTTAAGCTGAACGCTTTGCAACAAAAGACAGAGGAATGCGAACAGCTGCGCGAGAAACTGGCGAACCTCGAGCTAATGATCAGCAGTAGCACCGAAGAAAAGATACAGTGCGAGGTGGGAACAAAACATTCTGTAGGGAAAACGCTTTCATTGTTTCCCAATTGCATTGTAATTTATAGGATAAGTTGGAAAAGATGAAGCAAGCTTTGAATCGAGTAGAAAACGAGAAGCGCAATTTGCAAGAGGAGCTCAATAGAAGCGAGTCCCGTGCTACTAAACTGGAATTGCAGAGGATGTCGTTGGAGGGTGATCTTCAAAGACTGCAGATGATGTTCCAAGAGAAAGAAGCAAATATTCATGTAATTCGCTTGCGACTGCAACCTTTAAACTCATCTAACAAACTTGAATTATATTACTTTCTAAATAATCCCACAGAAACTGCAAGAGAGAAACGAGACTCAGAGCAGAGCCATGGCAAGCTTGGAGGAACGCTGTGCTTCGTTAAAATCAACGATAGAACAATTGAACTTAACATTGGAGAAGGCGTCCAATACGGAGAGTGAATTGAAGAGTGAAATTAATTGTCTGCAGCGCAATGTCCTAGAATTGACGACCTCTTTGCAGACATCCAATGAGAAAACCAAGCAGGTATTTTCTTCATCTTTGGTAAATTACCAGAAGTATCGATATTAAACCGACGTATATAATTGTTACAGTTGCAAAAACAGCTAACAAATACTGAAAATGAGCGAAGAATTCTGACAGAGCGCGCGGAGTCCTCGCAACAGTCCTTGAGCGAGTTGAAACGTACGAATCAGTCGTTAACAGATCAAATAAATCGATTGCAGAACGAATTGGCGAACAACGAGGTGCAACGTTGCACCTTGGAGTCACAATTAAGGATAGCCAGTTTTCCGCAGGAGGAAACAACGAACAAGGACGAGGAGTTAATGCGTCAGCTGCAAGCAGCGCAGAGGGAGAGGAGCGAGATGAGAGGAAAAGTGGATGCACTTGGCGACAAGGTAAATCTTTGATAACTCGCTGACAATCTTATGATACATTCTTCCAACAATGTTTCAGGTAAAAATGTTAGAAGTCGATAAACGTAATTTAGAACGTCAAATATCATTGGCCAAGTCGACCAGCGTTCGCAGCAAGAGCTACGAAAGGCCAGAAAAAGCACACGCAGAACTGTTGGGCACTAGTTTCGATGTGGACCACTACGAGCAAGAAAACAGAGAATTAAGATTGAAAGTCCGCAGACTGGAGACTCAGCTGGCGGAGAAAGAAGCAGAGCTCATAAGAGTGAAGTCGGGTTACGTTCATAGTCATTCGATGTACGAATTTAGTCGGGATAGATCTGGAGAAGTTGAGAGACTCAGGGCCGCGCAACTGCAGGCAGAGAAGTTGTTGGAAGCAAGGGAGCAGAGCCATCGTCAGCAAATCCTACGTCTGGAAAATCAGGTAACAGTTTATCACCATTTATGTCCAAGATCGAGAACTTTGTATTATAATTCCGATTTTTGTGAATAGATTCAACTATTGCGGGAACAACTGAATCAGGAGATAAAACGCAGACAATTGTATGTATTGAGAAGTTCAAGGGCTGGTAGGGAGATGCAGCAATTGAGGCAAGCTCTGGGCGACTCGTTGAGAACAGTGGCCCAAGATCCATCGCTGGACGCAGTATTATTAGAACACGAAGCCCGTAAGCTGGACTCGACTTTAACGAGTACCACCAGTTTACCACCATCGTTGGCTTTACCACCTCCATCGCCGTACGACAGATCTTCCACGCCGGCACAACTCAAATAAATCGTCGCTCCGTTTCAGACTGATTCAGACTCGACAACTGCCAATATTCAATCGTTATTTGCCAGAAGAATAGAGTAGAAACGATTCTTCCACTCGTAGGAACATTCATTCTAGTCCCAAGTGTACTTAAAGATTCATCCGCGGGTCTGCGTACCTTCGCCTAAACTTCACTTTAAAATTCTTGCGGAAGAATGGATTTTCTCGTAATCTCTGGTTCTAAAGCTGGAACACAACTTTTTCAGATCATTTTTTATATGAATTCGGCAACAAAGGTCGAAGCTGTACCAACGGTACAGTATAATATCGTAATTAAGACAGTTCTTTCTTTTTGACAAAGAATTTCTATACCCGTACCATTTTTAATATTATCTAAGATAATACTAAGATAAAACGGAAACGTACTTAAATCTCAGTCCGTCCACGCGTTGCGCAGACTTTCGTTTTCTGCAGTAATTGCGTCTATAAGTTAGTTTTTAATTGATTTTAGCGTTATTGGTTGTTGATTTGAGAATATATGTATATCCGGATTGCGAAGCATGCGCTTATGATCCGTATAATGGAAAGCACTTTCAGAGTAAGTTGTACTGGCAAGAGTAATGCTATCTTTGGTCTTGTTCCGAGACCAAAGAGAATCACCGAGCAAAAGCATTGTAGAGATATGCTTCTGATAGATGAATAACTGAAGTCTACCGCGTAGCCATAGGAAGTAGAACATGGTACCGTAGAAGGAGGTATCAAAGGGCAACGTGCACGTAAGGGTTGGTTCGACGAATTGGATTGTGTCTATTCTTTATCGTTAAGAATATAGACATCTAATCCAGCCGAAATATTTAGCTGGCTTAATCGAGCTGTCCTGTTTGCGGATCATGGAAACAAATTCATGTGTTCAGAGACCATTAGTTTCTCTTTTTCAGTACAAACGTAGCACAAATAACAGAACGTACTATTTTATTAGTACCTTTGCACCATACAGACTTGATTGTTACGACGTTTTTTTAATAGCTCAATCAAGCCAATTATAGATAATTTAAGTACTCTATTTTTATGTACAACGTATCCTTTCGTATATATGTATTTATGAAATGGTCATTTCCGAAAGACACCGGAATCATCTACTTTAATCGACGAAAAATTCTATCGAAATAAGTAGTTTTTTTTCAATTCTAGTCACGGAAAACAAACATTTTATTATATGTTTAATGTTCATTTTTGTAAAACTATGTATACGTACAGATTATAAATAAACTATTGCAAATTTCATGTTCATGCGTTTACAAAAAAGAGATAGGAAGAGTATTACAATCTTTGATCTTAGGGGGATACGATATACATACAAATAATTCATAAAATTTCAATTTTTTTCATTAAAAGAATTCAATGATCATCTACCATGTTAATTAATTACGTATTGCGGTATTGTTATCTGTTTTTTTTTACATGGTATCGATACAGAAAACTCTCCTGAACAATTCTATGCCTTTGGTTAATTGTTTTTTGGCCTAATTAAGCCATACTTAGAAATCTAGAAAATACTTATCTTGAATACCAAACAATTCAAATTTACCGCCGTTGACTAGTTAATGGCGCCTCTCGCGGCAAGTTTTCGAAGCTCCTTTCGGAGTCCGTACACCGCCAATTAATTCGGTGGCAAAACGCTGAAATTACTAGCCAAAATTTTGGCTAGTAGTTTCAGCGTTTTGCCACCGGACTAATTGGCGCTGAACGAACGCCGAAAGGAGCTTCGAAAACTTGCCGCGAGAGGCGCCACATGTCAAATAGTTATCAATAGTTGTACTGTAGGTTATGAATACATGGCGGATTGTTGATGTTTATTTTTGTTTAAAAAATTAGTTAATACCTTGTTATACAGTAAGTACAACAATGTTTGTACACGGTTCTTCGTTAAAACCTGTAGCTGATTGTATAAATATTTACGTGCTGTTTAGTTCCGTTTAATATTGAATAGGTATGCATGTAAATTCTTTTTCATGGAATATTTTCCAACGAGTTTTATGATGCACATTTCAAAGATCAGAATTCTTTCTTCGCGGCTGAATGCCCACAAATTGCCCTGTAACGCAAAGCTCTATCACATCGAACAGAAACCGTTTAAGCAAAACGTTCAAAATGACGAGGTAGATCCGAAGGTTCTGGCTTTACGAGAGAAACTGTTGTACTGCGATCACTTGGATCTCGAATACGTTAAAACGGGATTTAAAAGACGCAAACAGATGCAATTGCAGTTTTTAGCGCGTGAAAAAGCAGCAAGGACTAAGACATCGTTCGAGGACCCCGTTTCAAGCGTAATTTTAGATAGAGAGAAAAAATCAAGTTACGGAGAATCTGACCACGGCGAGAGGTTGGAAACAGACAATAAAAACTCTTCTAATTTCTATATGCCATATACCAGAACAAGTTCTTACGAAACCATCGATTTGTCAAATGAAAGTATAAAAGAAGAAACATCGGATCGGTTAAACATAAAGTACAAGAAGTTATATGAAAAATATTTGGAAGCAAAGAACTCTGGCATCGAATATGAATCAAAATTTGATGACATCGTAAAGGGCGAACACGACCATTCGTTACCAAAGGGAGAACTTTGGAAAGTACCATCCACATGGATGACCGATTTCGAACAGTTCAACGACACTGTGGCAGACGACGAAGCATTCCGAAGTTACGGAACTCCGGATCCGTCGTCCGCTGTAAGTTCCGTTCCTTGCGGCGGATGCGGAGCGTTACTGCATTGCAAAGATCCGTCGATTCCCGGTTACTTGCCGTCCGAATTGTTCTCGCGCGGCGACCAAGAAGATTTGAAACGTACGGTTTGTCAGAGGTGCCATTTCTTGAAAGCTTACAATGCCGCTTTGCACGTAAAGGTATCGGCGGACGATTATCCGAAGCTGTTGAAGGTCATAAAAAAGACAAAATGTGCGATGGTTTTGATCGTCGATTTGACGGACTTCCCTTGCAGTATATGGCCCGATTTGAAAAGCGTCATGCATCCTTTCACGCCCGTAATACTGGTCGGGAATAAAGTCGATTTACTTCCGAGGGACTGCCCTCGATTTCTGGACAACTTGAAGGACCAGCTTTTAAACAGCTTTCTCGAAGTGACCGGTATATCACGGAAGAACGTGATGCACTATACCCTCGCGTCCGCGAAGACCGGCTTTGGCATAGAGTCGCTCATAAACAAATTGCAGCGCCTGTGGCGGAATCGAGGTGATCGTCCTCGGTTTTCATACACCGTGCTCCGGAGATAGGGGACATTCTAAAGAATTCTAAAAGATCGTCTAAATTTTCAGGAGACGTGTATTTGGTTGGTTGTACAAACGTTGGAAAAAGTACAATGTTCAATGCGCTGATCAACTCGGATTACTGTAAAAGTCAGGCTGTGGATCTGCTGCAACGCGCCACGATATCACCTTGGCCAGGGACGACGTTGAATCTACTGAAATTTCCTATTCTGAACGCACAGCCCGAGAAAGTCGCGTTGCGAACGCAAAGACTGATACAAGAACAAGTTTATAAAGTGGCCGAGACAGAATATAGAGTGTCGAAGTTTCGGGAGACAAGGAACATACGTTACACCATGTTGGAAGGTGGAGNTCGGAGTCCGTACACCGCCAATTAATTCGGTGGCAAAACGCTGAAATTACTAGCCAAAATTTTGGCTAGTAGTTTCAGCGTTTTGCCACCGGACTAATTGGCGCTGAACGAACGCCGAAAGGAGCTTCGAAAACTTGCCGCGAGAGGCGCCACATGTCAAATAGTTATCAATAGTTGTACTGTAGGTTATGAATACATGGCGGATTGTTGATGTTTATTTTTGTTTAAAAAATTAGTTAATACCTTGTTATACAGTAAGTACAACAATGTTTGTACACGGTTCTTCGTTAAAACCTGTAGCTGATTGTATAAATATTTACGTGCTGTTTAGTTCCGTTTAATATTGAATAGGTATGCATGTAAATTCTTTTTCATGGAATATTTTCCAACGAGTTTTATGATGCACATTTCAAAGATCAGAATTCTTTCTTCGCGGCTGAATGCCCACAAATTGCCCTGTAACGCAAAGCTCTATCACATCGAACAGAAACCGTTTAAGCAAAACGTTCAAAATGACGAGGTAGATCCGAAGGTTCTGGCTTTACGAGAGAAACTGTTGTACTGCGATCACTTGGATCTCGAATACGTTAAAACGGGATTTAAAAGACGCAAACAGATGCAATTGCAGTTTTTAGCGCGTGAAAAAGCAGCAAGGACTAAGACATCGTTCGAGGACCCCGTTTCAAGCGTAATTTTAGATAGAGAGAAAAAATCAAGTTACGGAGAATCTGACCACGGCGAGAGGTTGGAAACAGACAATAAAAACTCTTCTAATTTCTATATGCCATATACCAGAACAAGTTCTTACGAAACCATCGATTTGTCAAATGAAAGTATAAAAGAAGAAACATCGGATCGGTTAAACATAAAGTACAAGAAGTTATATGAAAAATATTTGGAAGCAAAGAACTCTGGCATCGAATATGAATCAAAATTTGATGACATCGTAAAGGGCGAACACGACCATTCGTTACCAAAGGGAGAACTTTGGAAAGTACCATCCACATGGATGACCGATTTCGAACAGTTCAACGACACTGTGGCAGACGACGAAGCATTCCGAAGTTACGGAACTCCGGATCCGTCGTCCGCTGTAAGTTCCGTTCCTTGCGGCGGATGCGGAGCGTTACTGCATTGCAAAGATCCGTCGATTCCCGGTTACTTGCCGTCCGAATTGTTCTCGCGCGGCGACCAAGAAGATTTGAAACGTACGGTTTGTCAGAGGTGCCATTTCTTGAAAGCTTACAATGCCGCTTTGCACGTAAAGGTATCGGCGGACGATTATCCGAAGCTGTTGAAGGTCATAAAAAAGACAAAATGTGCGATGGTTTTGATCGTCGATTTGACGGACTTCCCTTGCAGTATATGGCCCGATTTGAAAAGCGTCATGCATCCTTTCACGCCCGTAATACTGGTCGGGAATAAAGTCGATTTACTTCCGAGGGACTGCCCTCGATTTCTGGACAACTTGAAGGACCAGCTTTTAAACAGCTTTCTCGAAGTGACCGGTATATCACGGAAGAACGTGATGCACTATACCCTCGCGTCCGCGAAGACCGGCTTTGGCATAGAGTCGCTCATAAACAAATTGCAGCGCCTGTGGCGGAATCGAGGTGATCGTCCTCGGTTTTCATACACCGTGCTCCGGAGATAGGGGACATTCTAAAGAATTCTAAAAGATCGTCTAAATTTTCAGGAGACGTGTATTTGGTTGGTTGTACAAACGTTGGAAAAAGTACAATGTTCAATGCGCTGATCAACTCGGATTACTGTAAAAGTCAGGCTGTGGATCTGCTGCAACGCGCCACGATATCACCTTGGCCAGGGACGACGTTGAATCTACTGAAATTTCCTATTCTGAACGCACAGCCCGAGAAAGTCGCGTTGCGAACGCAAAGACTGATACAAGAACAAGTTTATAAAGTGGCCGAGACAGAATATAGAGTGTCGAAGTTTCGGGAGACAAGGAACATACGTTACACCATGTTGGAAGGTGGAGATTTATTTAGATTCGATCGGCTACGCGGACTTTTCGATTATTAATCTGTACAGTTTTTCCGTAGAGCGCGTAGGTAGAACCTTCCGAAAGGAACCGCTGGAAGAACGCGATCCATTCTCGGAGAAATCGTACAAGTTTATGCAAAGGAAGCCTTGTTTCGACGAAACACAGCCAGAGTATGCGCAGAGTCGTTGGTGTTACGATACACCGGGCACCATTCAGCCGGATCAAATATTAGATCTGTTAACGACCGACGAACTGTCCTTGACCATACCCAAGCAAATAATATCTCCGAGAACGTTCATCCTCAGGCCGAAAGAAACCATGTTCCTGGCTGGCATGGGAAGATTGGACTACCTCGAAGGAGACGTTTACATTCGGTACCGAATCTTTTTTATCGTTCTCGTTGCGAAACTTCGAACTCTACAAATTATCCGTTCGATCAACAGGTGTACGCTGTTCGCGAGCATGGAACTGCCTCTAACGATATGCCTCACGGAACACGCGGACGACCTGTACGAACAATTGCTGACCACGAGAGCGTTCGCAGTGCCGGTCAACGACCCCGAACGATTGGAAAGGTGGCCGAAATTGGGCTCGAAAGAAATGAAAGTCACGGGCATAAATTACAAGAAATCCGTGGCGGACATCGTACTGTCCAGTATAGGTAAACGATTTGTTCGAGATCGATTTCATGCTCGCGGAGCCGCCAATTCAATCGGATCGCGTTTTCTCTGAATCAGGTTGGATCGCGGTAACGCCGCACGAGAACGAGCACGCGACCTTGAGAGCATGGACACCTCAGGCTCGAGGTATATACCTGAGAACTCCGGCGTTGCTCTCGCAATCGGTCAACTTTCGCGGCATCAAGAAACAGTCTACGCCTGTATATCTGCTGGGACGGCAGGTTTACGTGAAATAAAAGAAAATTTCACCGGTTCGTATAGAGTTTCGATTGCCTCTTTTACATCGTTCCGTCCTAGAACAGAGATTCCTTCGACTTTGATCGAGCTATCGTCGGTTTCCCGCGCTGGAAGTTTCCCTCGCCCTCGTGCAAGCCTTGGCTCCGGTCACGAGCTGTTCTCGCTTCGAGCAACGTTGCTATTTCGAAACGTGCCGACACTTTGCCCCGCGATCCTTTCCCCAGCAACGGGAAGATCGATACGCGTTCGTCGTCCTTGGGCATCGAGTCCTCGAGGCTCTACTGTGAGAACAAAGTGCTCTATAACGCACGAACAAGGATGCAAGCTGGGAGGAACTTACGCGAGCGCGTCGTCGCAACATCGCCACTCGTCGCAGGAGTCCGCGTCTCCGCCGGCTATCCGCCGATCGCGAGCGTGGCTGCTGCAGTCGCAGCCGAAGTAACACTTGTACATCGAACAGACGGAACATTTATCGAAGAGACGAGCGTTCTCGCAAGCGGCGACGGAGGCTCGGCGATCGCTCGACCGGTCGTGGACGCCTCGTAGGTATTCGCGATCTTCTCGTCGACGAGTCTCTCGGCAACCTTGCTCGATTCGTGGCCGATGGCGAACCGGAGAGTCGTCCGCGTCCACGCATCGGCATCTCGCGCTTGAACGGAACGTTATGCTGAATTCCGGGATACGATTCGACGGCCGGTCGCTTCGTCGGTACTCACGTTCGAGGAAGCTCGATGCCACGATGCGTTCGGCTGTGACAAACTCTCTTTTGTCTGATGATACCTTTCGCGGGTCGTCTCCTCTGAGCGGGCAGCGTGCGCTGAAAGACGAATGCGGGTCAACGGGGTCAACGATGGTCAACGATCACCAGCGATTTTCCCTCTTCATAGAGGACGCGTACGTCCAAGCCGTACCTTGAATTCGGTCGTTCTCGCGTCGACTGCGGCCGATTCGTCCAACCAGCCGTCGAAAACAGCCAGCACCTCCTCTATCACGGTTCTCGTCGAGATCTCGATCTTGGGTGCTATGATGCCCTAGATTCGTCCGAATCGGACGAAAGGTTCGGAAGGTTCGATTAGCGCGGATATCGAGGATAATCGGAGATATCCGGTTCGACCGGTCTTTACTAACGGGGAACGATTTCGTTGGATCCATGAGGAGGTCGACGTCTACTCCGGGCAGCAATCGTTTGCAACGGGACACGGGGTACAGCACGTCCGACAAATTGGTTTCGAAGGTGGCTAACACGACGGCTCGGTTGCACGGACCAAGCCATTGTATCAATTCGGCGCGGATAAACTGTTGCTCCAATTTCTGTTGCAGTTCTGTCAAACCAGCCAGCCGTGTGAACGTTCTCTTAAAGTTAAACTCGTTGTGAAATAATAGTGGAAAAATCGGAGATACTCTGTCGGATTCTAGGGTGGAGCCGAGACTGATTATCCGCAGCGCCGTTTCGCCGCTAGGACACAGCCATACCCCTGGACACGTTACCTGAAACGCGCGTCGAACGTAGGCGTCGTCGAGACGAAGAAGCGAAGCGAAACGAAACCAAGCGATACGCTATATAGTATACGTACGGCGTGCAGGTCCAGTCGCACCTTCACGCGGAAACCTTTGCCCGTCATGTTCGCGCGCGCGGTCACCGTCTATCCTCGAATCGCATCCCGTTGTCCTGCCGCGGGGCTCTCGGGTTCGCTTCCGATCCCGTCGAATCCTTCCGATTCGAATCGTCGGCGGAAACGCGGGCCGAGGCGGTCCGTGCGCGGCCTTCCTCGCGGGTAAACTCGGGGCGAACTGGCGTCGTTCGATCGTTGCTTGGCAACGACGGCCGCACGACAAAACGCGCACAGGCCGTCGGTTGAATTTCGCCGAGGATCGAACGCGTTCCGCTCTCGCTCCGGTCCGAACGCGTACGCGAACACCGAGGTCGAATAATCGATAAAGCTTAAACTTTGAACGGAATCCCGGTGAATTTCTCGACCGGTATCCCCCGCCGAGAGCGACGAATCTCGAGCTCGACCGCTACGAAGTCGATCCGCGTTCTGGGAAACCGCAGCCTCGGATCGGTCGTCGGCGGTACCACCGAGCGGTCCGCGTGCCAGCCGTACAGCATGTTCGCCGTCGGCGGCCCCGACGGATAGAGGGCTCGCGGGGTCAGGGTGTTGCGTCTCGCGACCAAATCGACGTACTCCTGCCGGATCTCCGACTCCTGGAACGCGTCGTGTCTCGCGTAGAATTTGCTGCCGGTCGGAGCCTCCGACCGACCGACGGCGACAAATTCCTCCTGCAGTCGCAACCGCTTATTCTCCTTCTCGTATCTTTCGGCGAGGAATCGCAATTTCACCGGATTCATCGCGGCGGATCGAGCAGAGTCGCGGACATTTTCTTTCTATCGGGCGATGAACGCGGCGTCGCGCCGATAACTGGCGAAAAGCACGCGTTCGGAGAAACATTCGAAGCCCGTCGCTCGCGCTTCGAACGGAGGAACGGAGAGAAGGAGGCGACGGCCGATTCGAATATCGATGATATTTATTCAAAGATACGTATATGAATAGAAAACGCATACACAACAAGCGGAAGACCGTAGCCGATCGGTCGCGGAGGGTTCTCGGGCCGCGTCGGGGCGAGAGCTCCTCCTCTCGCGAACGCGGTCCCAATTCGTAGCCGGATCGCGCGAGAACGAGTTTCGCTTGATCGGAACTCGCTGGATCGCGAGCAAACAGTTCGCGCGGACCGAGCCATTGGGAAAACTAGCCGCCGCTGCGGCGAAATCGGCGAAACCGCGCAAAAATCGCAACGAGATGCGACGAGCTGCCAATACGCTTCGCTCGCGTTTCTACGAATACTGCAGCCGATCTCGCGACGCGAACGAACGTTCGCGCGATTAGCAAGGTCGACGACTCTCCCGATCGGGGGACGTTTCACGTTTTACGTCGCGCGCGCGTCTTCTTTCGTGCAACGGTAACGGCGACACACCGACAGTGGTAATAGCGACAACGATAACGGCGATTAGAAAAGAAACGAAAGAGAAGAGGAACGAAACAACTGTTGCACGCGAATTCGCTTGAACGCGCGCGCGGTCGCGACACAAACTCGAAGACTAGAGTTTCGGAAGATACGCGCCGCGATCGACGCGGGCCTGAACGGCGGGGGCGGGCCTTTGCCAAATCGTTGGCAGAAACACCGGTTTCTCGACTAGATATCGATCGGCTGCGCTTATCGGCTTCGGTTCTCGAACGGAGGATAAGCCGGATCGAGCTGTTCGTCGTCCGGATCGGGAGACACGCCGAGCCTTTCGACGGACTCAATAATCGCGGTCGCTTCCAGCGGGCGCGCGCGCCATCGACGAATCGTCGAAGATGGGCGAGCGACGGTGGCCCTCGTTTTGTCGGTCGCTGGTGCTGGCGCTGGCGCTGACACTGATGCTCGCGCTGACGCTGGCGCTCGTGCTCCCGCTTCTGCTCCTGGAAATCGAAGAAGACGCGTTTCAATTCGAGGCGGGACTTCGCGGGGCGGTCCGATTCGCGAAGGTGTACCTTGTCCGCTCGACGAATCGTTCCTCTTCCCGATCGCGCTGCTCGCCGGGCTCCGCGTCGCTCGCGTTCTCCGCGTACGGATTCCGCTTCGAGGCGGTCGCGCGCGAGTCCTTGGCGCCGTTGTAGTAGCCGTTCTCGCATCTTCCGGAGTAGTCGCCGGTGATCGGGGACTTTCTGATCTGCAAGAAGTCGGCGGAACCGGAAGCCAACAGCTCCTCGTAATACTCGACGGTCTTCGGGCCCTTCGCGGAGCTGCCGTACTTTCTCGGCAAGGTGGACGTCGAGCCGAAGCTGTCGATCGTTGGCTCCGTCAGCAGGCCGGCGTACGGGCTGCGGTAGCTCGCGAGGTCCGAGTCGATCGAGAAGTCCGCGCTGTGGTATCTCGTCCGGGAGCTGGACAGGTCGAAGGTCGGCGATCGGATGTACCTGCGGAGCGGGTCGTACGAGGAGGAGAGAGGAGGCAGGTGCTCGATCGACGACCTGGCGTCGAGGATGTACGGGGACGAGGTCGCGTCCGAGTATCTGGGCCTCTCGAGGGACCGGTTCCGCGCGGCCATCGCGGCCGCGACCGCGTCGTCGGCGTACAAGTCGAAGCTCCTCGTTCGTCGAGAGTCCTGTTGCCCGGTCCTGCCGATCGTAGCGGCGAGACCGTAGCCGCCGGTGCCGTACTTGCCGCGGTCTCGATGCTCCCTGTCTCGGTCCCGGTGCCCGCCGAAGCTGTACTTTCGCGGCAGCGACGCCGCGCTCGTCGACAGCCCGAGACCAGGCGGCGGCGCCGTCAGCGACGGCCTTCGTCTGTCGTTGAACCGGGAGTAGAAGCTCCGCCTGCGAATCCGGTCGATCACCGACTCCGTCGTCGAGCTGTCCGCCCTCGCGTACAGAGAACGCGACGGCGACGTGGGCGAGCGAAGATCCGTCCTGGCGTGGTTCAGCTCCGTCGAGCTGACGGACCACGAGTCGAAGCTGTCGGGCTCGTCGACGGGCGAGAACGGCTCGAGATCCGTCGGCGATTCCTTCCACGGCTGTCTGCTGGCCGGCGTCGCGACCGTGGCGACCGTGGCGACCGTGACGACCGGAGCGACGGGTGCCGCCGACGCCTCCTTGTCCCCGTCTCTCCTGTCCTCGCGCTTCTCGAGGTCCTCGAGGACTTTGGGAGGAGGCTGCTCGTGATCCGCGGCGGCCTCTCTCGCGGCCCCGACGCGGCTCTCGATCATCTTGGCGCACTCGGTCACCTCTCTCTTCAGCTCGGCGACGTCCTTGGCGCGCAGCGGCTTGTCGATCACGATCTTGTTGCCGGTGATGCTGGCGCGATGCGTCACCTTCGAGAGACACTCGATCAGCTTGTCGGGCAGGAGCTCCTCGGGCTGAATAGGGTGCGTCGTCTTCGGGGAGTCGCGGGAATCGGCAAAGTCGCCGCCGGACGTCTTCGGCGACTCGGACTTGGGCGAGTCCCTCTTGGGCGTGGTGTTCCTGAACGAGTGCTGAGGTATCTTCGACAGATCGAGCTTCAGGTTGGTTCGGCTAGCGCGCTGCGAGTCCTGCGGCTTGGCCTCCGGAACGCAGCCCGGTTTCCCGAAGACGGTCTTGCCGTCGCCGACGCTGGACCGCGTCGAGACCCTTCCGTTGGTTTGCGACTCGACGCCGTTCTCTTTAGATTTGCCGAGGTCCTTGCAGAGGTTCGACTTTACCGGTTCCGAACTCTGACCGGCATCGGCGGCGGCTGCTCCGATCGTCGGTTTCTTCTTCGTTCTCGGCTTCCCGAGTTTCCCCGCGTCGTCCGGCTTCTCCTCGGAGCCGTCCGAGGGCGTCTTCTTCGCCAGCTTCTTCACCGTTCGCGTCACCTTTTTCCTCTTGGTCCCGTCGACCTCGTTTCCTTCGCCGGTTTCGCCGGCCTTGGTCGTCTTTTTGACGGTCGGCGTCAGCGACCTCTTGTCGGCGTCGTCGCGCTTCGTCGATTCGCCGGTCGACGATCCCGTCGACGATCCGGTCTCCGCGAGCGTCCTGTTCTTCCTGGTCTTCAGTACCTTCTTCTCGACGAGCAGGCCGCCGTTCGCAGCCTCTCCCTTCTTCTCGGCGGACTCGTCTCGCTTCGTCTCTCCGTTCGATTTCTCGCGAGGAGCGTCCGCCGAGTCTCTCTCTCTTTCGCTCGATCTCGCCGGCGTCTTGGGCTCCTTCTCGCTGGAGGCTCTTCTCTCCTTGGCGATCGACGGCTTCTCCTTCGGCGGAGACCGCTTCGGCGACTCGGGCCCCGCGGCCGGCTTTATTTTTCCCTCGGCGACGAGCTTCTTGGTCGCCTTCGGCTCGACCTTGCCAGCGAGCTTCGTCGGTATCCTGCTGCCGTTGCCGTTGCCGTTTCCAGCGCCGTTCGCGCAGCAAGCCGCGTCCTCGCCGACGACCGCGGCGTCGCTCTTCGAGGACTTTGGCGGGCTTCGCTTGAGCCGGCCGAGGATCGCGTTCTGCGTGCGGCTGCCGATCGCGTTCGCCGCCTGCTTCGCGTCCGTGCTCCTGAACAGGCCCAACACCGACGAGACCTTGCTCCTTGAGGACGTTCGACCGACGGGCTTGCTCGACGCGATCAGATCTTCGACGCTGCCGGCCTTCCCGAGCGATCCGGCTTCGCGGGCCGGCCTCGCCTCGCCGGGCGGCGCGGAGCGTTCTCGCGACTCGCTCGCGAGTCCGCCGTTTTGCGCCGAAGCCGCGGCTCCGCTCGGCTCCTCGCTCGACCGGAGCCGTTCCAGCTTCTTCTCGAGCGAGTGCAGGAAGCTGTTTCGCGACCCGTGCTTCTCGGTCTTCTTCCCCTCGACGGATTCGACGATCGGCGTCGGCGCCGGCGTCGGCGTCGGCGTCGGCGTTACCGGCGACGCGTCCTCCTCCCGTTTCTCCTCGGAGGAATTCTCGTTCGGCCGGCTGTCCTTCCTGAGCGCGTTGATCTCGTTCTTCAGCTCCTTGTCCCGCTTCTCTCGCTCGACGCTGCTCGCCTCGCGCGGCCTGCTCTCGCTCTTCCGCCTCATGAAGCGAGACTTGCGCCTCTCGTTCTCGGCCGCCTTCCGCTCCTCCTTCTCCTTCGCGTACTTGCTCTCCTCCCGCGGAGTGTCGAAAAAGTCGGGCCGCAGGAACCGCGATATCCTGTGCTGCTTCGACTTCTGCGGCTTCTCCTTCTCCCTGTCGGCGTCCTTGTTCCTCTCCCGCTGCTTGGACTCGGCGTCCCGGTTGCTCGACGGCCCGAACAGCTTGCCGAGGAGGGACTTCTCCGGGCCGAGGGCCCGCGCCGCGACGCCGCCGAGATCCCGCGCGTCCGCGAACGACTTGCGACGATCCGGTCGGCCGGTCGGCTCCCTGGTCAGCGAGCCGGACCGCAGCCGCAAGCTCGGGATGCAACTCCGCCGCTTCGCCAAGCTCGAGGAGGAGCACTGGTCGGCGCGCTCGCCGATCGGGACCAGCGACTGCTTCTCGCATTTGTCGTTCTCCTTGTAGCTGGAGCTCAGATTCGGGTCGAACCGGTTCGATCCGAGGTTCCTCAGCTTCGACTCCTTGATCAGATTCTCGGCGGCGAGCAGCCTGTTCTCGAAGCTCCTCGACGACCGATCCGACTTGCCGGCGTAGGAGAACCGGTTGTAGTCGAGCGCGTTCGAGGAGGACTCGGTGGTCGGCGAGGTGTCGTACGACTTGGTCGACACGCTGGACGTCGCGTCCGGCATCTCCGAGACGGAGCCGTTGTCGGTCGCGTAGCTGTCCAGGTGGTCGAACTCGAGTCTCGGCGGCGGGCCCGACGCGTCGTCGGTCGCCGGCTCCTCTTGGATCTTGTCGGTCCTGTACGCGTGGAAGTTCTCCCTGCGCAGCTTGCCGGCACCGGCGGCGGTCGCCGCGGCGTTCTCCGCGTATTTCCTGACGGCGGCCGTCGCGTACTTGGAGAACGGCGCGGTCGCCGACCGGCGATCGACGTCCGCGTCCAAGTCGTAATCGTAGCCGTAGCCGTAGCCGTAGCAGTCGTCGTCGAAGAGGCTGACGCTTCGTCGCGGCAACGGCGACGCTCGATGGGACGCGTCTCTGCCGGTGCTCGTCGACTCCAGCAGGCTGTTCGATCTGCGCACCGTTCTGTTGTTGGCCGAGGCACGATGCTCCTTGTACTCTGTCCGATCGGAGACGGCGTCGACGTCGGCGTCGCCCTCCGTCGCGGACGGCTCCGTCGCCTCGACCGAACGCCGGTGCCGTTTCTCGTACGGCAAGGGTCGCCTCGTTTGCTCGATGAACGATCTGCTGAGCCGCTTCGCCAGGCTCGGCGTGAACCCGAGTTCCAACGATTCTCGCGCGTCTTTGCCGACTCGGGCCAGCTCCGGTTCCGGTTCCGCTTCGGCTCTCGTTTCTGCTGCCGTATCCGCGTCTTCGCGCTCTACTCTATCTGGAAAAAGAGTGAGATAACGTCTACGCAAATTCCACACATTCCGCGCGAAAAGTCTGGCGTTCTCGTTGTTCGGGACGAGGAACGGGAACGGGAACGGGAACGGGAACGGGTGCGGGCGCGGGTGCGGACGTTCGGGATGCGACCGGGCAAAACATTCTTCTTCGTCTTCTTCTCTCGGTATTTACACTCCTTTATTTCTGCATACATGTAACGCGTTGCCTTCTCTTATATAAAATCTCTCGAAAATTAATAAATAAACTCGCGCGCGCGCGCTACTGCTCGCGCGAGGTCGCTAGGTTGTCGCGCTGCGACGTCCGACCTCTTCCCCGTTAGCACCGGCTTTTGACCGTCGGTCGACGAAAAAAGGAGTAATCGCGAACGCGATTATTGCTAAAAGTTACGAAATATAATCGCGCTGCTTTGGCATCGGTGGCGACGACCGAACGAGCGCACCGTCGACTCGTTGCGAAACCGAACCGAGACGCGAGGAAAAATATCGAACAAGTTGACGAGTAGCGCCGAGGGGAAAAGCGTCGGCGACGCGTCGCAGATTCTGGCACAAAACGGGATCGAGAGCGATCGGTTGAGCCGTTGCCGCCCGCTGTAACTAACTTCTGCCGTTGCCGCCGCTTCCGCTGCTTTCGCTGGTTTTTACTGCCGCATCTGTCGCCGTCTCCCCCCGCTGCTTCCTTCCGCTTCCATCGCCGTTGCCGTTGCCGTTGTCGGCGTCGCTTCCGTTTCCCTTTCGAAATCGAACCAGATGCGAGCACATCGACGAAGAGAGAACGGGACGTACGTACGCGGCGTAAAACTCGCGTTCGTCGAGCGCGTTGACCCGAGGCGCGCACGTTCGTTCGTTCGATCGATCGATCGGTCGACTCGCCGGTCCCTCTCGAAAGAAAGTTATCCTTCGAAGAGATCGGTGTCTCTCCTCTCTGCATCGATTCCGGGAAGTCCGCGAGCGATTACATCGAAATACGAACGCGTCGCGCTTTCGCGTCCTTAACTTGATCCAAACAACCGCAACGCTATTGCGTCGACTCGAGTCAAAAGTAATGCAGTGTACAATATTAAATACAATATAGTAGCATTATCAAAGCATGCTGAGACAACGTGAAGTAATAAAACGCTGTTATTTAAACTCTTGAAAACACAACAAATATCAGCCATCTCAAACAAGGGTTAGCTCTCTCCTTCGCCTTGCGGTACACATCGATCTATCGAGATACCGTCTTCCTCAACGAATGTAGAAATCTCTTTGTTATGCAACGGATTTTGTTTAGTATGTATATCGTTTTGGAAACGCGACGATAACGTCGGGTTCTCGTTGCGAATCGATCGTCGCGCGCGTTGCCTCCTTCGTTTCTGCTCTGGCACGTAATTGTCGCGATTTTCCGATTCCATTTCCGTTTTCGTTCGCGGCTAAAAGCTGTTCCGCGAGGACACGCGAACGCCGTCGCGGGGACTCGGTTCGACAAACTTCTCGGCTCTCGATTCGACGGAGCTCTTCTCGATCGCGTTCGCTCGAGATCCTCTCGTCTCGTCTCGACACGGAGTCGACGAACAGGCTCGCGAGCGTAACGTGTTTCGCCGATGTTCGGTGTTCGGTGTTCGGTGTTCGGTGTCCGGTATCCGAGCCGCGAGTACATTATAACAGAGTGTTTGCTGTCGCGAGCTCCGCGCAGTGGATTCGGCGGCTCTGTGCTTCGTCGAACGTGACACCAACCGACAGACGGATGACCCGCGACGGGAATAGAGTGTCGCGTTCGCTTGATAGAGAGTGTAGAATAGTACCTAACTTGGTTTGTCTACTGGGGATTACCGTCTGCCCGCCTACGGAGAGTCACTCGCACGGTCGCTGCAACAACCGTCAGAAAAGACCGTCAATTATACACGTGCTACAAAACGGATACCACCGGGACGATTTCGCTTTCCGCGGTACAGTAACGTCTCCCTTACCGACGCTCGGATTCTCCACTAAATTGGACAATTTGGCAAGAGGAGATACGATCGTTCGAGCCTCGCGGCTCGTTTTTATAATTGTGGACAATTTATTACTATAAAAATAAACCGCAAGGATCGAATAATCGAATCTCCTCTTCCCAAANTTATTTCTGCATACATGTAACGCGTTGCCTTCTCTTATATAAAATCTCTCGAAAATTAATAAATAAACTCGCGCGCGCGCGCTACTGCTCGCGCGAGGTCGCTAGGTTGTCGCGCTGCGACGTCCGACCTCTTCCCCGTTAGCACCGGCTTTTGACCGTCGGTCGACGAAAAAAGGAGTAATCGCGAACGCGATTATTGCTAAAAGTTACGAAATATAATCGCGCTGCTTTGGCATCGGTGGCGACGACCGAACGAGCGCACCGTCGACTCGTTGCGAAACCGAACCGAGACGCGAGGAAAAATATCGAACAAGTTGACGAGTAGCGCCGAGGGGAAAAGCGTCGGCGACGCGTCGCAGATTCTGGCACAAAACGGGATCGAGAGCGATCGGTTGAGCCGTTGCCGCCCGCTGTAACTAACTTCTGCCGTTGCCGCCGCTTCCGCTGCTTTCGCTGGTTTTTACTGCCGCATCTGTCGCCGTCTCCCCCCGCTGCTTCCTTCCGCTTCCATCGCCGTTGCCGTTGCCGTTGTCGGCGTCGCTTCCGTTTCCCTTTCGAAATCGAACCAGATGCGAGCACATCGACGAAGAGAGAACGGGACGTACGTACGCGGCGTAAAACTCGCGTTCGTCGAGCGCGTTGACCCGAGGCGCGCACGTTCGTTCGTTCGATCGATCGATCGGTCGACTCGCCGGTCCCTCTCGAAAGAAAGTTATCCTTCGAAGAGATCGGTGTCTCTCCTCTCTGCATCGATTCCGGGAAGTCCGCGAGCGATTACATCGAAATACGAACGCGTCGCGCTTTCGCGTCCTTAACTTGATCCAAACAACCGCAACGCTATTGCGTCGACTCGAGTCAAAAGTAATGCAGTGTACAATATTAAATACAATATAGTAGCATTATCAAAGCATGCTGAGACAACGTGAAGTAATAAAACGCTGTTATTTAAACTCTTGAAAACACAACAAATATCAGCCATCTCAAACAAGGGTTAGCTCTCTCCTTCGCCTTGCGGTACACATCGATCTATCGAGATACCGTCTTCCTCAACGAATGTAGAAATCTCTTTGTTATGCAACGGATTTTGTTTAGTATGTATATCGTTTTGGAAACGCGACGATAACGTCGGGTTCTCGTTGCGAATCGATCGTCGCGCGCGTTGCCTCCTTCGTTTCTGCTCTGGCACGTAATTGTCGCGATTTTCCGATTCCATTTCCGTTTTCGTTCGCGGCTAAAAGCTGTTCCGCGAGGACACGCGAACGCCGTCGCGGGGACTCGGTTCGACAAACTTCTCGGCTCTCGATTCGACGGAGCTCTTCTCGATCGCGTTCGCTCGAGATCCTCTCGTCTCGTCTCGACACGGAGTCGACGAACAGGCTCGCGAGCGTAACGTGTTTCGCCGATGTTCGGTGTTCGGTGTTCGGTGTTCGGTGTCCGGTATCCGAGCCGCGAGTACATTATAACAGAGTGTTTGCTGTCGCGAGCTCCGCGCAGTGGATTCGGCGGCTCTGTGCTTCGTCGAACGTGACACCAACCGACAGACGGATGACCCGCGACGGGAATAGAGTGTCGCGTTCGCTTGATAGAGAGTGTAGAATAGTACCTAACTTGGTTTGTCTACTGGGGATTACCGTCTGCCCGCCTACGGAGAGTCACTCGCACGGTCGCTGCAACAACCGTCAGAAAAGACCGTCAATTATACACGTGCTACAAAACGGATACCACCGGGACGATTTCGCTTTCCGCGGTACAGTAACGTCTCCCTTACCGACGCTCGGATTCTCCACTAAATTGGACAATTTGGCAAGAGGAGATACGATCGTTCGAGCCTCGCGGCTCGTTTTTATAATTGTGGACAATTTATTACTATAAAAATAAACCACGAGGCTCGAACAATCGTATCTTCTCTGCCCAAATTGTCCATTTTCGTGCGCAATCTGGGCGTCGATTTGGGAGACATTACTGTACGTGTTTTCCGAGGTCGGTCCGCACCGACGCCGACGCGTTGCTCGTCGATCGACGAACGTCCACGTCTTCGCCGAAGCAACCTTGGACGAGCGTCGACGACGAGGAAATCGTCGGAAGAGGATGCGGACCGCGAAAGCATCGATCGCCGGTGACAAACAGTTTCAATTCCCTTGATCGCTGATTGAAGAGTCGACGATAGACGTGAAGTAGATGCATGAATGTTCTTGATTCAAGATGGATTCTGTCTCTTGGATAGCATAGAACCGAAGTTGTTCCTCGTGCGCTCGTGCGCGTTCATGGATACGTGCGCAGTCATGCCATAAACTTTAGTACAATACGCGTACACTCGATCAATTACAAAAGACGAATGAATTACGGCTGCTCGTTCGTGTTAATAGGATAATGTGTGTACATGTATATATCTAGACATACACGCGTATATATGCGATACATATGTGTACGTATAGAAAAATCTACAGCAACAACATTGCAACTCGCTACTACAGCGTATTATTATTACTATTATTATTATTATTATTATTCTTATTATCATTATTGTCATTGCTATTATTACCATTATTATTAATTATATATCTTGTATTACATTATTATATATTACGAGGTTCTATGTCAGGCAAAGTGTGAGTTACGTCTGTGAGTAATTCAAATAGCGAAAACCCGTTTCTCTCACGTTCGCGACCGATCGCGGCGCGCCGATTTTCCCTTTGGATCGATACACTGCTGCAACGAGCACGAGCACGGGATCGTGGTGGAAGTGTAGAGGGGACGTCACGGTTATTCGAATGAAAATTGTAAATTGTACACAGCAGGCGGGTACCGTTTCCCTTTTTTTCTTTTTTCGAACAAGACGCGCGCTTCGATCGGCAAACGATTCGCGCGATCCTCCCACCCTCTCGCGAAAACAAACGATGGAGAACGATGGAGAACGGAGAAGAGTTGAGAAGAGAAGAGTGTGCGATCCGTGAAAGAGCCTAGAAATCTCCCGAAATTATCGGAACCACGTTTACCCACCTGTGCCAAACATGAACCGATCGACTATTCTAAGTAGGGTTAGTAGAAAAAGTTGCAAAAAACATGTTCAGGCAATCAAAAAGTCGGAAAAATACCACGTCGTCGACGATGGGACACACGGACGGCGGGGGGAGAGATCGGGGGAAGGAGGAACAGAGTGGACGAGCGAGAGACAAAAAGGCGGAGAGTAAACTAAAAGAGAAGAGGCAAATCGATAAAAGTAAAGAAAAAAAGATGGCTCTGTCTATCAACGACTCGACAACAGCTATAGGTACTAGGAGATGCATACCGATTACCATCCAGGATGTTCTCGGCCGTCTCGCGACTTTTTTTCGTCGGCGATACGTTTCCGAGCAAAAAACGCGGGGCCCGCGCGCGTTCCGCGAAGTCGCGAGACGAACGAATCCCGGATGAAAAGATCCCGAATGGATCGCACCCGTCGATCCTTTGCGATTCGCCGAGGAACGCGCAAAGGGCCGACGAGGAACGTCGGCCGTCGGACGCGACGCGACTCCGCATCGAGCTGTCGGAGTCTTGGAAACAGTTTGACGACACTCTCTTACCTCTGGGCAAGGTGTTGCTGCCGATATCGAACACGGTTTCCCTCGTGGGCGTGCTGTTGGATCCGTGGGTGGTGCCGGGGCTGCTGGGATTCGTCGAGTCGACGGGATCTTTCCTCGAGAACGCGTCCTCGTCGCGGCCCAACGGATGCCTGAACTGAGACTCCGTCAATCGCCTGTGCTCGGCAGAAAGCAAACCTCGGGTGATTCCCCGTGATCGTCGAGAGTACGCAGTCGTGGCGAGACCCGGCTGGATTTCCCGACACGAACTGACCCCGATCGTTCTCGTTCGCGATTCTCGAAATGATCGGGATCGGGGTCGATCGGGGGAGGGTGTTTCGACGAACGCGAAGAAAGCTTGCCAGCTTGCGATTCGTTACGTTCGGCGAATGAATCGTATAATATGTTCTGCACTACCTTCTAAGATAATCGGGATACACTACATTGTTCTAAAGTTGTTGTAACAATTGGACTCACGTAGTCACGGTCCTCGTTTCGACATACGTCTGGTAGCTTGCGCAAACAAGCGTCGAATCGTTCCGATTAGACTTCGATAGAGAGCCGACTCGCGTCGCGACGTCGCGCGGAAACAGAGACAAGGCCGTTGGCCAATTACCTCGATAACGGCTTATTCAGACCCCAGAACGTTTGCGAGGAGTTCGGGCCCAATCTTCCGAAGAGTCGAGAGCTGGGGAACCCGGCGTTTCGGTTATCGTCCACGTTCAGTCTCTGGGTTAAGCTCCGCACTCTGGAGAGCAGAGTGCTGAACAGATTTTCCGCCGTGAGCAGCTCGAAGCCGTCGTCGTCGTCGTCCTCGCCGGAAGACAGACTGTCCGCGTGTTCCGGAGGTTGCCTCGACGGCCGAGAGCTTCTCAGTCGATGCATGTGCCTCTGCAGGAGATCCTCGCTGTCTCTGCGAAAACGGGAACGAGTGAACGAAGTAGGACAACGATCGACAACGATGCGCGAAACGAAGTCGAGAACCGAGAACCGTGCTCTCGACCAACCTGTGCAACGAGGAGAACGGTGACTCGTCCTCGCTGGCGTCCGACAACAGAGAGCTCATTCTTCGGGGCCTGGCGAACCTGGACCTGGACGCGTTGGCGTTCGCGCCCGCGTTCGTCGACGTGCCCGTCTTGTTCTCGGGTTCCACGCTGCCCGACCTGGGCGTCACGTAACCGCCGCCCTCGACCGCGATGGGGATTATGTATTCTCTGGGACTCTTCCTGATGGGTTCCGGACCGACCGTCGAACCCAGAGCGCTGTCGGTGTCCGAGTCGGCGGTCGATTGTCGGGACAACGATCCCGATCTCTGCGAGACCAATCTCTGAGCCATCGGTGGTTTCGGCGGCGTCGACGGCGTCGGCGGAGTCGGTGGCGTCGACGAGTGTTGCAACGATCTCCCGCTGTCCCCTTCGACCTGCGAGCACGACGCAATGTACCCTAGGGGTCTACGGACGACATCGATTTCTCGAACAAACCTGTATCGGTATTATTCTCTCCTTGGGCGGTGCAGAGGCTGCCGTATGCCTGATGTCCGGCTCGAGGCTCGAGCTCCGATGCGCTTGCGGAATCGCGGCTGCGACAGGGAACGCCACCTCGGACCTCTGGGTTCGCAGCTTCTGCGGCTGGAACGCGTCGATCTTCGCCTCCACCTCGGACCTGAACGCCACCGGTTCCGAAGACTTTGCTCCCGACAACGAGATCTCGGCTTTGCTGGTTTTGCGCGGCCTCGGCAGGGTCGCGCTTTTCAGAGTTATCTCCACCTTGCTGGACATCCTGGGCTCCTCCCCTCGCGCCTCGTCCATCTCTCGAACGTCCGTGGACACCTGAAAACGAAAGGAACGTTCGAACGATCGAAACAATCGGTGAAAGACGCAACGCGATCGTTACCGGCGACTGCTTGTTTCCGCTCGAGGACTCGCCGAACGAGAAGGTGGTGTCGACCGGAGTGGAAACGGACACCGTGGCGGTCCTCGAGTCGTTCGCTCCGACGGGTATCTTCAGCGGAAGTTTTTTCGGCTCGTGTCCCGGAGGTGAAACCGGCGGAGATCCGTTCACTCTTCGCTGCACCGGAGGCTTGCCGATCGCGCCGCTTATGATATCCACGGCCCGTTTCTTCGCCTCTTCCTTCTTCTTCTCCTCCTCGTCTTCCGGCTTATGCGTCCGTTGTTCCTGCTGCTGCTGCTGCTGCTGCTGCTGCTGTTCCTCGCCTCGAGTCTCCCGCGGTTGCTTCGACTGTTCGACGACCGATTTGTTCGTCTTCTTGTCCGTGGGCACGTCGATGATCACTTTGGAGGCGCTAGGCTTGGCCGGAGGCGGCGCGCCGATCGACGACAAACTGGCTTTCCGCTCGAACACGCGTTTCGCTCCGCCCACGTTCACTCCGGGAATAAAGATCTTTTTCGGCTTCTCGGTCTCGACGTTCGACGCCATCTGATTGAACTTCTCCGCGGTTTCGAAGATCTTCGAACGTCTCCTCTCGAACGTTCTCGCCGGAACGTCCCGCGTCTCCGTGGACAGCTCCGAGTCCAGGGAGAGCGCCTTCTCTTTCAGCTTCTTGAATTCCCGTTGCGTCGCCTCCAAGCTGACGGTATCGTGACCCACGAATCGGTCGTTGCCGGTCAACTTCGACTCGCAGGTCTCGGACTTCGAGATCGCTTCGGATCGATCGTCGTACGCCGTCGCGAGATTCTGTCCGCCCTCGACGGATCGGCTGCGCGTCGCTTCGTCTTGCCGGGAGACCTTTTCCTCGCGGTCGGTCGCGCCGGTATTCGAGGCATCGTCCATAATCGCGTCGTCGACCGGCTCCTCCTGTTTCCGCGGCGCTGGCGCGGGCACCGGCGTTTTGCTGCGTTCCTTGCTGGGCGATCTCTCGTTGCATTCCTTGATCAACTCCAGGCAACCGGTCGTCGCGTCGGCTCCGTTCGGATCGGTGCCCGCCGGAGCAAGGATCGCGACGGGGTCCACCTCCATGGCCTCCTCCGTGATCGCGTTCGGAATAGGCGCCGAATGGTGCCTGCGCGAAACGAGAAACTTTTGAGACAGCCGATAGGGGAAAGGGTTCGCCGGGGGAAGAAAGAAAGCGGAGAAACAACGAGGAAGAGTGCGCGCGCGCACGGTTTTACCTGGATCCGGATCTGTAGGCTCTTGGTTCCCGCTCGTCGGTTCTCTCTTTTCTCCTGGAACGCTCCTTCCTCTTGACGCCGGCGGCGGCCGTCTCCTCCATCGACGGCGTCGTCTCCAGCTTCCTCTTGGTCTCGCCGGAGGAGATTTGCTGCGCGGACCTCGACTCGTCCTCCGCCAGCAGCATCTGCATTCTCCTGTTCGCTCTCCTGTCGGAATCGTTTCGATCGAGCTCCATCAAGCTGCCGACGGAATGGCATCTGGTGGGCACCAGGGTTTCGGAAGACACGTCGTCGGCGTCCCCGGCGGCTTGCCGGTCGTCGCCCACCACCAGCTTCTCGGCGCTGGCCGACTGCGGCACCAACGACAGCAGCAGATCGAGCCGCACCGGCGTCTGAGCAGCCAGCTCTTCGGCGATGTCCAGACAGTTCTGCTCGTAGCCCTCGTTCACCCACCAGTGGGTGCAAATCTTTTCTATGTCGGCCCGCTTGCCAGGCGTCACCGTCAACATGTCCTTGATCAGGGGCGAGGCGGCTGCAATCGAACGACGCGTTAGGAATCGGCGGAGACTGGAAAGATATCTGTACGCATCGAACGGATCGACTCACGCGACGGTTTCTTCGGCTCGAAGTAGTTGGACTGCGAGATCTGTTTGACTAGTAGCTTAAAGTTGGAGCCGTCGAAGGGCATGGCACCGTAGACCAACGTGTAGAGAAGAACGCCCAAGCTCCAGCAGTCGACCTCGGGCCCGTGATAAGGCGTGCCTTTGACGATCTCGGGGCTGGCGTAGAGCGGACTGCCGCAGAACGTGTTCAACAGCCTCTGCTCGTCGAACACGTTCGACAGCCCAAAGTCCGCGATCTTCGCGTTCCCCGCTTGATCCAAGAGAATGTTCTCCAGCTTCAAGTCTCTGTGGCAGATCTTGTGCTTGTGACAATAGAAGACCGCGGTGGCGATCTGTCGGAATATCCGGCGAGCTTCGTGCTCCGACAACACCTTGCGCTCGCTGAGGTAGTCGTAGAGCTCGCCGCCCGCCGCGTACTCCATCACCAGCACCATTTTCTCTCTGTTCTCGAACACTGAAATCAAAACGGAACACGTTATCCTGAATCTTCGTTGGCGCGCAGCTTCGAAGCCGGTCGCGTCGAGATCCGAGATCGAAGATCGATTCTTACCTTCGTAAATGTGAATGATGTTCGGATGCTGGACGCTCGACATTATCTGAATCTCCCTTCGTATCCTGATCAGATCGGCCTCCGTTTCGATTTTGCATTTCTTGATGGTCTTGATCGCCACTTCTTGGCCGGTCTCTTTGTTTATGCCGAGCTGAACTTTACCGTAAGTACCTTGACCGAGCTTCTTGATGATGTCGAACCTGAATCAAAGAAAACAAACGGAACACGTTGGGGGTGCGACGCCTCGGACACACGCGCGTCATCGTCTACGCGGGGCGGTTCGTTCTACGTCGAAACGGGTAGAACAGCGGCGCCCGCTCTCTCGTTTCGAATCATCGAATCGCACGGATATTTCTCTTTTTTCTCTTTTTCTCTCTCGTTCGCCGCTTCTCGATCTCGCTGGACCGACGTACCTCTGCTTCAACTTCCTTTTGTGATTGTGAAGACGCACCCCTCCCGTGCTCTCCATGCCTCCCATAATGTTGTGTATGCTCGCCTCGCCGACAACCATTTTGCCTTACTTATCTCTGCAAAGAAAACGAAAAGAAAAGTCACGATTCAGCTCGAACGCCGCGAGTTCGCGCTCTCTTCGCCATCCCCCGCTTTCCGTTTCGCGACGAAGCCGACGCGATCGCCCTCGGACAGGGCTCCGACGTCGGCCCGGGCTTCGTCGATACGTTTCGGCTGCTCGTCGAGCGAGTCTTTCGCGCCCGATCGCGCACAGGTATCTTTTCGTCGAGCATCTTTGGCGCGACGCGGCGAACAAGGACGCCGGAGGAAAGGACGGAGAGCGAGCGAGATCCAGCTCGGGCGGATCGTTGAAGCGGCCGTCGTAGGCCGCGGGTCGTAGGAGGATGCCATCGTTTGATCGGAGGCGATCGGTCGCTCGGAGGCGAGGCGTGGGCAAGATCCGAGGAGGCGAGACCGCGTGCTCTCGCGATGGTGAACCGTGGAGCCCGTGGATAACGGCGACGAAGGGGCACTGTTATCGAGCTCGCGGTCCGACGAGGAACGAAGGACGGAGAGGTGGAACGGGGCAGGTTTATTTTCGGTGCGAGACGTCGGTGTACGTCGCTCCCGCCCATGGACGGCCCCGGGGTTGCTCGCCTCCTCGACGAAACGCTCGATGGAACCCAACCGAACCGAACCGTACCGAACCGAACGTACGCGCGAATCGTCGCGTTTCCCCCTAATCGGAAGGAGAACAAGGACGAGAAGGAGAAAGATTCGAGGCGGGACCACGATCGAAGATCCGCGTCCTCGACGCGTGCCGAAAGAAATTGTTCGAACGGAACGTCTCGACCGTGGAACCGAGACGACGGCTCGTCGGAGGCGGCTATTAATGCCTCGCGATATGGATGTAACGACCGGTCGCCCGTTCGTTTTGGCATCCAAAGCCGGGCTTCCGGCGTGCCGAGGCCGCGGCTGCGTCCGCAAAAGGGGTCAAAGAACCGGCGAAAGCCCTACGGCTGCGCTCCCGCTGGCTGAACGGTCCCCGACGGATAGGATTTCTCGGAGAATCGGGCGATGGGACGCGACGCGCCGGTTTCGGCGCGGTGTCGCCGAGCATCGATCGTCGGAAGTCGAAAGAAAGTTGCTCTCGGAAACGCTTTCTCCTCTCGATCGACAAACTTTTGTCGCGGATCGGGAGCCGTTCGTTCGGGTATCCGACGTCGTCGACGAGACGAGACGCGACGCGACGCGACGAGGCCTAGGCCGACGCTCTCGAATTATTTTTCGGGGTGAATTCCTCGGGTCATGCCAAAACGCTACAATCCGATTTAAGCTTGCGGCTGTGGCACGCCGCGATGCGACAAACCGCGACAAGACCAGAGACAGCAGGAGAACCTTGCCAAATGTCGCGTCGCTCTCTCGTCTCGAACGTCTCGCGATCGTTTTCACCTGATCGACGAGGCGCTTGGCCTTGGCAGGTCCGTCTCCTTCGTCGCGACGTATCCCGTTCCTCGTCGCCGCGGTGCGCGAAAAAAACGAGTTCCGAAGGGCGGCGCGATTTCGTTCGACTCGATTCGGAATCGAAGCGAATCTCGCGAAGCGATTCCCCAAGGAGCCGAGCTCGCTGTGTCCAAGTTGCGTGGACGCTTCCGGGTTTTGACGTTGGCGCGAGCAGATTCGATGGGTGGGCTTTGCCAATTTGCCTCGAAGCAAGCTAGATAGATCGTTACCGTCTAGCCAGCTTCGCAAGGTCTATTATCGCCAGCGTTTTAGCGCCACGGAACTCGAGCCGTCGAACGCGCGGAATACCGCGTGAAAATGGGCACGATCTCGCAAAATATCTCGTCGCGGAGCGCGTGTCCGCGCCGATCTATGGGCCCACGGAACTCTTTGGAAACGGAATGAAACGGAACGGAACACGTGCACGCGCTTGTGCCCCGTAACATCGCCCCGCGGCGCCGCGTCTCGTTCCCGTTCTCGATACTCGATCGGTGCGTTTCGATATTTTTAGCGGACGCGTAGACCCGACCCAACGCGTGGGCAGACTCGGGCTTCAGGGCTGATGTCCTAATGACTTCCATTTCATCGCGCGCGCGTTACGTCCCCGCGATGCTTCTTCGAATTCCTCTCTTCCCTCCGCTTCTTCGATTCCCTTTCTCCGATCTCCGGACGTGTTTCGCGGGAGAACGGGAATCGAGATTAACCGATCGATCGATCGCGAAACGGCCGAGAGACGACGTCCCTGCTCCGTCGACGAGCCGAACGATCCGGACGCGAGTGCTCCGAGGAACGCGCAGTAGCCAGGTCACGATCATTTTTACCCGGTATTTTTAGACGGTGTCCAAAATACTACTGTCAACGCGAAGTCTGAAAGAACGCGGGATACGTTCGGCCAGCCGATTACGAGGACGTATCGTCGCGTGCACGCGACGGAGCGTCGAGGAACGTCCCTCGGCACCGTTCGAATACAGTTTCGCGGCATCGTTCGCTGGATTCGGACGAGAGACCGTACGCGGAAACGCGAAAAGATCTTTCCACGTTCGAGCGGAAGCCGAGGAAACGATCTATCGGGTCGATGCATGGGAAGGCGCCGCGCCGCGACCGTTTGGCAGCGTCCCTACCAAAAATCTGCCAAGATAAATTTACATTTGCGCGTTCGCGTTATTAACGGCGGCCGACGCCGGACGCGCGCGGAACGTCCCGCTTTGTCGTTTGGACGCCGTTCGAACGGGACGAGAGCCGAAGGGAACCGAATTCCGGAATTCTTGCCAGTGAGAACTTCCTTTCCTTGGCCTTCCGAGCCTCGCCGTTCGATCGCGGGCCAGGCGGCTGGCTCGAAAACCGGACAAAGTCCGTGGAAAAGCTTCGATCGCGTTCGATCAAGTCGGCGAGCGCGATACGAGGCCGCGACGGAGCGACGCGGACCGTCGGCCCGATGGAAATGGAAGGAGAACCGTCGACGTCCTCCGCGACAGCTTCTATGGTATCTCGTGATTCACGCGTTATTATTAAAACCCGCATTATTCGTCCGCGCGACCCGCGTTGCATATATGAATGAACTCCTGTGCGCGGAGCGCGGGTGATTGTACGCGTGGATCGCGATTTCTCGCGACAAAAGTTTGAGTCACGAGGAATTAATAGCCCACGCTCGGCGAATATCGTCGGTGTTCGCCTTCGCGTTCTCGTTCGTCTTCGCCTTCGTCTTCGTCTTCGTCTTCGTCTTCGTCTTCGTCTTCGTCTTCGTCTTCGTCTTCCCCTTAGCCCGCGTATTCGTCTTCGCGTTCGTCTTCGCGTCCGCGAGCATCCGGACATCTGTGCTATTTCGGCCGGGAAATGTTTCGCGGTGTTACGTTCAACGCGCTACAAACGCGAACGAAAAAACAGAGCTCGCGCCTGCTTCGACGACGATTATCAACGTCCGCGAGAAACGATGTCGCAACGCTCGCGTCGCGATTTCGAAACCCGCCGATATCCGCGGCTGTGCTCGGAATCGCGAAAACGAACTTTGCAAAATGTTGCATCGCGCGCGCGGAATTCCCTTATCGCGGGTCTCCTCCCGTCTCTCGTCTCTCCTATCTCGGATGTCGCGCGTTGTGTCCGAGTTATCTGTCGGTCGTCGCATGCGACAATTAGGCACGTGCATATTTTCGATAAGGAACGGTGGGCTCGAGACACCCTGTATATACGCGAACCTTCGAGCAACCTATCTCCTCCCCGTTCACGCATCCCTTGCGCCGCGTTTCATCTCGTTGACCTTTAACGAGTTCGTTACGTGCCGCGACAATACGCGAATATACGCGCGCGCGTAGGTAGCAGCCGTGGCTAAATTACGGGGGCGACGGTCACGCGAGAAGTCATCGTCGAGACGTGTTGTCGTCGATGGACCTAGATCGTTTCCACGAGGAACTCTCGTTGGCAACGATCGCCGAGCAATGGCCGTAGCGGTGGCCGAGCCGAAATCTTACCGGTAAAGCCGAAACGACCGCGCGCCGCGAACGGACGAGAGAAACGCGGCTTCGGGAAAATGGATGAGACCGGGCGAATCCGGAGAATTGATCCGGACGTCCCGAGGAATCGCCTAACGGCCTAATAAATTGGGTTAGAGAAAATCCATGTCGGAGCGCGCGTATCGCGTATATCGGTGCACCGTTTGCGAATGAACCGCGTACCGCGGTATGTAGGTTTCTATCGATAAAAATAGCATTCTGATATTTTAAAGGGATCTTTCGGGACATCCGTTAATTGTTCCGAGCGGCGTCTTCGGACACGGCCGAGAATAAGGCTTCCTTCGGCCTTCGGCGAAGGGGTTGTCCGAGGACGGTGCCAAAGGGTTCGGGGATTCGGATTCGAGTTCAGGGCCTCCGATTCGGATCGGATCGGTTCGGCTCGATTCGATTCGAAGCGGAACCGAACGGAATGAAACGGAACGAGGCGGAACGGAACCAGAGGCGAGACCAGACGAGACCGAGCGAGACGGGATTAAACGGTTTAGCGAGGCGACCGAACGACTCCTTGCTCGGTTTCTCGCTCGTTATCGAGCGATCGGAAACGCCTGCGAAAGAAGATCGACGGTGTCTCCGTTGACTGGTTCAGCGAAGGAGTAGAGAATCGGTCTCGGAAGTTTGGCTCAGCCGATACCGTGTACTAACTCGAGACTCGTCTCGACTCGACTCTGCTCGACTCGTCTCGTCTCGTCTCGACTCGACTTCGCTCGACACTCTTTCAATGAGGATCGACGCTCGGATTCAATCTAAAAATAGCGAGAATTTGTACCTTACGGTGAACTCTGGAACGAAATTATCCTCTTTTTGCGGCTGCTACCCGCTTCTAGCCCCGGGATAAACTATAGAAGGAACCAATCACTATTTACACTGTTGTCGTAGTCTTTGGTCTGACCCCGGTCGCTAAGTCTTTCTAACGTTCGAACTTTCCTGAAAGATCGCGAACCTTCTCCGTTTCCACTTCATTTTACCAGACATTTTTCGCGAGACGATACGGCACANATCGTTATCGTCGGTGTTCGCCTTCGCGTTCGCCTTCGTCTTCGTCTTCGTCTTCGTCTTCGTCTTCGTCTTCGTCTTCGTCTTCGTCTTCCCCTTAGCCCGCGTATTCGTCTTCGCGTTCGTCTTCGCGTCCGCGAGCATCCGGACATCTGTGCTATTTCGGCCGGGAAATGTTTCGCGGTGTTACGTTCAACGCGCTACAAACGCGAACGAAAAAACAGAGCTCGCGCCTGCTTCGACGACGATTATCAACGTCCGCGAGAAACGATGTCGCAACGCTCGCGTCGCGATTTCGAAACCCGCCGATATCCGCGGCTGTGCTCGGAATCGCGAAAACGAACTTTGCAAAATGTTGCATCGCGCGCGCGGAATTCCCTTATCGCGGGTCTCCTCCCGTCTCTCGTCTCTCCTATCTCGGATGTCGCGCGTTGTGTCCGAGTTATCTGTCGGTCGTCGCATGCGACAATTAGGCACGTGCATATTTTCGATAAGGAACGGTGGGCTCGAGACACCCTGTATATACGCGAACCTTCGAGCAACCTATCTCCTCCCCGTTCACGCATCCCTTGCGCCGCGTTTCATCTCGTTGACCTTTAACGAGTTCGTTACGTGCCGCGACAATACGCGAATATACGCGCGCGCGTAGGTAGCAGCCGTGGCTAAATTACGGGGGCGACGGTCACGCGAGAAGTCATCGTCGAGACGTGTTGTCGTCGATGGACCTAGATCGTTTCCACGAGGAACTCTCGTTGGCAACGATCGCCGAGCAATGGCCGTAGCGGTGGCCGAGCCGAAATCTTACCGGTAAAGCCGAAACGACCGCGCGCCGCGAACGGACGAGAGAAACGCGGCTTCGGGAAAATGGATGAGACCGGGCGAATCCGGAGAATTGATCCGGACGTCCCGAGGAATCGCCTAACGGCCTAATAAATTGGGTTAGAGAAAATCCATGTCGGAGCGCGCGTATCGCGTATATCGGTGCACCGTTTGCGAATGAACCGCGTACCGCGGTATGTAGGTTTCTATCGATAAAAATAGCATTCTGATATTTTAAAGGGATCTTTCGGGACATCCGTTAATTGTTCCGAGCGGCGTCTTCGGACACGGCCGAGAATAAGGCTTCCTTCGGCCTTCGGCGAAGGGGTTGTCCGAGGACGGTGCCAAAGGGTTCGGGGATTCGGATTCGAGTTCAGGGCCTCCGATTCGGATCGGATCGGTTCGGCTCGATTCGATTCGAAGCGGAACCGAACGGAATGAAACGGAACGAGGCGGAACGGAACCAGAGGCGAGACCAGACGAGACCGAGCGAGACGGGATTAAACGGTTTAGCGAGGCGACCGAACGACTCCTTGCTCGGTTTCTCGCTCGTTATCGAGCGATCGGAAACGCCTGCGAAAGAAGATCGACGGTGTCTCCGTTGACTGGTTCAGCGAAGGAGTAGAGAATCGGTCTCGGAAGTTTGGCTCAGCCGATACCGTGTACTAACTCGAGACTCGTCTCGACTCGACTCTGCTCGACTCGTCTCGTCTCGTCTCGACTCGACTTCGCTCGACACTCTTTCAATGAGGATCGACGCTCGGATTCAATCTAAAAATAGCGAGAATTTGTACCTTACGGTGAACTCTGGAACGAAATTATCCTCTTTTTGCGGCTGCTACCCGCTTCTAGCCCCGGGATAAACTATAGAAGGAACCAATCACTATTTACACTGTTGTCGTAGTCTTTGGTCTGACCCCGGTCGCTAAGTCTTTCTAACGTTCGAACTTTCCTGAAAGATCGCGAACCTTCTCCGTTTCCACTTCATTTTACCAGACATTTTTCGCGAGACGATACGGCACACGTCTCACGCGCTGCCACCATCTTTATTTACTAATTTTGGACTTGAACGCTGAGAACGGGGAACGGATAGATGGGTACGCCGATCGCGGCGACATCTTTCGCCGTCGTCTTTCACGTACATAAATACCACGTACGTGCTACGTACAGTCGAACGATCGAGCACGCGGCTTGCGTCAGCTTGCGTTAGCTCGCGTTGCAGCAGCGGAATCTATTCGCGTCGGATTATCGCGGAATGAAAAATTATCCCCGATGCACCTTTCCGTCGCCCGACTCGAATCGCGCTTACCTCCGGTAGCTTTCCGTTTTCTTCGAATCTCATTTGATCGGCTATCAACGATCTTCCGTTTTACGTTGCAATATCAAATATTCGGACAAATAATTTGTGCCGCATTTCCGATAAGGGTCGATGTAAAATCTGCCACGTATTTTCTGCCGTTTTCAAACGTTCGAACAGAGCCACTCCGTGCAACGGGGAAACGCTGAAACCGTTGGTCTTGACCAATGGTAAAGTCGCGCGTCGCCGTAGTCCCGAAATTCTTCGTTGGACGGCGCTGAAAGTACCGTTAAAAATTATGCATAGATCGGATCTTGGATCCGATGCGACTGCGACGATCCTTGGCAAGAGCTGCAATCCAGTTGCAATCGTAGTTTTCAATGTTTACGTCGCAAAATTTCGACGAGTGAATTTCCTTCGATCGTGGATGACGAACGAAATAAAGGATGAGTTTTACTGACAGTGAACACTTTGAAGTTTCTTACTTCACGATAAGTATGTAAGATGGTACATAACGAGTACAAATACGATATATAACCTAAAAATGTAATGACGTAAATCGTAAAGTTACGGAATATCTTTGGATAAAGTTTTCATTTTTCTTTCCATTTGGTATAATTTGACTAGCATATCCGTAACTCGTGCAACGTAGAACCTCTTAATCTCTAGGTCGCGCTCGCCGATGGACTAGATTATGCGTAGTCACATTTAATTAATATTCAAAACTTTGCACAGTTTGGACGACCATCGCATCGGTGGGTTGGTACATAGTTGCGATTCTAATCGCGCTATGGTATGCTTCGCCGTACATTCGAGAGAAATATATCGAGTGGAAGTTGAAAAAAGACGAGCAAGATTATGCCGCAAAGTATCATAAAAGTAAGCGACGATTATGTTGTTTTCTGTTGGCAAACGATGGTACGATGCGTTAAGAAGTAACAATTACTTTTTCGGCGTTTAGATACCGATCTGTTGCAACAGAGGCTCTCGGCTGTAGAAGCTTCGCGGCAAAAGTTGCATCAAGAATACATCGAGAAATGTGCACTTGCGCAGAAAGACAAGGAAGAGGTAAAATCGTTTTCGAATTCTCGATCCTGATAATGTCCTGATACCGTGCTGTACCGTTTTCCAGCGGGAAAAGAGTAAAAGGGAAGCATCGAAGTCGATAGACCTTCGTGGTTTGGGACAAAAATTGGGATCCGAAGCGGACAACCGATCCGCCGAAAACAAGCCCGCTTCGTTCAAAAAAGGTAAGTGCGATGGATGGCTCTTCGAATGTATTTCGTATAGGAATAACGTTTTGTCCGAAATATCGTTTCAGAATACAATCCATTGATGGGGGATAGTTCTCGTAGATATCGGCCGCCGAAGCGTAGCTGCTGCGGAAAAGGTGGTTGCGAATAATTTTCAATCGGCGTTGGTCGCGTACTTAATACATTCGTATTTTGTTCGAGAAAGAGATTGCAAACATGACCATTTGAGGTATTCTTTTCCTACAATAAGTCCCGTGCTTCCGTCCCAGATATCGTAGATGCGACAATGTTTCTCGATCGCTCGCTATTCCAAATTAACGGCTCGCGCGACTCTTCTTTATTTTCTTCGTCCGAAGGAACGAAACATTCTCTCGCTAGGTGCATACTAGGTCGTAAGAATCGGGTAACAGGGAGAACAGAGGGGACAAGCACTTTTTCTTGAATTTTTTTTTATAAATCTTCCATGAACTCGATGGGTACGTAAAATGGATAAAGTTCAAGCTTTCAACGTAATTTTTTATTAATAATCGTTACCTGTATATTATGTAACGTTTCCGTATATCTTATACGTCTTATACATACGTGTACGTAGTACTTGACAATAATGATCCTTATTCCGTAATTATCTACACTTGTGCGCGCGTGTCTGCTGCGTGTATGCGTACATTGCTGTGTTTTCGTATTCCATCGACTTTATTCGCATTTTTGTTTCCTGCGACTCTATGCGCTCCGAACTGGACATATCAATTCGTGTTTTTTTGTTCTTTTCTTTCGTAATAAATAAGTTATTGCCTACAAAAACGTTCTCCGTTTCTCTCTCTCTCTCTCTCTCTCACGCGCTTTATTTACAAAATGTAAAGAAGATTTAAGCTAAATCACTCGTCAGCCTTCGCGTTTAGATTCAGACTTAGGAGCTAAATGATGCGACAATCAAGAAGATACGAACTTGTCATCGAATTTGTATCGGCATTCGGATTCGATATTCGTCGGCGCGTATTAATTCGCTTTTTTTTCGTAACTTTTTCCTTTTCTTTTCCTCGTTAAAAGTTAATGATATGACGCGATCGATGATTCGCTGCTGTAAAATATATCGACGACCTACGATATCGATAAAATTTCCTTTCGCGCCGATCGATAGAATTCTTATCGATCGATGTCTCCTCTCGGAAGGGTGGAGGAGAGACTAGTCTCGATTTATATATTGGCAGTCAGGCAGGCAGTGGGGTGGTTGGGCAGTTGAACGAGTTGTACAGTACAGCCGGGCAGACAGGCGGATCCGATGTAAACGCGTTTACGAAATCGTTTCCGTGTCGCGAACGCGAATCGTTGGAACCGAATTTATCGTACGGTATATTTCTACGAATACGAATCAGTCGGGATTACTTGTAATTTGGCTATATCGCGAACGGAAGAATAGCAACCTTCCTCGTCGCAAAGGCATAAAACGCGTCGTGTCCTGGCGTTTGCGATTCTTTCTCTGCGGGATTTGTTTCGGGGATGCGATTTCGTACGCTTCGATGGACACGACCACGGCGTGGTCGACCAACGAACGAGCAATCGGTACAAGAACAAGCAGGCGAACGTAGGAAAGATTTGGCCCGGTGGTAATTACGGAGAATTACGAGCTATATCGCCGTATGCCGGTGGGAGGTAGGAAATGGATCGGATAGGACCGTGTACGGATCAAGAACGAGAGATCGTTGCGTTACCGATCGTATCGGGAAGCGATACAGGACACGAACAACATGGTACAGCATAGGGCATACAGCAAACTAGGATCAAGCTGCGGAAAAGGAATGTCGCGTAAATCGTCCCGTACCCGTACCCGTACCCGTACCACGAACAATAACCTTTCTGTACGTTACACATATTTTCACATTCTCACATTTCCGTTCGAACCGCGGAAGTCGACGCGTTACACGTAACACGTGTGCCACGTAGCACGTTACACGTATGATACAAACGGTGGTGCGCAAACCATCGTAACAATCGCGCGAGCTTGAAAAACTATAAAAATAACGTATTACTTTTCTTTTTCTTTGATTCTCGCAAATTGATAGGATGGTTCGACGGCGAAGCAAATGTCCGTTTCCTCGCGTAACGAAAATACGAAATTTCGTTTCCTTTTCGTATCCATTTTTTTCTTATGTTCATTTCCGTTTCAGTTTCCGGTAGCTGAGTAATGTTATTTTACGGTATCGTGCTGTCGATCGTTCTTTCGCACCATGGAAAATTTCGAGCGCGACGATATTTACAGAACCGAAGATGTGTTACGTTGTGTCTCTTCCATGGACGAGAGCCTACGCGTCTAGAACGGCAGCCGTTTATTTTTCTTCGTTAACGTTGGGTGAAATTTGGCAAGCTCGGCGGTATCGAACACGCACAGTCCAAATAGATCCCCGTATAAGAGACGATTCGGGTAATGTTACGGTGAATGATACTTAAAATACATGTCCTACGTGCCTATGATTCACCGATTCGAGTTCTAATCTAAACACGCTACAAAAATCAGAACCCCCGAGGATCGGTCAATGAAATTTCTTGCTCCTCCGGCTACCTGTTTGGATGGATTACACTCGCGTCTTCTCTATACACGCTACGAATTCATCATAGTTTCATTTACGAACTTTGTCTCTCGAGCGGCTGATTTACATCTCCGTTTACTCTTTTACTTTTATATTTCCCTATCTTTATACTCTTACTTATCCTTAGAAAGTTTCTATTATAATTTCTCTTAGTATCCGGCAGTATTGGCAATATCTTCGGTACCATCGGTCGTTCCAATTGTCGATCAACCGTCGTCGAGTCGTTTCTCACCGTTACCGCGTTATCGCGCCCCAGTTTTCCGCGTCCTCTCTTCTCTCTGCATATATATATATATATATATATATATATATATATATATATATATATATATATTTTTCACCTATTTCCTTTCATATTTCTCCTTATCCTGTTTCCGTTCGTTGAAACGTTTTTTAAACTAATCACGAGGGATTTTTTGAGCGATCACCGATGCGGGTACTCTTCGCAAAATTTACTTCGCACACGATCGTTTCCTTCTCTTCGTTGGAAGGATCTCGGTTTCGGATTTTTATGTATACATAATAGGTACATGCGGGCGCGATCGACGTCGATTTCGATTTCGTGCACGATTTCGAAATCGTTCGAACGCGTTCCAGCTTAACAGACAGTCCCCGCAGCGCCGTTGAGCAGTTCCGATTCGATCGGCGATCGAAATCGTCGAGCATTCGATGCCTCGTTTCGACGAAAACAACGAATCACAGACCAGGAAGCGTTGCAGTCGTTGCGATCGCGTCGCCTCGACTGGCGAGAAGGGACTCGCGGCGAACGTGCGACTCGTACAAATAGAAAACTCCTCGATATATGGCAATCGTTTCTCTAGTTTCTCTTTCCATTGGAATTGGTTACAGAGTGTTCGCCACGGTCGTCGTAGAAACGTACGGTACGAGAGAAACCGCGCGTCACCGTCGACCGGAGGTGGTCGATCGAGGCGGTCGGCGGTCGACGGTCGACGGTCGGCGAGACGGTTCGATAGACGCGACCAACTTTTGCGGTTCGTGACTCCGCGACTCGTAAACGAGTTCAGGAACAGAAGTTCAGGTCGTGTGCGCCGCGCAAAGCCAACGCACGCGCACGCACGCGCGCACACACTTACGCGGAACATTGCGGCGAGAATTTCGAGTCTTCATAAAATAAATGCCGTCGCTAGATCGAAGTGTGCGCGCGAGCGGATAGTAATCGAAAAGTTTACGCTTTAGATTGTAAATTGTAAATTGTAAATCGTAAATTGCTATTCGCTCCGCGAAGTAGGAAAACAACCTATACAGATATACCGTTCAACGTGCACCACCATTTCTCACGCTATAATTCCTATTTACGTAATCGTAATTGTAATCGTAATCGTAATTTAGACGACGCTCGTCTTGGATCGAGCACACGATCGCTCGCTCGCCTTCTTTCTATTTCCATCTTTTCGTGTTCGACAAGGATAGGCGGCGAGATCGAAATTATTCCGGTCAACTCGAGCATGGAAGGTGTTGTCCTTGATATTTCTGGGGCGGTCGCTATCTTCACGTATGTACATGTGCGGTGTAGAACGATTCGGAAAATAAGCGAATGAAACTTTCCGCGTTCCAATGGCTCCAAAAAGATTCCAACGACCTCCGCGATTTCTCGTCGAATCGCGCGAATGGAGAGACTGTTTGGAGCGACTGTGCCCACGGGGTTCGTGGAATTCGGGGGGTTTCGTGGATTTGTCGAAGGTTTCGTGGGATTCGAGGGGAATGGCGGAAGAAGGAAGGTGGAACAGGAGAAGATAACCGAGCGATCGTTGTCACCTGGATATGGGTATAGGTATAGGTATAGGGGTGGCACCGGTACAGGCGGACACGTGACCAGTTCCCGAAGGAATCGGTTCGGCCGTGGACGACGAACGAGAGCAAGCACGAGCTCGTTGTTGCCCCCCGTTAACCGTCACGGAGATCCGCCGGTCGGCTACAGTCCGCGGGAGGAACGTTCGAGTTGTTAGCCCCGGCGAACACGTTGCTCAACTTGTTGNTTTTCCGCGTCCTCTCTTCTCTCTGCATATATATATATATATATATATATATATATATATATATATATATATTTTTCACCTATTTCCTTTCATATTTCTCCTTATCCTGTTTCCGTTCGTTGAAACGTTTTTTAAACTAATCACGAGGGATTTTTTGAGCGATCACCGATGCGGGTACTCTTCGCAAAATTTACTTCGCACACGATCGTTTCCTTCTCTTCGTTGGAAGGATCTCGGTTTCGGATTTTTATGTATACATAATAGGTACATGCGGGCGCGATCGACGTCGATTTCGATTTCGTGCACGATTTCGAAATCGTTCGAACGCGTTCCAGCTTAACAGACAGTCCCCGCAGCGCCGTTGAGCAGTTCCGATTCGATCGGCGATCGAAATCGTCGAGCATTCGATGCCTCGTTTCGACGAAAACAACGAATCACAGACCAGGAAGCGTTGCAGTCGTTGCGATCGCGTCGCCTCGACTGGCGAGAAGGGACTCGCGGCGAACGTGCGACTCGTACAAATAGAAAACTCCTCGATATATGGCAATCGTTTCTCTAGTTTCTCTTTCCATTGGAATTGGTTACAGAGTGTTCGCCACGGTCGTCGTAGAAACGTACGGTACGAGAGAAACCGCGCGTCACCGTCGACCGGAGGTGGTCGATCGAGGCGGTCGGCGGTCGACGGTCGACGGTCGGCGAGACGGTTCGATAGACGCGACCAACTTTTGCGGTTCGTGACTCCGCGACTCGTAAACGAGTTCAGGAACAGAAGTTCAGGTCGTGTGCGCCGCGCAAAGCCAACGCACGCGCACGCACGCGCGCACACACTTACGCGGAACATTGCGGCGAGAATTTCGAGTCTTCATAAAATAAATGCCGTCGCTAGATCGAAGTGTGCGCGCGAGCGGATAGTAATCGAAAAGTTTACGCTTTAGATTGTAAATTGTAAATTGTAAATCGTAAATTGCTATTCGCTCCGCGAAGTAGGAAAACAACCTATACAGATATACCGTTCAACGTGCACCACCATTTCTCACGCTATAATTCCTATTTACGTAATCGTAATTGTAATCGTAATCGTAATTTAGACGACGCTCGTCTTGGATCGAGCACACGATCGCTCGCTCGCCTTCTTTCTATTTCCATCTTTTCGTGTTCGACAAGGATAGGCGGCGAGATCGAAATTATTCCGGTCAACTCGAGCATGGAAGGTGTTGTCCTTGATATTTCTGGGGCGGTCGCTATCTTCACGTATGTACATGTGCGGTGTAGAACGATTCGGAAAATAAGCGAATGAAACTTTCCGCGTTCCAATGGCTCCAAAAAGATTCCAACGACCTCCGCGATTTCTCGTCGAATCGCGCGAATGGAGAGACTGTTTGGAGCGACTGTGCCCACGGGGTTCGTGGAATTCGGGGGGTTTCGTGGATTTGTCGAAGGTTTCGTGGGATTCGAGGGGAATGGCGGAAGAAGGAAGGTGGAACAGGAGAAGATAACCGAGCGATCGTTGTCACCTGGATATGGGTATAGGTATAGGTATAGGGGTGGCACCGGTACAGGCGGACACGTGACCAGTTCCCGAAGGAATCGGTTCGGCCGTGGACGACGAACGAGAGCAAGCACGAGCTCGTTGTTGCCCCCCGTTAACCGTCACGGAGATCCGCCGGTCGGCTACAGTCCGCGGGAGGAACGTTCGAGTTGTTAGCCCCGGCGAACACGTTGCTCAACTTGTTGTACCTTTGACTTCCGGAACTGCTGACCGTATTCGAACCCGTGGAATTGTGTTGAGAATAACCGCCGATTCTGGTGAAACTAGGCACTTTGTCTGTTCGGAGGTAAACATTGCTTTAGATACAGATAATACGGATGTGTGGGTGGGTGTCTCTGGTCTCGTGTATTAATTACGTGTGAGCGCGGATCGCGAGGCGATACCGGCGGTGTACTAACCTTTCCCACGATTATGCCTTCCCCTTTCTTGCGAGCCGATACTTCCGGGTTGCCTCGGGGGAATACAAGAGTAATTACTATCACCGCTACTGTAGGTTGGCGAAGAGTTTCTAGGGTTTCTTCTACGCGGACTCCTGCCGCTCCTGCTTCGCGATCCGGTTCTACCGTGAAGACAATTCGCCGAGGACACGGTGAACTGATCGTTGTACTCGAGCGTGTTGCCGTAGAGGCAACTCGACTCGGAACAGGAGCAACAAATGTCCGAGTGCGCGTTCGAGTCGCACGACTTCCTGTCCCAATCCTCGGTTTCCGGCTGGTAGAGATTCTCCGTTGGGTAACAGTCCTCGTTGTGCCGGCGATACATGCTTTCGTTCACGATCGATTGATCCGAGCGAGAGTCTGTCCGGTTCACTCGGCAGTACGCGCTGGAATCGTAATCTTCGAGCGGCGAATCGTTTCGTTGCCCGTACAAAACCGAACCGCTCTCGTACTCGTTCTCTTGGTTGTTGCACTTGTAATCGTAACGTTCGAATCCCTGCGGCAGAGCCGGCAAAGACGGTGGATTCGTCTGCGGCGGCAAACTCGTGTACCTGCTCTGCTGCTGATGGACGCCGCTCGTTTGCGGAACGGCTCCATCGAACGATTGCTGTTGCTGTTGTTGTTGTTGTTGTTGTTGTTGTTGCGACTGCGGCTGCGGCTGATGATGATGAGAACTACTCGAGCCGGTCCAAACCAATCCCGAACCGCTCAGATTGTTGGCCGTTCGGATCGGCGGACTCGGTGGACTTTGAGAATTTCCCGATCCGGGACCAGAACCGGATCCGGACCCAGAACCAGACCCAGAACCAGACCCGGAACCGGACCCCGATCCGGATCCCGAATTGGAGCTCAGACCCAAGCCCAATCCCAACGTCAATCCCGAACCGGTCATCGAGTCTAGATCGTTTTGCCTGTCGATGCTCCGTTTCCCCAGATGAGGACTGAACGCCGACTGATATTGTTGCTGCTGTTGTTGTTGTTGTTGCTGTTGCGACTGCGATTGCTGTTGCTGATAGTGGTGCTGATGTTGATACTGATGGCCGAGTTGCTGCTGTTGCTGCGACGGTTGCTGATGATGGTGATGGTACTGATACTGATGCTGGTGTTGATGCGGATGCGAATGCGCGTGCGTGTGCGAATGCGAATGGGAATGTAGATGCGTCGCTCTGCTGGAACCGAGCGATCCCTCGAAGGAGGGCGGATGATCCGGAGGAGGCGGTAGCATGTCGCACCAGTTCGGCGGCGGATTCTCGTTCGGAAGCGGCATTCTGTACTGGTGAGTCCTTCTGTGGGATTCCGTGTTTTCCTCGCCGTTGTAGATGCTGCTGGCGTTGTCGCTGCACGGCGAGACCGTCGACTTGTTGCGATCCAGGTTCGAATCCAAGCTGGAGTAGTCCGGCTTCAGGCAAGAGTCGCTGGAATTCGACTTGCGACCGCTGGTCTCGGCCGACTCTGGACTACGAGTGGGCATGCACAGCGTGGTGGTGGCGTACGGTTCCGGCGGTGCCTGCAACTGTTTCCTCGTGTTGTAGAACGTCGTCAGGTTAACCTCGGCGTACTCCGAGCCCGTCATCCCGACGATTCCCGGCGGCAGACCCATCTGATTCTGATTGCTGAGCAGCTTGGTCTCGCAGTCCTTGTCTGTGGTCGAGGCCTGAAGGGTGTTGCTCGGCCTCCAGCCGCGTTCCAACCACAACGCGTCCTTGTTCAGTTGACAGATATCGTTGGCCGTGCCAACGGGAACGTTCAAATGGCCGAGCTGCTTGCTCATCGCTTGTCTTCGTCGGGCGTAGACGATGCCCAGAAAGACCGCGATCGCGATCAGCACCACCGTGATCATCAGAACCAGAAACCACGTTTCGCTGATCACGGAGGCGGTTTTCTGACTCGGATCGGTTCTCGCCGGCAGTTGCGTCAGCTGTCTCGGGTCCATGTTCAAAACGGTCGGATTCGAGAAGGGGCCGAGACCGGCCCGAGTCAATCCGGCCACGCGGGCGGTGTAAAGACCTCCGGTGGTTAAGCTGTTGATGATCACGGAAGTCATGGACGCGTTCAAAGACATCTGACCCAGAACTTTGTTGCTGTTGTTGCTCTTGATCTGGATCTGAAACGAACAACGACGATAACGGCTGTGCCCTCTACGCGATTCCGTCGCTACAACATCGTACGCAGAGATCTTTACCTTGTACCCGATCAGCTGTCCGTTTTGCGCGTTCTTCGGCGGCGGGGACCATCGAACGAACGCGGACGTCACGTTGATCATGCCGACGTGAACGTTCTCGGGCGCGCCGGAAGGTACGTCTTCCAACGTGGTGGCCAGTTTCACGTTGCTCGGTCTTCCCTCGATAGTTTTGTAAAACGGAACTAGAAAAAACTCGTGCCGCGTGTACTTGTTCAGGTTCGTTAACACGTAACTGGTTGCCCCAGCGTTCAGCACCGTGACCATCCGATACTCCGGTTTATCGGATATCTCGCGATACCGTATGTAGAGACCTTCCACCAAGTCCGCGGCTCCGAGAATCTGTGTGCACGAGAACATGCCATTCGGAAAACTAAAATACCGATAACGCGGTAACGAGGCGACCGGACGATGGTCCATGCGTTCCATAATGTACTTACATCCCACACGATCTTGACGCTGGTGCTGCTCAACGGTTGAACCTCTTTCAAGAAGAGAATCTCGCTGTTCAGACGATCTCTCGCCCGAATCAATTCGGACTGAGGCGTGGTCTGCTGTCGATCGAGGCTGCTGGTCCGCGCAACGTCCGACAGCGGACCGGGAAGCGAGATGCCCTGACCGTTTCTAGCACGGACGAGGAATACATAATTGGTGTCGGGCTTCAGGTTCGTTACCTGAACAGACGGAGACGGAAAGGGAGTGTGAGACCGAGAGAAGAAAAGGCGTAACGCGAGACACGAGTCGCGCGAGTCTGCCAACGCGGACAAGCTAAGCGGTTCGGAGGATGTCTCGGCTAGACGACGAACGAGCTTTAAAAGAAAAAACACGTTCGAGTAGTCGAGACACGATAGCGCGCGCTTGTTCGCGGCTCGCAGTTGGAAGAAAATCTCGCCTGAATCGAACGCTGCTGACTTTTTTCCAGCAGCAGACTCGCTAACTCATGGTAACTGGCAAACTGGCAAACTGGCAAATTGGCGAGTCTGTCCGATACCAATTAGCTAGAGAGCTAGATTATTACGGTATAAATATCGTTGACGATATCCGTCGCGGCAACCGTCCAGCCGGTCTTTGGATTGGTGGCAAAGTATTCGACGGTGTAATCGATGATCTTGCTGGCCCCGTCGTGCCCCGGACTCCAGGCGAGCGTAACCGTGTTGCTGGTAACGTTGGTTATCCTCGGTTTGCTCGGACTCTCGGGCAGAGCCGACATCATGTCCTGGAGCAGGTTGGGCGGTCGGTGGTCCGCTTCCGGGCTGACCGTCAAGCTCGCCGTCCAGGTCGCGTTACCGAAATCGGAAACGGCGACGCACTTGTACACGCCGGTGTCGCTCGCCTGCAGGTTCTTTATCGAGAGGGTGCCGTTACCGGCGATCGCGAATCGGTTCCCGTCGTCTCGCAGCGGCTCGTCGTTCTTCAGCCAGCGAATCTTCGGGGGTGGTCTTCCGGTCGCGCGACACGCCATCGTGGCGTCGCTCGTCGGAGGCAACGTTTGATTGCTCGGCCCCAATTCGATGATGGGCGGTGGAGAATCCTCGACCGATGTAACCTGACGAAACGACAACCAGCGATCACGGACCAAACGAAAGGAAATTGAGCGAAACGAGGCTGATCGGAGCGGAAGAAGGTACCTGGAGGAAAACGGTGGCGGTGCTCGCGCCGGCTTGACTGATCGCGCTGCAGACGTAATGGCCCTCGTCTTTCGCCAGGGCGCCCAAGACGTGCAGGCTTCCGTCCGCCGTCACCCTGTAACGGCCCTGATACTGATTCCCCGGGAACATCAGTTCCTGAGAGCCCTCGCGCGTCCAGAATATCGAGGGCTTCGGGGCGCCGCGTGCCGCGCACGAGAACGACACGTTCGCGCCGATCACGACGGCCTCGTCCGTTGGAAAATCGGTGAAGACCGGTCTCGCTGCAATCGTACGTAAGCAAGATCTAAAGATTCTCGAAACGTCGCGCGTCGAGTCGACCAAACGGCTAACGATACTCACAGTGCACCGTCAGGATGGCGCTCGCCGAGATCGCGCCGACACCGTTCCCGGCGTCGCAAATGTACATGCCCTGATCCAGCGACGTTACTTTCTCGATCCGCAGGCTCTTGTCGTCGGAGATGTGCGCTCGTCCGATCGGCATCTTCCCATCGTTCCGTCGCCAAAGTATCTCGGGCGGTGGGTCGCCGCCGACGCGGCAGGCGAACTCGGCCGTTTGATCCGTCAGGATCGTCTGGTTCGCGGGGGTCGCCAGAAAGTACGGTTTCACTGTGGACAGGCGAGGAGATCGAACGTAGTTCCTTCCAGATTAAAGCCGCACCCGCGATAAAGTAATCGGTTATCGCGTTTACCGTGAACGGTCAAAAGCGCCACGGCGGACTCCTTCGTTCCCACCATGTTCTCGGCAACGCACTGGTACTTTCCTTGGTCCGTCTGCCTGACATCGGAGATCATCAAGTTCCCGCCGTCCACGAGAGTTATCCTGCGCAAATCGAACGAGGTATTGTTGGTCAAGGTATTGTCACAGAATCCGAGATAAGCGTACGAGAGAAGGTTATACCTTTTGGTGGCATCCAGGTCTATCGTATGACCGTTCCTCTTCCAATGCAAAGTCGGTTCCGGATGTCCACGAGGTGGCCCGCACTCCAACAAGGCGGTTTCTCCAGCCGCGACCCTAGTGTTTTGCGGTTGCGCGCGAAATTCATCCCTCAGCACTGCAACAAAGAAATCGGATGCCTCGTCAGCGACAAGTCGATACCGCGCGCTTCCTTTTCTTTCGAGCCCTGGTCGAGGAAGCCCTGCTCGGAAAAGGAACAAAAGATACGGAACATTCGAAACGATGGGAACGATAGGAAAGCGTATAGGTGGATCGAGGACATCGGGCCAGGAAATTGCTCGTACGAGTTTCGCAGGAACGTCGACCAACGTCCGTCTTCGCCGGCTGCTGCTCGCGTCCCTCGTCGCGCGTCTCGCGAAAATACCGCGATTCGCTTCGACCGAGAAAGCGGTGTCCCGTCTCGAACAAAGAAGCTACGTTCAACGTTGCGAGAGGGCGGGAGGACGGGAGGATTTATAGAAGCTTTAAATGGAAATACGGCACCCGGAGCGGGAATCGGGACCGTTCGTGCCGGCGAATCGACGGAGAACGGAAAATTGGATATACATACGTTCTCCGATACCGAAGAATTTAACCATAGGATACACCTTGGCGCGCTCTTGCTCTTTTCGCTTCGGTTTCTTTTTTCTCCGCGTCTATTCCGCTCGATCGACGCGCGTCGCGTCGATTCGTCTTTAAGAATCGTTTACGGACGCTGCCGCATTTGGTGCGGCCGCGAGTTCCCTTTGGCCCGATTCGGAGTTCCGAGCTATTCTTCGAGTCGAGTCGAGTCGAGTCGAGTCGAGTCGAATCTCGTTAACGCCTGCGACGGCTCTTGCATCGATCCATCGCGCTTTAGCGACGGGCTTTGCCGATAATCGGGAAACGAAGAAAAACGTTCGAACAGCATCCGTACCGACACGGTCCTTTCTCTTCTCTTCTCTCGTCTCGTCTCTCTCGTCTCTCTTCTCTCTTCTCCCGTCGCCGACCAAACGATGAGTCATACGACCTAGGCTGTGTATCGGCTAAACCGTTCCGCTCTGTTTGCTCATCGTTAGCGCCGTACAAACAGCTCTGCGTCCGAGCGGTACGGTTTGAACAGCTTTCGTCGTTTCTTATTCGAAACGAATTCGTGCGGCGGGAGACGGTTGGACGATTCTTCGCTCGCGACGTTCGACTCGGTTGTTCGACAACGGCCGCGTAGAACGCAAACTTTTGTCGCTCCATCGGAAACAAATTATCCGCATCGGAAAACTTTCTCGTTTCCGCTCCCGGCCGGATTTGCCGATGAATCGAAGCCGAGACGCGACATCGGCGCAACTGTTTATCGACTGGAGAAACGGAGCGGGAGTAAAGGCGAGAAGAATGGCGAAGCTACAATGCGTCGACGATGTAAGGAGAAGAGAGAATGAGAGGCGGAAAGAAAGAGAGCGGGCGCGAGAGAAAGGGAGAGAGAGAGAGAGAGAAATTATAAGAGGGAAAGATATAGGGGAGAGAAAGAGGGGCGAAGCTGGGTGCGTAGTCAAACAAGCTCCAATTAACGGACGCTAGATCTGGAGCGAAAGAATTGAAGGGTTCTTGGATCTCCCGTCTCTCGCCCCTTTCGTCTTTTTCACCATTCTCACCCCAGTCGGCCTTCTAACCCCCAGGCTTTTTCGCGAGCCGCAGGAACCAACTAATGAGAGCAGCAGGCGCGCGCGTACCCTTCCTGCCCGTCCGCGCTCCTCGGCGCCCGTCTGCGCCCCGTGGCACCCACCACGCACGCATCACGCATCGCGCGTGCATAGACGAGAGACAAACGGCCGATGCCCGTTGGACCGTGCTCGCGAGGGAGTAGCACCATCTGCGCGAGACACGAGTCCTTCGAAACGAGCCTCTCTCGTCCTCGTCGCAAGATGAATAGAACCTCGAGTTGTTGGCGAACCTCGAGTTGGAATCGGGCGAATCGGGCGAATCGGACGAACGCCCGGACCGAGCAACGAGGCCAAGAATCGATCGGCTCCTACAATCCCAATTTCGAAATGTTTCGATACACGGTTGTTCGACTATAGACCGTAACCACCCACGCGCGCGCGCGCTTCGGCGGTTGTCGCGAACCATCGAATACACCGGTCTCGCTCTCGAGACAAACGCAAAGATTTCTCGAGCTCTCTTCTTCTTCCCCGTGTTCTTCTCGGTCTTCGACGTTAACCAAATTGTAGCCGGATCGCGCGTATATCCTCGCGATTCCGCTCGAATCGATTCAATGCGGTATTGATAAAAGGAAACTGCGTGTGTGCGCGCGTGCGCCCGTGTCCGTGCGAGGTAGAGAGAGAGAGAGAGAGATGCAACGGCCGGAGAAAGAGGAAGATAAAGAGAAACAGGAGGAGAAAGAGAAAGGGAAAGAGAAAGCGAGAAAGAAGGAGGAAGAGAACGAAGGCGGATAGAAAGAGATAGAAGTCTGGCGTCAGGGTTCTACCAGAACCATATTCGATATAATTAAAGTGCATAAATAAACACAATGGTACAAGGACCGGTTAGAAAGGGCGAGAAGCGGTGGCAGCGGTGGCAATGCCTGCGTAGAAGGGATACTCGCTCGGTAGGTAAGAGCATTGAATGCAAATACTCGGAGAGATATCTTGGTATGAGTGCGCGTTAGCATGCTCGCGTGTTTGCACGCTCGGTTGCCCGGTGCTCGGTGCCTCGCCGCGAGTTTCAGCCGAGAAGCTCGTTGCCTCTAAGCCTCTCGATATGCCTTATGCCTCCATGCCTTATGCCCATTGTGCCCGCGGACCCGTGGACCCATGCCCCGTGTACCTGTGCGTCTATTCGTACACGCGCGTGCACGCGCGCACATCCGTGCGCGACGTTTACGGAGAGCATATCCGTATACGGGTGGTCGATCGCGAATCCCCATACCGAGAGAGGTAGGCGTACAAGTAGGCGCGTGCACCCATGTGCGCGCGTGTGCGTACAGGTACGCGTCCACGCCAGCTACTAAATACGCTCGTCGGGAAACTGCGAAATCTCGAGCCGGAGCATCGACGCTTCCGCCAGTCGATTTCGTTGTAAAAGAGCGAACTTTGCGACGCGTTTCCTTTCGTACGATTTGCTAGCGCGAACCGTGAACGGTGTGTGCACCGATGCACCTCGTGCTCGATCGATCGAAGACGGCGAGCGGCGAACGGCGCGGCGTGCGCGCGTAGGCAGCGAGCTACGAAACTTCGCCGACTTGTCGGGTACAAAAGTTTAACATCGCGGTTATCGAACGTAGGTGGCCTTCCAGAGAGGCTCTTAAAAGCGTACGAGAGACCGTATTAAAACGCGTGCGCCCCTGAACGCGCGCTTCGATCGTCCATTGTGCGGATAAAGGAACGGAGGAAGCGGGGGCCTGCGTCGCGAAAGAATCGACGCGCGCGACCCATTTTCCAGAGCACGGCCGAACAACGACGGAGTTGTCGTTGGAATTTGTCCAAGCATCCGAGCTTCCATTTGTAGATACAGCTTGCAGCTCGCAGGCTCGCACAGTCTACGGCTTACACGGCGTACGACTCTCCGGTTGTTCGGCTCGAATCTCGAGGCGATCGGTCCTGGCGTAGCGAGCTCGAGCTGTCGATATCGTTGTTCGGTCGTTCGGTTCGATGTCGCGACGGCGAAACGAGTATGCACACGGGTACGTGTTGTACAGGCTGTAAGGTAGGAAGGTTCGCGGTTAGCCGATTCGCGGGTTCTTTCTCCGTCGAAAGCCGACTCCGAGGAAACCATACCGCGCGCGCACACGGATTCCTTCGCGAATATTTCAACGACAGGCGACGAACGAAGGCTATCGTCCGATTCACGACTCGCCTACAGTGTTTGACGAACGGCGAGAATTCGTGGGGGGAAATTCGCGGCGAGGGGGAAGACGCGCGAGCCGGCTCGGCTCGACTCGGCTCGTCGCGATCGAGATCATCGATCGCTATCGTTGACGCTCGCGATCGCCGACGCTCGGGACAATAACGGAACGCGACTCCGAAGCAGGCTTGGAAATTACGCCGCCGAGTTCCCTCTAGGAATCGCGTTCGCGTACGTTTTACGCATCTGTAACGTGCCCGCGAAAACTGCTCGGTCGAACGGTACCGAAACGTTCGCGACGCTTTGTTCTCGGCGGGGTAGTCGGTCTCGTCGAGACGACTCTGAGTCGACGCGACAACTTTGTCCCAATTGTAAGTCCCGTGCGGTCCGGAGCGATCGAAGGATCGGCCAGGGACCGGGTCCAGAGACCAGGAACCAGAGTTGCTAGCGAGTCGCGACGCGAAGCGAAGCGACGCGCCAGTCTGGTCCGGTATGCCCACGGATTCGATATAAATAGACGCCAAGTGAGACGGGAGGTACGAGGTGCGAGGTGCGAGGTGCGAAGTGCGAGGTACGAGGCGCGCGGCGCGTTCGTTCCCCCGTGCGAGCCACTATTCGATAGATAACCGCCGTCCTCGATGGATGATCCCGGTTCTTCTTTGGTCAAACGGTCCGAGACTTATCTGTGTACGCGAGCAGGCAATACGCGACGCGCGAATGCGGAACGTACGACGAAATATATGCCAGTTTTCGCACCATTCCTCATCGGTTTCCCCAGCTCTCTCTCTCTCTCTCTCTCTCTCCTTCTCTTTCTCTTCACGCATGTACTCGCCTACATGCAAGGACACGAATTCCTGCAACGCAACCCCTATTTCTCACTCGCGATCCTGGTTTATCGGTCGTTCCAGTATATCGTTTCGAGAACAAGGGAAGAAGAAATGAAAATTGAACGCGGCGCACGCGAAGAGGTAACCGAGGCTATGAAAATTCTGAAACGAAACGATTCGCGAACACGGTCGCGTGGAACAGGATAGAGACCGGTTGGAAATTGGAAGATGGAAGGTTGCGGAAAGCGGAAAACGGGAAACGGAGAACGGAGAGCGGAGAGCGGAGGCCGAAGAACGGAGACCGCGTGCATCGACTGCAACGAGTAAACGGGTAGGGTTCAAAGTGATTCTCCTCCTGGTTCGGGCAATGTTGCGAGGGTACTCGATTACTCGATTAAACCGTAGTGTCGGTAGGCGTGGCAGTTGGACGTACCCGCGCGCATGCATCACCGAGAAACATCGCGCGCTACGAGATTTC